TGGTGGCAAATTTCGTGCACGAATAATTAATTATGTAATTATCTCTATCTCTATAATTTATTGTACAGTGTGTACACTTTTGTTGGATAGAATTCTTGTTTTACTTATTGCTTCAACTTAAAGTCATGGTCAAGTCGGACTATTTAACAAAAGAGAGAGAAGAGAAGAAGATCTATCCAGCAAAGAAGAATTATCAAAATTTATTGAAATTTAACATCAAAAACTAGTACCAGTTGGCCGTGGCTTTAGGTTGATGTTTTGTTGCGTTTTTCAGAGATCTAACGGACGCCAATGTTTTCCATCCACCAAAATATACGGGGGGCGTGGGAAATACGGAACCGGCAGCGGCGGCTCGTCGCCCCGACGGGGTGGCGTCAGATGACGTGTTAATTATCAGGGGCGCGCCGCACCACGGCGCCATAATTGGCCGTATAATACAATTAACGGTTTCGCACTGAAAATGGCGGGGGGTCTTTATTGAATCGTCGAAGTTGAGAGCGGAGGCGGCCCAGCGGACAAAGCCCCCGCGAACACCTTGTATAAGATACGGCCGTCCGATAGCGCTGTAATTAGACGGCGGGGTAATTAGTGAGGGGGGTGGTGAGGGGGTTATATATTATAGAGGCGGCTTTTATGTTCCGCAGCTGGTATGCAGATTATTTTACCCCGTGAATATGGAGATGAATGTCATTCCAGTTTAAAAAAAAAAGCAATCTTTTCTTCTACTACTTTGAACCAGATTGGAAACTTCTGCGATTTTTTTTTTTTGAAATTCTGTATTTAACTTAACAGATGCTCTGGACAGTGCTTAAAAGCACCGGTATTGTGGACAAATAACAAATGAACGGGTCGTCTGTTTTGAACGCTAGCCACTGCCAAGGCTTTCTGGTAAAAATAATTGCTTAAGACAACGTTGCCAGTGTTTGATATTATCAGGAAGTTGATTATCAATCAATCAAAAATCCTTGACTTTTTCACACAACACAACACAAACATCAAAACAGTGTGAGAATTCAATAGCCGCTTGGCTGAAAAGAGCTACTTTCACCAAAGAATGACAGAAAACCTATCAAATATTAGTTATTCTTTTATAGTTTACTTGAAGATATAGTATCTTACTCCATATTTAAGATACTTTAGGTCAGGTTGTTCTATATTTTTGCTATGTTATGTACGTACATATCCACAATAGAAAAAATGTGTATAAAAGGTGTTTTATCAATGGTATCAATCGGCAGTCCTTCACTTTTACTTTTTTTAAATAATTTTATATTATTAATTGATAATTATTTTATCTATATTTATATTATTAATTGATAATTAATATTATTTAACTTTTTCTAAATATTGAGAAAAACTTTGGGAGAGAAAACGAACTCAAAAGTTATAAAAAACACAATAATAAAACAGTTCCTGAGTGGAACTGCTTCCTCAGTTGTGTTTTAGTTATTATTTGTGAAAATATTTTTACGTTATGCTTTTTGGGTCGGTCTCAATTAAAAAATATTTGAAAAAAATAGAGTTTGATTTTATTTTTATTATCATTTATATTATTTTTTATTGTTTAAAATTCTATACGTATGTTTACAATGTTCCAAACGTAATACCCCAATATTATTCTAAAAATAAATAAACCCAGAACTATTTGTTTGTAGTTAAACCTGTTCAGAAATCCTATAATTTTTTCGCCTATACCACAGGCAGGATAAATATAAATTAACCAAGAAAAATCCAGACAAAAGATTTTTATTCCTGGATACACGCAAAACATAAAAATCTTACGGTCGCAAAATACAATTAATAATTGAACAATAGTTGATACTTCGAACACGTATACGAGGGTCACTTGAAAAGTCTCCGACACAACAATGATACGAGACATTTCTTCCCATTTTGATTTAAAATGTTGCCCACCCCTGCGGTAATGCATTCGAGCATTGTTCGATCATAAGAAGCCGTACGTATGTGGTGTATAGCGTCGGCTTGGGCGGTTGAGTAGATCGGCGACGATAAAAATACGAGTCCCGTTCGATTCTGATCGATCCATTTTGTCGCCATCAAAACATTCGGATCCCGGCCCGATCAGATACGATCTATAATCCGTATATCGCCAAAGATCGTTCGTCACCGTCAGCGTCGTTGAGTATAATGCAAAGCGGACCAGACGAGTCGTCTATAGAAACCGCCTAAAAACTCTGCGGGTTTAACAATGCAATTACAGAAAATACAATCGCATCTTAATATTTTTTTTCCTAATCGAATGTCAATAATTAAATGGAAAACTTCATATGAATATATGTCCTAAACGCCTTAATAGTTGAGATACATTGTGTTAGAGTCATGGAAAATAAAAATCTTCTTCTTCCTACTTCATATTAGGCGAGTCGCCTCTTCCTTCGTCGTCTCTGCCATTTAGACTGCCCAGTTGTCGCACCAACGTTGCTGTCGATGTCTTCGTTCCATTCTTTCTCTCTAATGTGTATGCTCTTCTTGTGCTCTCATTTCTCTCTCTGTCTAACCGTGATTTTCCAGTTATTCTGCGACGTACTCTCATTTCGGTTGCCTCTAGTAATTGTTTGGTTTTTGTTGTATCAGGTCGAGTTTCTGCAGTGTATGTCATAGTCTCACCGTTGATTTAGTTTCCAATTTGATGTTGTTTCATTTCCTGCTCTCTCTCTAAATGGTACTTTCTGGGTTGATATTTATCATATTAAGTGATTTGGCAGTGCAGTGCGGTGAAAAGAAGGGGACTCAGGAATTCACCTTGTCAGATACCTCGACCTGCATTTATTGGTTAGGACAGAACCCCGTTAATTTGGCTCGAACTTGATTTGCTGCCCGATATCTGAATCCCTGTTTTTCATCTGCTGAAGATGTTAATTTTGTTTATTGCCACTTTCGTATTACAGGTGTCTTTAGTTTAGGGTTTACGGGTTTTAGGAGGTGTTTATGCTAGCTTCTTGGTTTACTTGAACTTTTTCTGTTAGTCTTTTCTCGTATAGCTGTTTGATCGACAAGTCCCATAGCGATTCGATGTTCGATTAAACCACCCGTTTCAGTCAACATTCTATATAAATTTTAAAAACAGATAGACAATTACTTAAGTAAGAAATAATAATACAGATATTAAAAAATAATGTTTAATTGTAAACTTTACCAAAAGTTAAGACGTTTAGGACACAAGTGCTTATGTCATTCGATTAGCAAACCCTCTGTAAACAATGCTTTCCGTGCATCTTGTATATTACTGGATTCTAGGAAATTCTAGATTTATTTAATGCCATACATCATATACCTAAGCCTTTGTTGCAATTTATTTACGAGATACACACATTTGATATACTTTTTTTTAATTAAAAACCCCCGTGCGGTCAGGGTATACGTAAAAACAGGTTAAATCGACAAGTTGTCGATAATTTATCGACATTTTTAAAAAATAATATCGGATTCGGATTCCTGGCCCTCGAAAACTCCTTTGTGCAATATTTCGCCAGCTTTTTGAAAAATTGCCTCGAAATCGAAAAATCGACCCAATATTCGAAAGATTGAAATTTATAAGTTATATACTTTGCGTGCCTCCCCTAGCGAACGGCACTAAAAAATCTATTATAGGCTATATCATTCGCCGTCAGAAAAAAATTTTTGTGAGGCGATCAATTTTTTTTTAATTATTGCCACTAAATGGGAAGGGGTAGGAAGGCTTTTTTGTATTTACAGACTGACGATACTGATAAAACGTAACTTTTGTTCACGTTAATTTGGCATGAAGGTAGGGGGTCAGAGGGGTACTCTAAAAATATGATAGGTTATTTAGTTGGAAATTGTATAAAAAACTGATTTTACATTTACATTGGCAGTTTATGGACATTTTCAAAATATAATATTGAATTCGGATTCCCCACGCTCGAAAACCCCTCTGTACAAAATTTTACCCGCTTTTGGGAAATTACCCTCGAAACTACATTTTGGGCTGAAAAACCGAGTCAAAATTCGATAGACATTTTATTTGTGAAAAATTTTCGATCGGTGTGCAAATTAGGCATTTCCTAGCCTCTGCAGCGGGCGAAATATTGATAAAAAAACGAATATTATGAATAAATTGTCGATAGTTTATCGATATTTTCAAAAAAATACTAATCGATTCAGGTTTCATCCAAGTAAATAATTGGCTTTTGTTGTTCTCTCCAAATACTATTTTTTTCTAGATATTCCAGTCGCCATTTCCGAATTCTAAAAGATTCCATTAAAACTTGCCTTTTGTCAATTTTTTTAAATCTAAAACCCATGTATTGAATACACCTCCATCTTTTTCAAGCCTCCTAATTAATATATCTAATGTAGGCACGCTTTGTTTCTCGTATAACTGGTAAATTTTACGACGTATTAAATCTTGATCACTTTCATCTACACTGGAGAAAATGTCAGCATCGCTTCTTTTTTTCCTCGCTGAAATGGGATTATTCACAATTTTCCATGCAGTTGACGTGGGAATTTTCGTCAATGTGGCCGGTTCTTCTAAAGATGCTTGCTTGCTGGCACCACGTTCAATGAGAGTCAAATAAACATTGTTTATAACTTCCTTAGTCTCAATAGAATAGTGTTTTCTACATTTGGGCGGCAGCAACTCCTGAGATACACTAGACTCGCACATATTTTGCATAATTCGCACAGGATTCAACACACGCTGTATTACACACGAACTAAGAATGATTACTAAATAAACTTAAACTAAGTAGTATACCAAACCAAAGAATATGAAACACAGGTAGGTATACAATTATTTTCTATTACGGACCACAACTTTATCTGAATTTAAATTCCTCAACTTTAGGTAATAATCTTGTTGCATTGTCTGTTAATTGCCAGTCTTGGATAATCCCATTCAAAAGCAATTGGTCACTTTCTTATATCTATGAACACACATTACCTCTTGGTGCCTCCAAATGTTCACCTTTCGTTCACAATTGGGCTGTATAATGTATTATCCGCGCTTGTTGCAGACGGAATTCAGGCTATGCGCCGCCTGCGGTGACCCGATCAGCGACAAGTTCCTGCTGGAGGTGTCTGGCAGGAGCTGGCACTCCAGGTGCCTGCGGTGCTGCGTCTGTCAGCTGCAACTCGACCGGCAACCGTCCTGCTTCATACGAGACCGCGCCATCTACTGCAAGATCGACTACGCAAAGTGAGCATTCCGTATAACTAATATAGAAATATTGACGATTTTTCGGAACAACAAATACAACATTGAAACAATTCATGATGAACCAAAATAACTCTATTATAGTGCGGCAAAAGATCATAAACAGGAAGCGACAATACTATACGATAGTGAGGAGTTAACATATACGTAATAAAAGGGTAACACATCCTCTCTGCATCTTCGATGAATATCAAGAACTTGCCACAAAAAGAGCCGCATGGTCTGCAAATAATGGTAGCTTGCCGATAAAGATTATAAAAAGGGGCGGCCCGGGATATCGGCCCTGTGGTGCACATTTGAATTCTTGAATAGTCAAAACACAAACTTATCATGCAGTTTCCGAACAATGAAGTTTACTATAGCATCTCCTGGGAACTTTTTTTTCTCAAAGATGGTGAAAGGTAAAGACCAGCGCCGCTGTTAAGATTGTTTGGTTGCTTATTGATTTGTATGGATTGATTTCATGCAAGAATTTTTGTTTAAGGCTCTCTCATGTTCTTTGAGCCCAGTTGATATTTTTAGTCCGGTCTTTCCAATGTAAACTCTATCACAAACGGGATTTTGTATTTGACGGATCGAAGATGGATTTTTGGACAAGTGGTAAATCGGGTTTTGACGTTGTATTCCTTAAGAACTTTTGACATGAGGTCAATGATGTTTTGAATGTAAGGAAGGACAACCCTGGCAAGTGTGAGGTGGGAAAACGCTTAATATCCCTAATATCGAATTGTAATGTAACGTAATGTTTTAATTCTGGGTTCAGTGACTCGGTAATAAGGTAAATAAGAGAATTGATAACCGATGATTTTTGGTTTGTGCGCATAGGTTTTCTGGAAACAGAATGACCGGTTTTCTATTGAAAAGAAGCGAGAAAAATCACTCGCTACAACACGTTTTTATTCTACCAAGTTTTAGTCATTACTGTCTCAATTGATTGGTTATTGATAAATATTTATTCAAAACCGAAAAATCTTCAAACTATTTTGCTTTGATAACATAATTTAATAAAGAATAAAAATAACAAGATTGCTTTCGAAAAATCGTCGGTGAGCGGGGCAAGTTCGTCGCAAATAGCGCGAATCAGCTTTTTATTTTAAAAAGAAGGCGGACCACTATGGACCACTGAGTAAAGTGTCATTCACATCTCGTCGAACTTCAAATTTGCGGCATACTTCAGTAAAAATCAAAATTTCTACTGGTAATTGTAATTGTTGTAATTTAAAATTATGTTTTTTCAAATATCTTGCGTCCCCTGTATTATAGACGAAACCTCAAACTCTATCTCGACACAGCTTACGATAACGTTCATATCCGTTCATCCATAAAAACAAAAAAAAAAATACTTCGCGTTATTTTATTTCTCCCAATTTCAAGAGTCTAAATGCAGGCCCAGACTTGTACTTTTCTCCCAAGTCTAAAGTCGGTAGCTGCACTTATTATGTGTTTTAATATGGCACGGAATATCCCGAAGACCCTGTACAATACTTAAAAACCGTAAATACATCTAAAACACAGATTTGAAATTATTGCCAATTTTCAATAATAGAGCATTTTACATTTTCACGAATAATGGTTTATAGAGCCGCATCTTCTGCTTCTTCTGGTTCAAGAATTTTTTTGATCTCGTAAACAGTTTTTGAAAAATTATGTTTTTTGTAGACCCTTACAAGCGCCATTTTTTATTTTTTTAGAATACTTTCCGACCGCCCAGCTCTAAACGCGAAAATTGTAGCTCTCGATACAGTTCATAATACGTTTTAAACCAAATTTTCCTATCTTTTACATAACCGAGACACCCTGTACATAATCGGAAAAATTACGGAAATAGAGACTAAAACCCCGAATCTCCCCCGTTACGTGGTAGATGAAGTTTGCCAATAGAGCAAACGGTTTTCGAGAAGATAATATTTATCTGAAACAATGCAGCGCACAGCACGTGGTAATAGTGACGTCATCGCTTCTATATTGAGCGCGATTTTCAAATGGATTTTTTCAAATATCTCGTGCAGTGACAAAAAATTGGGGTCGCCGTGGTCGGATCGGGCTCATATTACAGTTTCAGAATACTGTTTTTTCAGGATAAAAGGGTCAAAATTTCAGCCCTGTAGCTCAAACGGTTGCCTAGTTATAGCGGTTTGAAAAAAAAACGTTTTTTTTTCGATCAGCGAGAGCTGAAAAAATGCAGCATTCTAAACCAATAGAACCTCAGACGTTGTAGAAAATTTCAGAGTTGCCACGGGAAGTTCTGATCCCTTCAAGGTCGGCAGTACTCAGGATTCTATGTCAAGTCATTGCATCACAAGGAGTACCAACAACCGCGGAAACTGATAATGCAAGAGAGTTCAAGAGTTTGCACCTGCGTTATTTCTGAACTACCTCATTAAACAAGTAACCACATATGTTTCATAACGTCCACCTACAAGAGAAGATAGATCAGCTCCAAACACGGCTTAAAAGTGGTCACCGCCCTACTTAATGCAGAATAAACATCTGTTGGGATGGGTTTGCCAACCACGGACCAGCGAAGATATTCTCTAACAAGAGTAAAGAGAGTAAAGGATAAAATTAAATTAAAAACATGTCACTTCTCTGAAATTCGCCAATTTTGATCAGTGCGCGGTTTTGTGGTCTGTGCCGTCTCGTTCGACTCTCGAATCGCCATGGAAGGATGACTTGCTCGGCGTGTCGCGTCGAATCAAGACAGCGTTACGTAAAAACGTCTCTCATGCGTGCAGCAATTGTTCTCCGCCAACAAATATATATACGAGAGGCACCCGCGGAGGTCCGCTAGAATCCGCAAGTCACCGCGTTCTGCAACATACCCGAATAGTCAAAGAGATCCGCGCGATGCGATTAAGCGTCGCCCGTCTTTTGTTTTTCTCGCCCGCGTGTATACAGGACGTCCGACAGAAACGCCACAGACCGTAGAAAACGGCCGGTTGTGAATTGTCAATTTTATTTTTTTTTTTTAAATTGATCAACATTTATTTCTGCTTTTACCCTAAAAGTTCGGATTTTCACGAATTTAATATTTTCACATGACAATTGTTTCGACAACATCGTGTCTTTATCAAATGTAATATTTACAAAAAAAAATTAAGTTCGTTAATGGAGAGGTATTTAAATCTAATTGATGGTTGAGCAATACTTTTTAGTGTCTCAGTTTGTTAATCTCCATGGCTTCCAATAAATTTGATTTTCTACATTTTGTGGCTGTATGTAAAATATCAAAATTGTCGTCAAAAATGTGTTTTTTTTGTGTTTAAGTGTGTAGCATAATTAGAATCTAGACTATTGTTTTTAAACGCTCTTTTATGTTCGTTAATGCATTTCTTGAAGGATCTATCTGTTTGTCCAATATAAATTTTAGGACAAGATCCGTATTTCAAACTGATTTTTGAGATTTTGGACATTTCGTTTTATTGTGTTTTAAAAATTTTCCTATTGTGTTGCTAGTTCTGAAAGCTATTTTTGAACCACATTTTGACAAATGTTTTGAAACTTTTTCACTGGGTTCTCCTATGTATGCAATTGTTTTAAATTGTTCGCGTTCTGTATTAGGTTTCGGATAAGTAGAGTTTACTGTTGTGTGGATTTGATTTTTTATTTATACTTTTATCGATAATGGACGGATTGTAGCCGTTGTTCAGTGCAATTTGTTTAATGATATTAAGTTCTTTTTCTGTCGAGAGTGGCTTATTAAGAAGTCTGTGTAAAAAAGAGTGAAATGCAGCCATTTTGTGTGTATAAGGGTGATTTGAGCTGTTATCTATGATTGTGTCCTTGTGTGAAGGTTCCAACAAAGCAAGCAACGACATCATCCACGTATCCATACCACCATAAAAAACTTTTACTTAAAGGATCTTCTAGTATGATATTTTCCAAATTCTCCATAAAAATCTCGGCTAACAAAAGACTGAGTGGGTTTCCCATAATCAAACCTTCCTTAAGGATATAAATCTGTCCATTAAATTCAAAATAATTTTGATCTAAAGATACGATTAAGCAATGAAATAAATCTTGTTGCACCAATGGGTTAACCTGTTTTTGAGTTATGGTGAAATCTACTAAATTTGTACATCAAAAGATAATAGTTTTGAGTTAGAAGGGTTCTTGTCCTAAAATTTATGTTGGACAAACAAGTGTGTTCTTTAATGTGGAAACTATTAGAGAGAAGAGCAGGGTTAAGGAGTTTTAATTCTGGGTTCAATGACTCGGGCTGAGATAATTTTACAGCTCTGTAAACAAGAGAAGAAGAGAATAAGAAAATCTACTACGGATTCCTGATCATGAGGAAAAATAACAAAAGTATCCATAATTTTGGTTTTAGATTGAAGGTGTCCAGTGCTTTCTTCTCAAAGGCTTCTTGTTCGACTCAACAAAAAGCGATGCAGGACGAATTCACAAGTTTTATAAAAAGCAGAGTCTTCATTGTGATTCAAAGATGAAAAAATGTATTTATTCGGCTCCTTGCTTCGCGCCGTTAATTACCGGCCCCCGGGGGGCCCCGGGCTGCGTAGCCCACACGCTGCCGTGTCCGTTTTAATGAGCAAGCGCCAATTCCCCTAATTTGGCAATTTTTATTCCGTTACCGTGGCAATGCTCGCCTGTGTACCGTTTTACACCAAACTTCAATTTCCGAGGGGCCCCCGGATCCGTGTCGCCGCCCGGCCGACTACGGCCGTAAACCATGTTAGCCGACGACTTTCGGAAACCGTTTCATTAACATCGAACACAATTTCGATGGGCGTTTTAATTGCCCCGCGATATATACGGGGTGATATTAATATGTCGGAAAGAATTGTGGGGATAAGTACTTAGAGGACCGTAAAATTGCTGAAGAAGAGTCCACTACGTAATTAGAAGTGTGCGCGAAGAATGTACTATGTTGCAGACATTCATTAAAGTTCGCCGAACGATATACCGTTTATGTAGATTATCGATTTGTAACGGATGTTTTCCCGGTTTGCTATCGGTTGATTTTCGGGCGTTTCTATTCCGTCTTTCGTATGTAATTAGTGGTTACCAATTTTATGCAATTGTTTTTCAAGACTTGGGAAAGTTGCGCCATGAAATTAACGTATGATGCCGCAGTACGTGACATAGTTGCGAACGGTCAAATATTGTGGGGTCCAAAAAAGTCGTGATGAAGAGTGTTTTCAACATTGACTGTTGCCAAGAGACTTTGCTTGCGTTCGTACGAAGAATAAGAGATAAGAATAGGAGACGAGTCTTGACGTAATCAAGAAGAATTTCGGAGTGGTCAAGAAAGGATGGACTGATGGTAACAGCAAGGCTAGACTTTCATAAAAATTTACCAACTCTAATACTGGATTATGTCGTAAAAACCGTATATCGTTCGGCGAACTATATTGAATTTTCTTAGCAATGAACGTATACAGTGAGGTGCTTGCGTTCGGTGCTGGCTAAAGCGAATTTAAAAAATCGCCGAAAATGGCTGGCTAGGTCCGTTAAAATTTTTAAGAAGCTGAGGCTTTAAACGTGCTTGAAAGGGCGGCCAAAGTTATTCCAGAAGAATTCTACAATCTCAAAAACTAAAATTTTCGTGCAATTGCAGTCTACACTGATATTCCTTGGTTTTATCCCTCCTTGGTATTATTTATTTATTGCAATAAAACAAATTATTATTAATATTATTATTATTAATTCTCAATTACAGACAATACTGAATATAACTAAGTTTAAACAAAAATAAAACTCTTACTACTCCCCTTCACAATCTTCAAAATCAGGACTAAATTCTAAGATGTCTTCATCGTCAGATACTTCAAGATACGTCATTTCTCGCTTTTCCTAGACTACAAACATATTGGTCGTATTTCCTCTGTACTATTTCAACCTCCACTTGATTGTGATTCTCTTGTGAACGATGTGACGTAAATATATCAATCTAGAACTCTCAATTTATTCTTTAAACACCTGTATAGATGACGTTGTTCTTGCTCCGGCGACAGTGGCAAAAAACATTAAGATTTTGAGATCTATTTTTTATCTAATGCTGAAAACTGACCTTTTTTACGTCCTTTCTTAGCGAGCTGACTGATGAAGGATGATTTTGAGATATCGCATTCATTTAGAATGTGTACCACGTCTACCTGTTTAAACTTTTTATTTGTTTCGTACACCCTCTGGAAGCCCAACATTCACTATTCTACAGTTTCCTCAGGATTTGCCACGGAGTATACAAAATTAAGATTAAATAATCTTCTTATGGTTCCTGCGTGTTCATTTTCATTTTTGCGTTTGTGCACTAAGCCCGCACTTAAAAATCTTATTAACGGGTCTCAACTTAAAACAAATCACTATTATCAACGAAACGCACCTATTTCCACATTCTAGCAGCTTAGCCTTACAAAGACGTTACAAATGTACAAAAACGCGTTTAAACGTCGGGCGAACCTAACCTAAAGGCTTCTTCTTCTTCTTTTATTGACATGGGATCGTGTCCTGCGTCCGTCGTTTCTTGCGATCAGCTGATCGAAACAAAATTTGGCGCATTCGTGAAAAAACGAAAAAGACGCGCCCGATACGGTCGGACTGTGAGGCATTGTGCGGCGGTGACTTGCCACTTTTACGCGGTTTCCATTTGTCATCCGCGCGGCAAACGCGCAGTGACATCCGACCACCTCATCTCTCTATCGTCCGCGGTCATTGTGTTCCCCCGAGACGACGTAGAAGAATACGATTCCCATCGGCCCCTCGTCGATACACGCACACCTTTGATTAATAAATCAACGAAATCTAGACAAGCGCGACAATAAAGACGGCTTTGTCCGCGCTGTATCTGTGGTCTCTCGCGCGCGGTGACGTCATCCCAGCGGCCGCCTACGACCTCTTGACGCGTTCTAATCCTAAAATTGCCGGATTACGTGCAATTTACCCCCGATACATTCGAGTTCCGTCGAATCCCCCAGCGTGTCGATCGATCCCTCGGCCTTGTCCGTGTTTTTTTCGACGAGGCCGTCGAAATAAACGCGTCATTCGTTTACGCAAAAACCGCGTACTTTCACGCGAAACGGCCTCTATCGCTCCAACCTTCACTGTTCCGTGGTTTCTGCAGGAGTTTCGGAGCCAAGTGCTCGGTGTGCATGCGCGGCATCTCCTCGAGCGATTGGGTGCGCAAGGCGCGCGACCATGTCTACCATTTGGCCTGTTTCGCTTGCGCGGCCTGTCACCGTCAACTGTCAACAGGCGAAGAGTTCGCCCTACACGAGGACCGCGTACTGTGCAAGGCGCACTACCTAGAGACGCTCGACGGCGGCACGACGTCGTCCGATGGTAAGAATATGCAGCGAGTCACGGACCACAGGGCGCTCGCGCCGTTCTCCAGTCCGTGGCGCCGCCACGGAAACGTGAGTGTACGTAAACAGTTTTTCCGCGTTGCAGACGGATGTGACGCGGAGGGGTACCACAAGAACAAGGCGAAAAGGGTGCGGACGACGTTCACCGAAGAGCAGCTCCAGGTGCTGCAGGCCAACTTTCAGCTCGACTCGAACCCGGACGGGCAGGACCTCGAGCGGATCGCGCAGATCACGGGACTGAGCAAACGCGTCACCCAGGTGTGGTTCCAGAACTCGCGGGCCCGTCAAAAGAAGCACATGCACACCGGCAAAACCAAAACGCAACAGCGTGAGTGTCGAGCGTAACCGCGCGCGCCATCTATGGACGCGTCCCGAAAGCCGAATTTCGGGAGGCGACTGCTAGATGGCGCCTTTCATTTGTTGCTGTTAATTTTTGTTTTTTGTGGCTGCAGTGCACACGAACAGGGACGACAGCGGCTTCGGCAGGCACATCAATCTGCACCTGACGTACTCATTCCAGCATCAGAGTAAAAGCAGCATATTTTCGCAGCCGGGTAAGTTTAGTTTCGTCTCTGATTTTTTCACGCCGCTCACGCGGTTTTCCTTGCAGATTCCTCGCTCGACGAGCTGTCGCAAGAGTCCGCGCTGCACTGCATGCAAAACGAAGTTTGAACGTCCCTCCCCCACAGCTGTAAGCGTGTCTTTTGTGATTTTAAACTGTACTTTGTGTAAATAAATTGTTGCTCGGTTAATTTATTTTGTTTACGATGAAACGGGCGAGCCCCGCCCTGTGTATGTTGGTTCGCGAGAAGAAAAACACACTTTATACGTTAACTCATGTATTGTTTCGATTATAAATATATATATATATATAGCTACATACTTGACAAAAATCGTTTTATTGAGACTGATCCCCTTCAAAACTAACCCTGTGTAGCGGAGCGCCTTAAATTGGAATCTGGAGTTTCATCCAGTCACTCAAAATAAACGTTTTTCCAACCAGAAAGTTTTAAAATGTAATGACTTAAGTCAATAATCGCGTGGCGACATCTGCTAGCGAGTCACCCAACAAAGTCGAACGCCGCAGTCAAATTCCGCTGCATAGCTTGGCGACGTGTCGATAGATGTCGCCTCCACCAAAAGTGAAACGATAAACGTGACAAAATAAATCAATTGCTCAAATATCCCGGCTCCAGAGCCCAACAGCAAGTGTGGCTTTTATAATTTCGAACCGTAAATAAAACATGCACATATAACCCAGCTAAATAACTTACAAAAATCGTTATATCTAAACTAACCAACCCAATTTAAAATTGCATCGGAACTGTTTGGGAGGCGGAGTGAATGAGCGGTCAGTAAAAAATACGCTACATGTTGTCCCCGGGCCACAAAAGCTATTAAAAATTCTTAAATTAACTTCTTTAAAGTTGTTCTTCGTGCGGAGTGCGCGGCGACATCTGCTGGCGAATGTTTCAACCGACTCCAACGACGAAGTGAAATTCCTTCAATGGCTACGTGTTGAGAAATGTCGCTTTTATTTTTTTTTTGTTACGTCAAACCACTAGTTAACTAAATATCCTCAGTATCCAACATACTCTCCGTTTTGACTCGTGGCATTGATTAGAAAAACTGGAAGCGTTTAGTCTTGAATACGCGATATCGGCCGCTCCTCGAAAGATGGCGCCACCTAGTCGAATTAAAATAGAGCTGAATCGAATTTACAGAATAAAAGCATCGTTCGTGTAAAAGTGACCTAACCTTTTTTGCTCGTTCGTATCATTGTATTAAATTTGAAGCAGCAAAGCATAGTCAGCGAGCGACTCTCGCTCTGCAATGAAATACTTCAACCAGTGCCGAGCGAACAACAGATTTATTCGGTCGGTTCGATTAATTTTCACGGGACGGACGCTTTCGGCGAAAACATCGTTTCGAATTACGCGTGAAACGCTCGATCTATTCAAATTTGCCGGGGTTTTTGGGCAACGGCCGACCGCCTGAGCATAGTAGCTCGGCACACGCGCACCATCGTTCGTTTTCGTCCGTGCCGCGTTGTCGTTGGCTGCCTGTCGCCATCTCTGAATACCGAAAATAAGAGGCTTTGAAATACTACGCCCTCACAGGACGATTTCGGAGTTAGAAAGGTGAGTCGTTAATTTCTAAAAATGCGAAATTATCGTCGTTTCGTCGGCAATGGCGACAATCGTGTCGTTTTAATAGAGTTACGGGCCTCGTTCGGCGAGGCGATCGGACCCGTGCGCGGCCTCATTCCGCCGAAAAAGGCCAAACTAACGCACGGCCGACATTTTCTGCTCCATGTCAGCGTCGCGTTGATGACAGCGCCAACGGTGCTAATTTGACGAAATTTACGCCGAAATGCCCCCTACAATTGTGTGCTGGAAGTGCTGCTGCGGTTCGTGCTCGTCGAATTCGACAAATTCGTCGTTTTTCTGCGAAAAATTATTGCTTTCACGCAATGGCGTCGACCGTGCAGCTGCGTGAATCGCGTTTTAAACCGTTCGGGCTCGCGAATGCCGCGTCACAAGTGCTAAACCTCGACGAACATTTTCGAGCTCCGGGCGTTCGACCGGCAGCTTTTACACAGTGGTTTTTTAGGGCTCATGACGAGTTATTCGCGCTGAAACGCGAGGTTAGGCGAGAGCCGAGATGACTGCCCAATTTTCTGAGAGCGCGGTCAAGCTCGAGGACACGTCGGAGAATGTTACCGAGATCCAGTCCTATCTGGCGGGCTTCCAGAAGGAGATCGGCGACTCTTCGATTCAGCAAGGCTCAGGTAAAGTTTAGAGTGTATTTGCTATTTGTTTCGCGGTCAAGAACACGTTAAAGTAAGACACGGCGTGGGTAACGCCGTGAGATTGGACGACGAATAGGGGGGCCGGGGCGGTTTCGTGCGCTAAAATGTCGGTGACGGTGCCCCGTTTGACGGCGCCGCCCTTCCTGAAGCTCACCTCGCGGTGCAGCAGGGCCGCGACATCGCCGAAGACATCGGACCAAGCGACGTCCCCCACGTCCTTGCTGCGAAAGAAATAGACGCGGACGCCTTCGATGAGAAGCGCGGGGCCCATCACGGCGGCCGGCCAGTAGTTGGGGCCCCGTTTTCGCGCGAACGCGAGCTGAAACGGTCGAAAACTGGGGAGAGGGCAGGATCACGAAGGGGGCCCTCCCGATGCCGACTTACATGACCGAGTCGACAAAGTCGTCGTCATCGTCATCGCTCGACGTGGGGCTCGGTGGCATTTCGGGTATAAAAATTTTAACGGGTTCTTTGAATTTGATGGGAAAAACATCGTTCGCCGAATACGGCAGCTCGGGGTGCCGCCATATTGCGATGTCGCGTTGACATTTGACAGATGGAAAGGTGTACTTTTCCTATTCTACGACTTGCGCAGTGGCCTTTTTGCGAATTGTTAAAGAGGGTCCACACTTATTTTTTTTTTACAATTTATTTCAAAGCTCTAACCAAAAATAAACATTGTATTTTGTTGATATAAATTTACATTGCATTTTTTTCTTATAAAGTCTTTAAGGTTATGACACATTGTCTTAGTAGTGGGCTTTAATACAGTGGTATTTTATTAAAAACTTAAATGCTTCTGTATATTGGCGAGGCTTGTTTCTTTTTGGTCCTTGCGTATGCATTTCTTAACAGATTGTTTCTTGTGCTATAGTTGTAACACTGTTTATTTCCAATCAGTTCACATATTTTTTAATAAAGCAGGCCTTAAGTGCATGTTAACAAGGATCTCAGGTGTGGCTCTATGAAGCTGTTCATATCAGTTGTTTTGTTGCCTAGGTTGGTGAGAACATTTTTTTTATTGTACCCAGGATTGGTATAGTTTTGTCCGTTATAGCCTCAATTTAGTGTTTCAGAGATAGTTACCGCACACACTTTTTAACACACTTATCTAATTTCGTTAAGGGAGGTCGATATAATAAGTTGATCTTCTGGTCTTTGCCAACTAAGTGACTGAAAAACACGTATATAATCGTGTGGACCCTCCTAGATACGAATAATGTGGACGACCCTGTTTTGCACTCCTTTAAGTGTTGTTGTGAATTGTCCCAGACGAGCACGATGGCGACGGCGACGAAGGCACCTACTTCGTCGACCAGGCGGGCCACTACTACTTCCAGGCCAAGGGCGGGGCGCAGCCGGTGCTCACGATGATGCCCGACCTGCCGGAGCACCACCAGGCCGCCGGCGAAGACGGCGACGAGTACGTCGTGAACCAGGAGAACGCCGGCCCCGACGGCGACGACGACGACGAGGTGACTTTCATTTTTCTTTCCGTAACCACCAAAATTAAAAGCGTATGCTAAATAATAAACTTACCTGTATTATTGTTATTAATAGGTCAGAGCGTCTTTCTAGCTCCTTCTTGGAATAGATTAGGTATCGAGCAGGACACAAAGAGTAAAGCAAAACTTCGACGAGGTCACTGTTCAATCATTAGTATTGCTTTTTCACGGTACTCGTATGATAGACAAATATTACAAGATATTAACAAGTTTTTTTATTAGCCTTTTTGAATGAAAAAATATATTATGAAAATCAGGTTAGAAGAGAAAATATTGTAAAACTTGGCTAAATTGTTGAATAATATTACTAAACTACTAAATAGAATCAACCTAAGCACACTACAATGTCCGTTGCGACCTTTTGAACCTTTTAACATAAATTTTCGTTATACAAATTATTTTAAATTAAAACACTGTTAACAGTTTGTAAGTTCTGAACTGCACTCTTGTGTTCTTATTTGAGCGATTTAATATAATAATAATAATAATAACAATTACAGGAAATATTAAACATAAATCATCCACTAAATGGTTGAACATGGAGAGCAGAAGAAAAGCACATGAAGCCTGTTTTTATCACAAAGTTGTATACTACAAAAGTCCTCAATATCTCTGCTGAAGGATTGTGCTCAGGTCTCATGTTCATAAATATTAGATTTAGAGGTGCCTCTGCATAAAACATAATAATATATATATTAATATAGCTAAATTATATAATAGTATTCCTAATAACCTCTTTCAGATATTTTTTCGAAAAGTAAAGTTTAAAAAAAAAAGCACAAACGTGAGCGAAATAGGATCCTTTAAAAAGTGTGGGAACAAGTAAAATTTTTATTTTTCTGTTATTGTGCTATCGCTGACGCCATAAATAAAGTTGTTTCTCAATCCGTTGGGTTAAATAGATCAGGGTGGCTAACATACTGATGTTATCCTTATCTGGGTTTCGTCCATTTCTGTGTATGTATGCGACCTCCATTTTTATTATAATACATCTCTCTCTGTCTAATGTACATAGTTAAAAAGAGACAACAATAGTAGAACAATAAATTTTGTTATGGAAATTTGATTTGATAAACGTCAACTTTTATCTTAGGCGGTGGCTGTAATAAATAGGGCGCGATAATGACAACAAAATATACTCGCGGCTTAAAAAAATATATTCTTTTGAATGCGGGTTGCAGCATCCTTCTATAAAATTAACCTATATAATTGATCGTATGCATAGGAATTCATGCGTCCTGTGCGGATTTAGCAACCGATTTGGTCCTGTATCTTTAAAACAAGCACCGTTTTCCTAATTCATATTCGGATTGCTCATATCTAGTATCGACTGTCAAATTACAAAGAACGCCGTTTGGGATTTTCGACCGATTGTGCTACCATCTCGATTATTTCGCAGCCCCCGGTGCCGGTACGTGGCGAACCGAACCAGATCTTGATCAATTCGGGCAACGCGTACCAACGTGTGACGGTGGTGCCGGCGGATAACAATTCCGGCGAGCTCAGCTACGTGCTGATCGTCCAGGATCCGGACGCGAAGGACGGCGATCAGACGGACGGCGACCAGGACATGGCCGTGTACGATTTCGACGACGCGGAAGACAGCAACGGCGTCATCGACTCGGACGCCGAGGACGACAAGACGAAGATCCTCAAGGTGGTGCCGCGCAAGTCCCAGAGCGTAGCGCAGGCGCACATGTGCAACTACTGCAACTACACGAGCTCGAAACGGTACCTGTTGTCGCGGCACATGAAGTCCCACTCGGAGGAGAGGCCGCACAAGTGTAGCGTGTGCGAACGCGGCTTCAAGACGCTCGCCTCGCTCCAGAACCACGTCAACACGCACACCGGCACCAAGCCGCACGCGTGCAAGTACTGCGACGCGGCTTTCACCACGTCCGGTGAGTGGCGAATCTAAAAACACTAATAATTGACGGGTAGTTCGAATGTACCGGCCTGGCGGCTCCCTGAACAAAAATCCAATGCGGGTGATGGAAAAACGGAAGGTAGTTCGAACGTACCGCCATTTGCAGCATGGCGACCACCTCTTTGTGCCAAAAAACAAGAGGAGCGAATAAACCGAGACTCTAGCCATGGGTTTGCCCCTTTCGGCTCGTTGAAAAAACACAAAAAAAAAGTAAAAAAGAGGCTAGAGTAGTTTAAATGTATGAGCACTGTCTCGCAATTAGTGAGTAGTTTAAATGTACCGAGCCTCAAAAATAAAATGGAAAATTCAAATGCGCCCAGACTCTGGCTTCGTTTTACCAGATAGAAACGGGAAGGACTAAACCAGCAGGCCTGTAGGTATAGCGAAGCCCCTTTGAGTCTCTCGCCCCGTTTTTTTTTTTTCCTCAAAAAAGTGAAGAAAAAAAAACAGTTGATAATCGGACTAAATGTCGGTTGCCCAAGTAGTTTATCAGAACTTTTTCGCAATTAGTGAGTAGTTCAAATGTACCGAACCGTAAAAACAAAAGATCAACAAAATGGAAAATTCAAATGTACCAAGCCTCTGGCTTAGTTTTACCAGATAGAAACGGAAAGGACTAAGCCCGTAGGCTTGTAGGTATTGCGAAGCCCCTTTGACGCTCCCTCGCCTCGTTTTTGTTTCGCCAAGTGAAAAAAAAAACAGTTGACAATCGAAATAAATGTCGGTTGCCCAAGTAGTTTGAATTTATCAGAACTTTTTTGCAATTAGCGAGTAGTTCAAATGTACCGAGCGTTCATAAAAACAAAAGAAAGACAATTCAAATGTAAGGACTAAGTCCGCAGGCCTGTAGGTATTGCAAAGCCCCTTTCAGGTTTTCTCGCTTCGTTTTTTTTTTTCGCCAAAAGTAAAAACAAAAATTGACAATCGAAATAAAGGCCGCGACTATGTTCCCAAGTAGTTAAAATTTGTCAGAACTGTCTCTCTATTAGTGAGTAGTGCAAATGTACCGGGCCTTCCGGCGTCGTAAAAAGAAAAGACCATTGAACAAATAAAATTCCGTGTTGTAAACGAGTAGTTCAAATGTAACTAGACTTCGTTTTGCCAGATAGAAACATTGACGACTAAGGCCACAGGCTGATAGATATTGCGAAGTTTTCTTTTCCTCACTTAAAGTGTAAAAGAAATAAATGTTGGCCCTCTGCTTCGCTCAGAACTCTCGGAATCAGTGAGTAGTTCGAATGTATCGACGGTGGTTCGTTCGCCGGTAAACGCATAACGGACGAGTAGTTCATATAAACTTCGTCCGCGTTCTTCCTGTCCTTCCATTCGCCCTTTCCCCTGACAAGTTGAGGAGAGAATTGAAAACGGATAACGGGGTTGAATGAATAAAATGGATAAAATTTGCTATTGTGAATGGGTATTTTGAATGTGTATCGAGCGTAAGAAGATCGTTTTTTTTTCCTTCCGATACTCCTAGTACGTTAAAAATAGAATTAAATTGAAATTCGATATGTGTAGTTCAAATGTACCGGAACTCCTGTCTCGTTTTGACAGAACCTTTAAGGAGTGAGCAGTCAGACTTCTATGTAATGGGGAGTTGACCTCTGCCCCTTTGATTGTTTTTTTTTTATATTTTGAAAAAGAAAAAAAAACCGATAAACAAAAAAATAAATTAAAAACTGTCGAGAACCGAAATAAATTTTGGCTCATCAGCGAGTAGTTGGAACGTACACAAAGCAGGTCGACAGAAAAGTACAGGGAACTAGGTAACAAAAACATTAAAAAAAAAAGTGTAGGAAACGCTTTGAAAAATAAGTAGTATAACTCGGTGAACATGCAAAAAAAAGCGGGTAGTTCAAACGAATTTCCGTTGCGCAGGCGAACTGGTGCGACACGTGCGCTACCGCCACACCTACGAGAAACCCCACAAGTGTCACGAGTGCGACTACGCAAGCGTCGAGCTGTCGAAACTGAAACGTCACATTCGGTGCCACACGGGCGAGAGGCCATACCAATGCCCGCACTGCACTTACGCGAGTCCCGATACGTTCAAGCTGAAGCGCCACCTACGCATCCACACCGGCGAGAAACCGTACGAGTGCGACCAGTGTCACACGCGGTTCACCCAATCCAACAGCCTCAAGGCCCACAAACTGACGCACAACAGTAAGCGCTCTCGATGGTTCACTTTTTATTTTGATTTTGAAAAAATATATGTGTACTTATAGTACACATTATTGGCAGGTATAGTACGAACAACAATCTATCGAACTCGTTCATTGCAGTTATGATCTAGAAAAATTATTTTTTAAACGTTCAGTAACGATTTGATATATCGAAGGACCACCAGATATCTATGTTACACAGATTTTGAGAATATTTCCTGCAAATTTTTTGAAATTTGGTTCACTGAAGGTTTTATGAATGCTTAATCGAATAATTGAATATATGAATAATAATGCCAAGTGGACTTTCCCTCGGAGGTTTGTATTTTTAATGAAAAACGCCCATTTTGATTTAATTTTTAAATTGTCTGCATTATTTTTTAAATGTAAATCTCTTTAACACAAAAGTTTTGAATTTACCATTCAGTAACAATTTAATACTTTGCAGGACGAACAGATTATACAGGTTCCTGAAAAAATTTCTGATGGTATTGCCTGTAATTTTTTGGAGTTAAGTATGCTTGGTCCAATAATTATATCGACGAGAATGCTAAGTCTTAACTAATAATCAAATTATAATATTTTCATTGTTGTTCGGCGTAAGACATACAGGGAGCAGTAAAGTGCACAATTAAAAAAAGTGACACTTTTGCTTTTTGCTCCATTGTCTCTAAACCTGTCAACAAAAAAAATGTAACTTTGTGTTATATCTCGTGAACTAAAGGCTTTAAGACGAAATCGGCGAAACAGATAGATTTGCCCTTAAAAAGTCTCCAAGAAATGTTTTTAATAAAAATCTCTATCATGACAGATAAAAAAGTTATGAAGGGTTTTTAGATACTGTAACACTGCATAGGTTAGAGTTTAGCACAGCCTACTATGGTAATTATTAAAAATTGCAGATATCTTTTTAACTACTCTACTAGAGGTCTATGGCACATCGTTTGACAGGAAATTTTTTTAGACAAAAAATTGGTGGGTTCCATTAAAAAAAAAAATGTTACTTTGTGTTATATCTCGCAAACTAAAGGCTTTAAGACGAAATCGGCAAAACAGTTAGATTTACCATTAAAAAATCTTCAAAAAATGTTTTTAATAAAAACCTCTATCAGTACAAATAAAAAAGTTATAGAGGGTACAACTGCATAGGTCAGAGTTAAACACAGCCTACCATGATAATTATTAAAGATTGCAGATATCTTTTTTACTACTCAATAAAAATTTTATTAGAAAAAAAATTGGTGTATTTCATTTAAAAAAATGTAACTTTGCGTTATATCTCACGAACTAAAGGCTTTAAGACGAAATCGGTGAAACAGGTAGATTTGCCCTTAAAAAAATCTTCAATTTTTTTTTTTTAAAGAATCACAAAAATAAAAAAAATTATAGAGGGGAAAAGTGCATAGGTCAGAGTTAAGCACAGCCTACTATGGTAATTATTAAAAATTGCAGATATCTTTTTAACTACTCTACTAGAGGTCTATGGCACATCGTTTGACAGGAAATTTTTTTAGACAAAAAATTGGTGGGTTCCATTAAAAAAAAAAATGTTACTTTGTGTTATATCTCGCAAACTAAAGGCTTTAAGACGAAATCGGCAAAACAGTTAGATTTACCATTAAAAAATCTTCAAAAAATGTTTTTAATAAAAACCTCTATCAGTACAAATAAAAAAGTTATAGAGGGTACAACTGCATAGGTCAGAGTTAAACACAGCCTACCATGATAATTATTAAAGATTGCAGATATCTTTTTTACTACTCAATAAAAATTTTATTAGAAAAAAAATTGGTGTATTTCATTTAAAAAAATGTAACTTTGCGTTATATCTCACGAACTAAAGGCTTTAAGACGAAATCGGTGAAACAGGTAGATTTGCCCTTAAAAAAATCTTCAATTTTTTTTTTTTTAAAGAATCACAAAAATAAAAAAAATTATAGAGGGGAAAAGTGCATAGGTCAGAGTTAAGCACAGCCTACTATGGTAATTATTAAAAATTGCAGATATCTTTTAAACTACTCAATAAAAACCGGGGCATGGTTTGAAGGAAAATTTTATTAGAAAAAAAATTGGTGTTATGGGCTAACTATACTGCAAATGCTTAAAGCCATACGCTGTACAGTATTTGGGGGTGTCCATTCGAAAGGTCGCGCTTCATTTTTTTTTTATTCCATCTCTGCGCAGTCGGCGAGAAGCCGGTGTTCCAGTGCGACCTGTGCCCGACCACGTGCGGCCGCAAGACCGACCTGCGCATCCACGTGCAGAAGCTGCACACGTCCGACAAGCCGCTCAAGTGCAAACGCTGCGGCAAGTCGTTTCCGGACCGCTACAGTTACAAAGTGGGTGTGGCTCGTGCGCGCGTCACTTTTAATTTTCAAAATGGCGCCTCGTTCACAGCTGCACAGCAAGTCGCACGAAGGCGAGAAATGCTACAAGTGCGACCTCTGTCCGTACGCGTCGATATCCGCGCGCCATCTAGAGTCGCACATGCTCATCCACACCGATCAGAAGCCGTTCATGTGCGAGGACTGCGATCAGTCGTTCAGACAGAAGCAGCTCCTCAAACGGCACCAGAACCTCTACCATAATCCGGAGTACGTGCCGCCGGCGCCCAGAGAGAAGACCCACGAGTGTCCCGAGTGTTCGAAGGCGTTCCGACACAAGGGCAACCTCATCAGGCACATGGCGTCCCACGACCCCGACCCCAACGTCCACCAGAAGCAGCTCGAGCTGAAACTCGGCCGTCAGAAGAAGATCCAGATGATCGACGGGCAGCAGGTAGAGGTGATCGGGCCGGGCATCGATTCCGACGAGGAGGAGGAGATCGACATGATGGCGGTCGAGGGCTCCGACGGTCAGCAGTACGTCGTCCTCGAGGTGATCCAGCTGGCGGACGGCGAAGAGCAGGCGGTGGTCGTCGGCGCCGACGGTGCCGAGAGCATCCTCACCAGCGAGGGCATCCTGCCGGGTACCGGTAAGTGAACGCGGAAAAGTTCATCGAGAAAACGAAAAATTCGCGAAACAAATCGGAAGGAGCGAATTTAAAGGATAGGAAAAGGAGTGCGGATGGAACGGAAGAAAGAAAGGGAGGAAGAGGGATGAAAAACAAAAGAACCAAAAAAAAAAACAAAGAAGAAAATGAAAAGAATCTAACAAAAGGCAAATCCAGAATGGAAGGAAGTAGGGAAAAACAATTTAATGAAAGACAAATAAAAAGCAAAAGGTGTGATAGACGAAAACCGTAAATATAAAAATTGTAGCCCTAGATACATAACACTGATTGAACGGATTAGCTATTGTTTGTGCGAATTTTGATGTACGGTTAATAATTTACTCTCTAAAAGCACAATTTTCAGGATCATTTAGATTTTTGTCCATAACTAAAACACCTTGTATATAATCGAAAAAACGCGTGAAACAAAAGTTATAGCTCCGGGTCTCGCACGTATTACGGATGTAAAATTTTTCCATTCAGATGAATGGCTTTGGAGAAAAAGCTGTTTTTCTGGATACCAAACTAACCACAAAAAAATCAAAAATTAAAAAAAAAAAAATGCTTCGCATTATTTTATTGCTCCCAATTTAGAGTCTAAATGCGGAATATCGCGAACACCCTGTACAGTACTTAAAAACCGTAAATACAAAAGAAACTGACATCTAAAACACAAAATTGAAATTATTGCCAATTTTCAATAATAGAAGGACCCGTTTTTCAGTTTGTTTGAATTTGCGGCCCACCCTGTATATTTTTGAAAAATTGCCAAGAATAAAAGTTTATGGAGTCGTTTCCGCTGTCTTCCGGTTCAAGAATTTTTTCGGTCTTGTGACTTTTAATTTTTTCATCACACTGCATATATGTGCCAAATATGAAGTCATAGCAAAGTCCAAAAAGCAGTCGAAAATCGCGAAAAAAAGATGGATACCAGCGTCGGACCATTTCTTTTAAGCTTAGATGCCTCGTGGAGGATTAAGAAGAAGGCAGATTTTAATTTTTTAACTCCCAACCGGTTCGAAAGTTATTCAGGAAAAACCAAAAGACGAGAACGGAGAACGGACAGACAAAAAAAAATTTTTTTCGACACTGATCATTTCTGTACCAACGGCGATCCCGTAGGACTTACCGTTACCGAGATATAAAATTTTTACACGAGCGCAGAATAAAAAAGCCGCAATAGGGTATCAACAATACAAGTTTATAAAAGGCAAATAGAGAATATAATGAAAAACAAACAAAAAGCAACCGGTTAACATGAAGTGAAAGTAAGGAAAAAATAGGAAAAGATAAATAAATAAAATTAATTTAAATAAAGAAACAAAAAAATAATGCATACATAACGGCTCAAATCACCCTTATACACACAAAATAGCTGCATTTCACTCTTTTATACACAGACTCCTTAATACGCCACTCTCAACAGAAAATCACAACAAAAATCATAATAACATAAACGAATCGCACTGAACAACTTATACAATTCGTTCATTATCGATAAAATTATAAATAAAAAACAAATCCAGACAACAGCAAACTCTATTATAGGAAAATTTCAAAAATCATTTCTGTACCAACGGCGATCCCCGTAGGACTTACCGTTACGGAGATATAAAACTTTTATACGAGCGCAGATGCTTTCGAAAAATTCGATTTCATCGATTTTCGAAAGTAACAAGTAGTTCTTCGTTGCAGAACTGGACGAGGACGTGATGAAGGCGCTGCAGCAAGCGCGGAAGGCGGAGAAGGGGGAGGACAGCGACGGCGACGAGAAGAAGCCGATCGTGGCGTCGACCGCGTCGGATATGAAGAACTGCTTCGGGTTCGACGTGAGTATTGCACAGAATCTCTCCTCCTTACACCACCTAACCGCCCGCTTTGTTCGCAGGAAGACGAGGACGAGGAAGACGACGAGGACGACGGCATGAAGTCCGAGCACAAGGACACCCTCTCGCTGCTGGGCGGTATCGATTAGGCCGCCGCCCCCGCCTAGTGTACTTTTTATTCAAGGATTATTATCGCCCGTCCGGAGGGACGGCGTCGGCGCGGGGGGGACGTTTTTCCTCCCGCCCGCCCGGTACCCGGATTAGTATTTATTTGGTACACGGGTACTTGTAAACATTTGTACATAGCGTTGGACCGCATACCTCTTCGCCTTTTAATTATTTTTTAAGTGTCCCACGACGACATGAAATAAACGAAAGTGGAGAAAAACCGATCGATTTGGTGTTTTTAGCGTCCCCGCCCTCCGGTTCGTTTGAACTACTCTATTCGAGCGAGTTTTAAAACAATTCGGGCCACCGCATTGGATAATTACGGATTTCAGCGCGGAAATTGTCGTTTGATCGATCGGTCCGCGGTTCATTTGAACTACTCGCCCCGTGTTTTGAACTGACGTGAGAATTTATTGCGTGCCACATTATTTCGCCGTCCAGGGAGCGATTCGTTTCAACTACTCCGGTGAGGGTCTATTTGGCCAGCCGACCGGAAACGGTTCGTTTTCGTCGTCTCGGGGACCTGTTCATTTGAACTACTCGTTCATAGTTTCATATTCCTAATAAAGCGATAGTGAGAGGCTCCGACGTTCGAACCCCGCTTTCGCGGTTCATTTGAACTACTCAATGGCGGTTACGGGCGTGATTGAAGCGATAATGCGAGGGACGATTTGCACTGACGACGCTCATTGCATCATTGTACGACCAAAAATATCGTGCATTAATTGCTTTGACGTTTAAAGTATTTTACGGTACCTTAACCGCAGACCATCGCAGGACCGTGGCAAAACCCATCCCAACAGATATTTATGTTTATGTACCTGATTTTCGAGCTTTGACGCTGCGAGGCTGTTTTCACTGGATAGTTCGGAGGGTAAGTACTTATTAACTACTATTTAACCCGATTGATTGATAAATTCCTAGGACGGTCCTGGAATGGTTACGGGAAAGGGTATGCTTCAGGGTATTCTATAGCGGGTTGCGGTTTTGGAATAATAAAAAGTAGGCAATGTTAAGTAATAATGCTACTCCTGCCAGAGAACACTTAAACTACAGACGCTAACGTTGGCTCATAGCTACGACAATAGTTCGGCGTCCCTGCGATGGTCCATTTGAACTACCGACTCCAACACGGCATTTCAGTTATCGGTTCGTTCGGACTACTCGTCGAACACTTTGAACTTGCGAAACGCGTAAAAGAGAAGGTCCATCCATTCGTCATATATTGAGTCGACTACATTCTACCGCGCCTACGTATCACATCTTTTCGAGCGGAATTAGCCCTAAAATCTCCATGCCGCTCGCCAGTACTTTACGCGCGGTGTCGAACAGCAGCAGCCGCTGCGACGCGACCTCCGGCTCCGCCCCCTTCACCCGCAGCGCCTTCAGCGCTCTGCCGATGCGGTTGCTGGAAAAATTAAAGCGCCCCCTGACGCATTCGCGCAAAACCACCTCCTACCGCGTGTACCCACCACAACTGAAAGAGATAATTGACGAGGAGGCAGGCCTCGAGCTGTTCGTTAGCGACGTGGAGCGCGTCCTGGAACCTGGCGAGCTCGGTGAGCAGTTCCGTCACCTCGGGCTCCGCCAGCACGTCGGGGTCGCACGTTTTGGCAGCGGCGACGCCCGCGTTCCTGGCCACGCCCCACAACCGACAATGGTTGTACTGGAGCCTGATGCCGGTGTCGCCTTGGACCTGGAGCACCTTGTCCCACGAGAACTCGTAGTCCCGTTGGCGACGCTGCTTCAGGTCGTTGACAATCACGCAGCTGACGCCCAGCACGTCGGAGGTGCGCTCGTCCGTCACCGGCACTTTGGTCGCTTCAAAATCGCACTTTTGTAACGCGGTTACGGAGAAAACACTACCTCTTACTAGGCGACTCGATCTGGCGCTGCACCACCAGTTCGCGGCACTCGTCGAGAATGTCCTTCAGGAAGACGGCGGTACCCTTGCGAGTACTCATGCCCCTGACGCGGCCGAATTTCACGTGGATAAGGCGGTCCGCCCACGGCAGGTCCATCTTGTGGATGACGCTCTTCAGCGCGTGGAAATGGTCGCTCTGGCCGTTCTCCACCACATAATACATGCGATCAAAGTCGTACCTATAACATAAGAGGTTATACTTCCACCAGAAATATAGTGCTTTTACAACCAATCCTTATTACTCCAAAACGGCAACCCCTTATAGAGCACACTGCCGAGCACACCCTTACCCGTAACCATTCCAGGACCGTCCTAGCAATTTATCTATCAAAACTAACCAGCGAAATATATCTTATAATCATTGTTAAAAAAAACATAATATATTTATGTATATTAGTACTTGTTACAATACAGAGAGTTACAGGTATTCACGACTCTGTTGCATAGCAAGTTTTTTCTCTGCAGTTTGGCAGTCTTTTCTTTAGTTTTTTTTTTTTTTTTTGGGTCATTTTGAAAGATGTTCAGTTCACATGAGTAATAGTTTTGCATCATCTTGTAAGTCTCAATTTGAACACCCCGTAATCTTCTTTCTTTCAGGGTTGTTAACTTTACAAGTTCTTCCTCATAGTAATCATTAGATAAATGGTTTGAACGCGCTCGAGCATTTGAATGTCTTTAATAAAGTAGGGATCCCATATTGTCTGACCAGTTTGGACGAACGAAAGACTTATAAAGCTTTACTATGGCCTGAGATCATCTATTACGAAAGGCCTTCTTCATACAAAACACCAAAGAATCAATCCGCTTAACTACTTTTGAAATATGTGTCACCCATTTCAAGTTGAAACTTATCATTATTCCAAGGTCTTTCTGTTCCTCTACAGGTTGTAAGCTCTTTTTATGAAGGGTATAACGATACTCAAGACTTAAAACATTGCATTTCTCTTCGTTTAGTTTCATTTTCCTTTTTTTGGACCAAATTTCTATCCTTGTTAGCTCAGAAGGTCATCATAGTTGTCAGTAAGATTCGCATAGAATTTTGTATCATCTTAAACGTCAACGCAATTAATGCACTATATTTTTGGTCGTATTATACAACACATTATTATATGACGTCAGAGAACCATCATGTCCACTGTAGACGACTTGAAAGATAAGATAACAGCTGACAGGACCAACTTCTAAGTACTAATACCCACATACCACAAGCATTTTAGGACTGGTCTACAGCAGCCACCATAGAATAGATAAGTCTATAGGAATAGCAAGAGCGTCTCTAATTTGGCTTGGAATGACAAAATAAGGCACCGATCTTGTGCAGTATTCTAAACCAAAAGAACCTTCAAAATTGAAGAAAATTTCAGAATTTATATGGGAAAATTGTAAGTTTCTGATCTTTTCATACTCGGAAGTACTCGGTCAGGACTCTACGATTTTGATGAATTATCTTGCAGCAATGCCTTGAAAGTTATAAAGCAAGTGTAAAAGAGTAGTATCAACAACCGTTGAAACTGACAACTCAAAAGAAATTTTCGCAAGAATGGAAATTCTACCACGGACATCTCCTTCAACCCTCACTCCAATGGTTTATCAGAACAATTCGGTCTATTGTTTGAGGTTTTTGAATTTTTTGTAAAAAGGGAGATGTGACCTAATTTTATACTAGTGATTGTAAAATCGGCGATTCACATAAGCCTTAGATCTAACCTTAAAATCACCTCAAATTTTCGGAATTAAACATCACAAAAAACGGTTTCCGCCTTTAGTTTTTTTTTTTTAATCTTGCGTACCCTCTACAATAAACAAAAAGGGTACGTAAGTGCGAAAACTTACCCCCAAAGAAGGCAATTTTCAGAAATTTTTAATTTTTGACCATGTATAGTAAATAATGCCGGATGTCCTGCGTTTCCCGGTTGATCTTGTGATTGGTTTTCGATAAAATATTTTTCTTTTATGGAACTCCCTTCTTTTTTTTCTAAATTCTGGTTTATATGAGGAAAGTGGAAGATAGCGTCACTTTTTGAGAATAACGGGCACACCCTGTACATTTTTGAAAAACATCAGGAATAAAAAGTGGCAGTGGATGTCCAGGTAAAGTCTGTTCATAGATATAAGAAAGTGACTAACTGATACGAATTGAGGAAAGACCCGGGCAAGCTGTAAGATTGAAATATGGCCGAACAGGTCCGTATTTGCTTAGAATTTAATTATTTGGGGTTTTGTTAGGAAAGATACTAAACAATATTTATTTATTTATGAATGTATTTATGTTTAAGTCTAGAATAAAATTACAAATTATTTTTATTACCTATTTAAATTACAGAAAAGTATTCACATAATATATCAGTATCACTATCGCTATCATCGCCTGTTCTAATTATTATTTGTTCTATATTATTTGCAATATGGATATACGATGGTTCTGCTGTATCTCCTGAGATACACTAGACTCGCACATATTTTGCATAATTCGCATACACAAGCTGTATTACACCCGAAATAAGAATGATTACTAATAAACTTAAACTAAGTAGCATGCCAAACCAAATAATAATAAACACGGGTACGTATAAAATTATTTTCTATTACGGAGCACAATTTTACCTGAATTTAAATTCCGAAACTTTAGGTAATAATCTTGTTGCATTGTGTGTTAATGACCACCCTTGGATAATCCCATTCAAAAGCAATTGGTCACTTACTTATATATATGAACAGACCAATTCTTTTAGCAAACGGTTTTTAAGATTGATTGTTTCCTTTGCACCACCACAAATGTGGTTTTCGGATTTTTAAAAATACTTCCCCTCGTCCACCCCCCCCACCAATTTCAATAGGAGCCAAGAAATTGCGATTCCTTTCATAAGGTTGTTCAGAAAATCGCGAAAAGAACATGGCGTCGATTCGATTGGCTCATGTGTCTCGTAGAGTGTTTAAAAGGGACCAAAAAACACAGGTTGTACGAGGGCCTACCGTAGATTCTTTTAGAAAATTCTGTGAGGCTGTTTTCACTGGATAGTTCAGAGGGTAAGGGTAAGTACTTATTAACTACTATTCAACCCGATTGACATGATGTGGTCTGAGTAATACCAATAAGAAGTAGCTAAAATATTAGTAACACACAGTACCTACGGTACCGGTCGATAGCAGCGGCAATGTCCCGGGTCAAGTACAAAGAACTGCCGTCGCTTTTCACCACAGTTGCCGAGCGCTGGTTACCCAACTCTGTGACCTCTTTGCCATCCGCTTGTTTGGTGATGACCCGTTTCTGACGCAACGTCTCAAGCAATTCGGCGATATTCTTCGCCCCGTACATCGATTCCGAATGGTACTCGTCGAAGCTCACGCCGAGCCGCGCGTAAGTCCCGTCGAGCTCCGACTTGGTGTAATCCAAAAGACGGCGCCAGCCGGCCACCTCCTCCTCGGAGCCGCGCTCTAGCTTCGAAAACTCGCGCTTCGCGCGTTCCATCACCTCCCCGTCCTTCTCCGCCAACAAGTTCGCGTGCACGTAACACTTGTACAAGATTTTAATCGGGTCCTCCCGTATGGCGTCCGCGCCGTACCCCAACTCGTCCATCCCCACTTTGATGAGCCCGAACTGCGTGCCCCAATCGCCCAAGTAATTCAATCGCGTCACCTTGTTCTTCGCGAACGCGTTCAGGTTGCTCAGAAAGTTACCGATAATCGTCGACCGCAGGTGGCCGTAGTGAAACGGTTTGGCCACGTTGGGCGAGCTGAACTCGACGACCACCTTCTTCGGTTTCACGTTGAGCGCCGGGTGGAAACAGTTCTCCATCACGTCCCGCATAAACACGCGCCGGTCGATTTCGAACGACACTTTCCTGTTGGCGCGGTCCCTCACTAGCCGCACGCTCCTGATTATGTCGTCCGGTCGGATTTTTAGGATTTCGTTCACGTCCGGCACGCCCAGCTGCGCCTCGAGCACGTCAAGCGACACGTTGAGCTCGATCTTGGCCGGCTCGGGCGGGCTGCCGACCCGGAACAGCGGCAGGAACTCCACCGGAGACAGTTTAGCGTCACGGTTAAGCGAATCAATGATCTGAAAAGGTTCAACGGTGGTTTGAGTGGCGCGGCGCGACCGCCGAGGTTACCTTCCGGCCCAGGTACAGCTTTAGCTTCGAAGACATTCCCGGAGTAGTCATTTGAACTGGAATTTTGATTTCGTCCGGCCGTTTTTGAGGTTAGCGCAACCGACCGATCGCCGATCCGTGGCGACGTCAAATCCGTCAAATTCGAATAACTTCAGTGAATCGATCCACTCACGAATTATTAGTTATCCACAGCAATCGGCTCACGTTATTGCGATTTGCGAAATACGAATCGATTGAACGATCGGAAATTTCCTGTTTGACGGGTAACTGCGCTGCGTCTAACGCTGTGCGTTTAACGTATTCGCGCGTTTAGGTTGGCCATGGTCACGTGACCGGTGCGATTCATCGTTTCCGTCAGAAATAAGTGCGGGCAAAAGGCTAGTCCATCGGCCGCGAGTCGGGGAGGCGATAATTGTCGCTCTGGCCGAACAATTCGAGCAAAATCACGCAGTGGTAACGGCGACAATGGAAATTCGCAAAGTGATCGAGCTGCTTCGGGCGACGATCGACCCAAATCAGCGTCAACAGGCCGAGAACCAACTCGGCCAGGTAACGAAAACATGTGCTTGGGTCGTGGTCGGTGGGTACTTTTCACCGCGTCGCGTTTCCAGATTCACAAGATCATCGGGTTCGCGCCGTCGCTCCTTCAGGTGGTGATGATGGCCGACTGCGACATGCCAGTCAGACAGGCCGGAGCCATCTACTTGAAAAACTTGATTTCCGCGAACTGGCAAGACAGGGAAGCGGAACCCGGGCAACCGATGCCGTTCGCCCTCCACGAACAGGACAGGGCGCTCATCAGGGACAGCATAGTGGACGCTGTGGTGCACGCGCCCGATCTTATAAGAACTCAGCTGTGTATGTGCGTTAATAATATGGTCAAACACGATTTTCCCTCGAGGTGGACGCAGATCGTCGACAAGGTGGGGCCGCGGGAGCCGCCGCGCTCGTACGCATAATTGTTTTTCCGCCCCGTGTTGCAGATCAGCGTGTATTTGTCCAACCCGGACCCGAGCGGCTGGCACGGTGCCCTGCTCTCTCTCTACCAGCTGGTTAAAAACTTCGAGTACAAAAAGGCGGAGGAACGGGGCCCACTCCACGAGGCGATGAATCTGCTGCTGCCTCAGCTCTATCAGCTCGAGGTCAGGCTGCTGCCCGATCAGTCCGAGCAGTCCGTGCTGCTCCAGAAGGAAGGGCTCAAAGTGTACTTTGCCCTCACCCAGTATATACTACCCCTCGAGCTGATCACGAAGGAGACCTTCGCCCAATGGATGGAAGTTTGTAGGCAGGTGAGTTTTCACGTGAATGATGGTTTGCCGTGCCGATAGTTCAAATGACTCAAAGATGTAGGATAACCTCAAAGCCATAAACCACATTTTAAAATAAAAATTACAACTTAGGAAGTTTGTTAGTATCGACTTCTGACGAAACCATTCCAACTGTGAGTCGTCCCCACATCAGACTTGCCCTGCCCCATTCCTCGCTTAAATGAAGTTAGAAGTTAAAATGTGACGCGCGTGTAATATCATTATCATTGAACCACTATTGAAATGCTATTTAAAGATATAAAATAACTTCAGAGTCACAAAAGCCATTTTAAAATAAAATTGAAAGTGCCAGAGGCTGGAAAGACCATCGATATCGACTCCTGAGCATAGGCAAGCTGTGCGAAGGGGAATCTCCACTTGAGATTTAAGCCCCACTCAGTAGTTAAAATAAGTTTTCACTCCCTCTCAAATCTAGTTTTGGAGTTTTAAAACGGTATTTAAAGATATGTAATGTCAGTCCTGCAAACGACATTTCAAAATAAAACTGAAAGGTATAAATGTTATGAAGACTGTTAATATAGACTCTTGAAGTACCGTTAGTCACTTAAATGGAGTTAGTAGTTAACATGTGAAGTCCGTTAAGATCTGCGCTGAGCTTTTATCTGCGGGTAATGTTGTAACATGTAGACGAGTGGGTAGGTCAAATGACCCGTCTTCAGGTCGGCAAAAAAGCAAAAAAAAAAAGAAACCTTCGCGTTGCAGGTGGTGGAAAGGGCGGTGCCTCCGGCCGCTTTCCAACCCGACGAGGACGAGCGCGCGGACCTGCCGTGGTGGAAGTGCAAGAAGTGGGCGTTGCACATCCTGTTCCGGATGTTCGAACGGTACGGCTCTCCCGGTCACGTGTCCAAAGAGTACAACAAGTTCGCGGAATGGTACCTGCGCACGTTCAGCACCGGCGTGCTGGAGGTGCTGCTCCGCGTCCTCGACGGCTACCGCAGCGGCCACTGGGCGCCGCCCCGCGTTCTCCAGCAGACGCTCAACTACCTGAACCAGGCGGTGTCGCACGCGCACACCTGGCACATCCTCAAACCCCACATGCCCGCCATCGTGCAGGACGTCATCTTCCCGCTGATGAGCTACTCGACGGACGACCACGAGCTCTGGACCGTTGACCCCCACGAGTTCATCCGCGTCAAGTTCGGTAAGTCGAGGTGTGGGCGTGATGCGTCGCCGCCTGAGCCCCGCCCCTTTCACTCTCCCGCAGACGTGTTCGAGGACTTCGTGTCGCCGGTGACGGCCGCGCAGACGCTCCTCCACTCGGCGTGCAAGAAACGCAAGGAGATGCTCGGCAACACGATGATGATGCTCACCCAGGTGCTGACCAACGCGGCGACGGAACCGGCGCAGAAAGACGGCGCCCTCCACATGGTCGGCTCCCTGGCCGACATCCTCCTCAAAAAGGAACCGTACAAGGACCAGCTCGATCACCTCTTCGTCAAGTACGTGTTCCCGGAGTTCGGTAGCGAGCGGGGCCATCTTCGCGCGCGCGCCTGCTGGATGCTCCACTATTTCGCCGAATTCGACTTCAAGCAGGAGCAGATCCTGATGGAGGCGGTCAATCTGACGGTACGCGCGCTCCTCTTCGACAAGGACCTGCCGGTCAAGGTGGAGGCGGCGATAGCGCTCCAATCGCTGCTCAACTATCAGGAAAAGTGCCACAAGTACATCGAGCCCCAGGTGAAGCAGATCGCGCTCGAACTGCTCACCATCATCCGCGAGACCGAGAACGAGGACGTCACCGGCGTGATGCAGAAATTGGTGTGCGTGTTCACGCAGCAGCTCGCCCCGATCGCGGTCGAGATCTGTCAGCACCTCGCCTACACCTTCACCCAAGTGTTGGACACGGACGAGGGCTCCGACGAGAAAGCGATCATGGCGATGGGCCTGCTCAACACCATCGAAACGCTGCTGACGGTAATGGACGACCAGCCGGAGGTGATGCAGCTGCTCGAGCCGACCGTCCTCCAGGTCATCGTCCAGGTGCTCCGTAACGAGGTCCAGGAGTTTTACGAGGAGATCGTCGAGCTCGTCTACGACCTGACCAGCAAACGGATATCGCCGGACATGTGGAAGGTGTTCGAGCTCCTCTACCAGGTGTTCATGAAGAACGGCATCGACCACTTCACCGACATGATGCCCGCCATCCACAACTACGTCACGATCGACACCGACGCGTTCCTCTCTGACGAGAAACGTCTGGTCGCCATCTACAACATGTGCAAGGAGATCCTGACCAAGGACTGCGGCGAGGATCCCGAGTCGCACGCGGCCAAACTGCTCGAGGTGCTGCTGCTGCAGTGCCGCGGCAAAATCGACAGCGCCGCCCCGATGCTCGTCGAACTGGCCGCCACGCGGCTCCTGCGCGAAGTTAAGACGAGCGAGCTGCGCACCATGTGCCTCCAAGTGCTGATCGCCGCCCTCTACTACAACCCGCAGCTGCTGTTCGCCGTGCTGCAGAAGATGCCCGACTTCACGAACCACTTCATCAAGCAGTGGCTCCACGACACCGACTGCTTCCTCGGCATCCACGACCGCAAACTGTGCGTCCTCGGCCTGTGCACGCTGATCGCGATGGACGAGAAGCCGCCCGCCCTGCTCGAGATGGCGCCCAAGGTGGTGCCCGCGCTCATCCTTCTATTCGACGGCCTGAAGAGGGCGTACGCCGCGAAAGCGCAGGCCGAAGCGGAGGAGGAGGAGAGCGAGACCGACGACGACGAGGAAATCGAGGCGGAACTGCTCAGCAGCGACGAGGACGAGCTCGAGGACGAAAGCCAGACGTATCTCGACAGTTTGGGTAGGAAGGCGACGACCGAAGGTCAAGCGAAGGGCGTCAACGTGACCGCCACGATCCACGACATCGAGGACGGCTCCGACGACGAGGACTCGGACTACGAGCCGACCGAGGAGACGGTGCTCGAGTCGTTCACCACGCCCCTGGACAAGCCCGACTGCGACGTCGACGAGTACCAAGCGTTCAAGCAGGTGATGACGAGTAAGTGGCGGTGTGGGGTCGGCGCGAGGGGGGCGTGGCTCACATTTTTCCGTTCGCAGACATCAAGAACCGCGAGCCCGAGTGGTACAACGCGCTCACGGCTCACCTCAACGAGCACCAGCTCAAGACGCTGAACGAGGTGGTCGTGTTGGCGGAGCAAAGGGCTGCGGCGCGCGAAAGCAAGCGGATCGAGCAGCAGGGCGGTAAGTCCGAGGGGGGCGGAACGGTGGGCGGTTGACCGTGTGGGCGTGTCCGTTTCGCAGGTTACATGTTCACGCAGCAGGCAGTGCCGACGAGTTTCAAGTTCGGCGAGGGCAACTCGTGAGGGACCCGACGCCGGCGTTTCGACCCACGTTAATTTATTGACAGTGTATAATGCGCGACGGCGGCGGCGCCACTCAGTAAATCTCCGTTTTATTTTTTGATTAAGTGCCTTTTTATTACCGACGGGGGGGGAGGGGGCGAGAACGCCGCGTCCCCCCGCTCCCCTCGTAACCAATTTTCGTTGTCGGCCGGATATCGTTCGAGAGGGGGGGAGGCAATTAATAAATCGAAGTCTTACGTGTAACGGGGGACGTGTTTTATTTTTGTTTGCATGTGGTCGCGGAATTGGCCGCGTTTTATGTCATTTTTTGAAGTGGGGCGGCGCTCGAATGTTGACACTTGAAAATAACATATATACATACGCAATAATTTCTCGTCGAAATATAAAGAATTAGAGCCCAGGAATTTAACTGTCACGGCCAAATACTCTAGTTTCCTGACAGAATCGATCAATTTAAAGGAGATATTGGTGGTATTAAAAACTATCGGGGGAAGTGGATATTTTTAACTTGACAAGGTAATTTTTTCAAAATAAACGAAGTTTTTCATTAGAAGTAATTTTTAGTTTACTATAGATTGATTCAGTTTAAACGTGACGACAAAGCGAGGTCCTTTACTCGAAGAACGCTCGAACTGGCTAATTGATGAGTAGTTTGAACTTACCAACTCTTAAGTCGCTTAAAATTAGCCTTTTCTATAGACAATGCTGTGGTAAAAGGGCGACAAATAGTCCTAGACGGCCGATTAGTTCAATTGGCCGTCAGTTTCCAACATTCCAAATTAGTTTATTCGAAAATGTAGTTCCGTTGTACCGGTAGGAAGATAGCAAACCAAAACTAGCCGTTTGTGTGTTTGAAGAATGCTGCGGTACGTTTAAACTACTGTCATTAAGGTCGAAAATAGCCCCATAAAGTAGTTCAAATAGGTGCACCCGGGTGCCGATCGAATAATTATTCGGTCTAATCCCATAAGTAGTCCGAAAATACCGACACAAAAGTGCGTAGCTTAAAATTAGCCATTTTTACAAAAAAATCCTGCTCCTTGAATTAATTGTAAAAAGTTCGCACGTCCGAGTAGTTCAAATGCGAGCAGCCCCGAATCTGAGAAATAACCTACTTAATGCGATAAACACCGGTTTCTACAAAAAACACTACGGTGCTTTTGAACTATCGGCATCAAGGTCGCATTCTGCAGTAGATCAAATAATCCGTGGTGCCGGACAAATAATTATCAATTACCAAACCCACGTAGACAGCTCGGAATTGCACGACTCTACAAAAAAAGCTGCGGTACGTTTGAATTAGTCGCGTACTTCAAGTGTGAACAACAATTATTAGGAAGTCGGTCGCGAACCGCCAAACGCACGAGTAGTTCGAACGTACCGGCACGTTTGAATTAATTGCAACGGAAATCGCAAATAATTCTGTACGGTCGAGTAGTTCAAATACGAACAGCCTCTAGCCGAGCAAATACTGGAAAGGTCAGTTAAAATTAAGCGTTTCTATAGGAAATACTGCGGTACGTTCAAACTACTGGCAACGACAAATAACAGTTGGGTTGTTTGAATAGTAGCAGCTAGATTACTTGAGTAGTTCAAATGCCCTTAGGTCTCGAAATAAAACTGCGGTAAAAAATACGAACTGTATTGTAAAAAAAAATCGAACCGCGCTTGTAAAAAAAATAGAACACAACCGGAGACAACGACGACGACAACGACGACGTATATAATACTGAAGGAAGGCTCAGGGCGCCTTGCGCTTCTGGCGCCTGCCCTTTTTGTACCCCTTGCCGAACCAGCCCGCCTGGATTCGGACCTTCTGGTCGGCCCCGCCCTCGACCGGCTCCTCCTCCTCCTCGGTGGAGTAATCGCAGCACAGGCACACGTTGGGCTTGTCCCTCTTCTCCAGCGAGCTGTACCTCGACTCCTGCTTGACGAATACCGGCTCCGCCTTTTTATAGAACAGGCAGTCGTGGGACCTGTAATACCTGTGGCAAAAATCGCACGCGGGCTCCGCCTTCGGCCCCGCCTCCTCCTTGCCGACGGGCAACGTGTTGATGATGCTGTGCAGGCCCGGGTACAGGAAACTCGTCTGGTAAGGGTAGAGCAGGAGGTCCGAATAAGGGCGGAGCAGGAACCGGTAATCGAACAGGGGAAACGGGAAGGGAGCGGCGTGTAGGATAGAGTCGATGGTGTGCGACGCTTGCGGAAGACTATCCCTACTTTTATCACAGTTTAAGTTGAGATCCGACATGGGACTGTACGGACAATCTTTGACCGGTTCCTGCAACAAAACTGTCACTAAGAACGATTAAAAAACGTAATATAAATGCGCATGTGGACTGCTAGTGTGCGCAACGGATGACAAAAACATTAAAAAATGCGCCGATTATTAGACTAACAAAAACAAACTTACGTATACGATTGTCTTGTAGAATCCAAAATTATCCGCATATCCAAAAAGTGTTTAAAAAAGGTAACCCTGACGTTGAAAATTATCGACCTGTATCTCTACGTCCAATTGTTTCACAAGATTGTAGAGAAATGTATAGCTAAACAATTAGTTTAATATTTTGAAATTAATGGCATTTGGCAGTTTGGTTTTAGAAGAAATAAAAACACTCTGACTACCTTAATAGATGCCAGGTGGTTAAGTGCTCTGGGGTGACATCAGAGAAGAGTGAGGTGATTGGAGTGCCTCAAGGCTCAATTTTACGCCCCATATTATTTTTAATGTATATATAAATGACTTTCCCGGTGTGGATCCTACATCTGTTTACACACTTTTTGCCGATGACACCGCTGTGTCTGTTTTTGGGGATTCATTAGGAGGCATTAGGAAAAACTTCAGTGGGACTCCCATATAGATTTTGTTGCTCAGAAACTGACCAAGAATTTGTATTCGCTTCGACGCTTGACTGAAAATGTTTGTCTTGGTGTGCATATTTTGCAACTTTTCATTCACACTATGTGGTGCTGGTAGGCACCTTTTGTTCATACTACAACGAAAAGCAATTCGAATTATTAGTAGACTTGGTTATCGGGAGGACTTTAAAAATACCTTTTGACATGCATGTTACGGTCTCAATTGTCGCGAGAACTCAAAACCTGAAAATCGAATCGTGATATGTCAAGGCGTTTTTGAGCTACACGGTGATTCTCAAAAATGTGCGATTTTAAAGGCCCTCTATAACCTTTTTAATTGTAAGAATAGGAAAAAACTTTTTTTTTAAGCTCTATTTTACTCGTTTTGTCTTAGAGCCTTTAGTTCCCAAGATATGAACGTTATATTTCTTTAAATGGGGTACATCCAATTTTTCTAAAAAAACAGTTTTCTAATAAAATTTCCTGCCGAATGATGTGCCATACACCTATTTTTATTAAATAATTTAAAAAATATTCCCAATTTTTGATATTTACCATAGTAGGCGCTGTGTGCGTCCTAAATGCGTAGATAAAATTTTATTGTTTTTTTTTTCATATAAAATCAAGTTGGCTACAAAACGGAGGGACACTTTAATTTCTAGTTTACAATAACTACCAACCATAAAAGAATAAAAGGAAATAAAATTATTAAAAGCAATTTTTTTATTTAAAATTTTTATTAATTAAACTATGTAACAATAGCAATTCCTAACTCGGCGTTGCCAATTATATTTGGATTTCCGAGACTGATTTTGCGTTTTTATGAAAATTAGTCAATTTTTTCAGAAAAATTACGGCAATGTGACAATTCGGTTCGTTGGGGCGCCGCATGCGCTTCTCTACGAAAATGTCATAGCCACCTGCGGCACATCACTTTTTACCGTAGTAGGGCCACTATATTTTCATAAACTTGTGTTTTTTCAGCAACCGCAGTGCATTGCTGCGTAGAATTCCAGAGTTTCTCTCCGTAGCCCTGGTGGAGTATTCGGGTTAATTTCTATTTCTATTTCTATTTTTGAGCTAGTTTGCCTGCATTCCGGATATCTCTGGAAATATAGATTTAACGCTGTCTGTCGATTTTCGTTATCTAGACGCCACTTTTGACACTTGGGCTTGTGTATTATGGCAATTGTTTTTACCTGATCACAGCTACCTACGAGATTAACGCCAAAATTTCCCGGCGTGACATAGATGCAGCTCCAGTGTCACGATAAAACTTTTAAATATGTATCTTGGTAGGCTGCGAAAAAAAAATTTGAAGTCTTGCGTCAAATCGTTTTTTATTGACAGCATTTTAAACAAGCCGTGTCATTTTGGTATATATAAGGTTAGTGCAAGATGGGTTCCGAAAAACGTTTCGGCTATTCAAAAACAACGCCGTGTCGAGTGTGCGCGGTCTTTACGGGTCGAAACCGAAGCCTGTGATAGAAACTATTGTGACGGGAGATGAAACTATGGTTCTCTATTGAAAAAAGAATCAATGGAGTGGCGTCGTAAGGGTGAAGCACCTCCAAGAAAATTCAGAGTCTGCCAGTCAACAAAAAAGGTGATGGCCACGATCTTTTGGGATTGTGAAGGAATTCTTTTGATAGATTTTAAAGAAACTAATACCACTGTCACTGGTAAATATTACGCAACGTCCAGGAAAACTGCACCTGTCCATACTGCTAGTGTTGGACAAGTTGCCATTTTAAAGTGTGGGTTCCAACAGATAGATCATCCTCCCTATATTCCAGATATGGTCCCCTACGACTATTATCTGTTTGGATATTTGAAAAAGGACTTACGTGGACGGCGGTTTAACGACGAAGTTGAGTTAAAAGAGGCTGTCTTAGCTCATTTCGCAGATAAACCAAAAGAATATTTTTTTAAAGGGATCGAGTTGTTAATAAAGAGATGTAATAAGTGTATTGAAGTTAAGGGGGATTCTATTGAAAAATAATAAAAAATTGTTCCTCTACTTTCCTTGTTTCATATTCAGGCCGGGAAATTTTGGCGCTGCCCTCGTAGATAGACACCGTAAAACCGTATAGATCAGAGTTAAGCACAGCCCATTAAAAATTGCAGATATCTTTAAAACTAATTAATAAAAACAGGTGTATGGCACATCGTTTGACAAGAAATTTTATTAGTCATTTAAGACAAAATCGTTGAAACAGGTAGATTTGCCCTTAAAAAATCTTCAAAAAATGTTTTTTTTAAAAAAAAATCTATCTTTACAAATAAAAAAGTTATAAATGGTGTTTAGAAAAGCACATTTTTAAGAATCACCCCGTAGCTCGGAAACGCTTTTTAGTTCTCGACTTCTCTCGGAAATCGAGCCCTTAACATGCACATTAGTTTTGGGCCATCTACGCTGCAAGTGTGTACGGGGTGTCCCAGTTGCGGACGAAAACCTGACAATTGCAACTTAAGATGGCCTTTTTTACCTGCGGAAACGCCAGACCGGGCCGGCTAGTGGTGTGCGCCTCCAGATCGTTCAGAGCGGTCGCGTGCCAGAACATCGGGTCCCTCCTCTTGTCGTAACGAGGCACCTGGATGCCGAGCACGTCCATGATCCTCTTGATGACGACATCGCACTTGCCGTGGATCTTGACGTTCGCACAGTCGTCTTTCGGCGTCCACTGCAGGTTGACGATGTACAGGTTGGGCCGTTTCTTCACGGGCTTGTCCATCTGCCACAGCCACGGGTACTTCTTCAGCACTTTGAGGCTCGAACCGAGGCACAGTATCGTGGTGGCCTCCTTCGCGTTCTTGCACGCCCCCTTCCAGTTCAACGGCCACAGCAGGCTGCCGCGTTCGCCGAAATGGACTATCGTGTCCGCCAGGGGGCCGTTGCACTCGTAGCAACGTCGGAAGGTCTTGTGGGCGAATCGGGCCGTGTTCTCGGTCACGTCGAACACGCGCCAGTACTCGCGATGCGGTTTGCACGACTTACACACCTCGACGTACATGTTGCCGTGCACCTCGGACAGCACGGTCCTGGGCAAGCCCGACCGCAGGTGGAGGCCGTCGCAGTTTTGGGAAACGACGTATTTGAGGATGTTCTGCCGATAGAGCTCGTAAAGCGCCATGTGGGTGTAGGTGGGCTCCGCCGCCGACAGGTCGTGGTCCCTGGAACCCAAGTTTGACGGATTTTATGGACACTTCGATTCAATTATGTACATTTAACTGGAACTTTTTATTGGGTAACCCAACTCTCAACTGTGGTCTAATATAAACAGTATTAGGGACAATAGTTGATACATAAAGAGAGTTCAGACGAACATGACCTCGGGGGGGCCCAATCCTTCTGGGGGATGCTTCGCCCCAGGCTCCCGATCCTTCTAGGGGGTGCTCCACCACCGATGCTTCGCCACAGCACCCCCGCGGGGGAGGGGACGAGGATAGCGATTGCAAGTTTTTGAGGTTATGTTCGTCTGGACTCTCTTTATGTATCTACTGACAATAACGGCTTTCCTAATGAGCTTAATTCAGGACATTGTTACAGATTAATTTTCACCACAATACAGCCAGCCTGCATCCCTAATCAATGCATCCAAATTTCCGATATTTATACTCTTGAAAAGAGCCCTATTTTTCTAAAAAAAAATGCAATTTTAATCATTGCACGACACTTTTAACCTCTCAGCTCAAATTTATTTATTTATTTATCAACGGGCCAACCGCCCAATATAAAATAAGATTCACACAAACAGAATAGCAAAGAATAAAACAGAATTAAATACTTTTTACAAAACTTCTGGATTCCTCCTGCGTCAGTTTTTGCTGCAACTGTTTCAGTCAAGCTCCGAAGAAGCCAGCAGGATGGGTGGCGAAACGTCAACAATTTCGACTAAGCAAAAACCGACGCAGGAGGAATCCAGGAGTTTTATAAAAAGTATTACAGTAGGCTGTGGAAGTTTCTTAAAAAAAAAAAGAATGAAATAGATAGTTAAAGACCCAACCCTAGTATGATAAACATTGGTTTTCCAAAATATAACATATAACATATATATATTCCTAGCATTTAATCAGGTCCATGAGAATTTGAATGCACTAGATTATGAAAAATGGTGGGATCCCTATGCAAGTGAAGAATCTGGAAAGTTGTCAGTTGAAGAGAGATTCCCAATTCCGAGTAATCGAGGTCCTCAAGTCCTTGGTACCCCTTAAATGCCACAGTCTGAGAGACAGAATACTCTGAAATTTCACTGTATAAGGCTTAATAAGGGCCAAGAGATTTAAGCACAACAAATGGTGTGTGTGTAAGTCAATTTAATACCGAGTAACACTTCAAGGCGTGTAATACCGGTTTTATGTTTGATGCGTATAAAGTATTGGGTTTCTGCTCCAGTTGAAGTTCACGAATTGGCATTTATTAATATTTAGTTCCATTTCACTAGAATCGCACCATTACGATAGATAGTCTAAATGGGATTGGAGTTTTATACAGTCATCGGCATTTTGAACTCTCATATAGAACTTTGGGTGGTCAGCAATTGCCGCTTTTCCAGGATTGTGGAAAGAAAACTTCGCGAAATTTATCTTTAAAGCTGTTAAGGATTACTAGCTCGTTCCCGTAAGTATTTGAGAGCTCATTGAAGCGAAGTAGCGACTTCGGCTTTGATATTAAACCTTTCAACTCACATAGATTTTAAATGGAAAAGTATCAATGAGAAAGTCAAATCTTCAAATAGCGAGAAAATAATAAAATCGATATTGTCAAATTCCTGTTTCTCTCGAACGTAATTTAACATAACCTGCCGCTTAAACAAGTATCAAGATTCCCATGCTTAGGATCCTTATCTTGGACACACTTTATAATATAGGCAAAGGGTGTCCAATAATAATGTACTTTATTACATATTAACATATTTTACAGAATATTAGGAAATTTGATGAAACAAAGACGACTAGTGTTTAATGTAATCGCATCAGAATTCCAAAAAACATTAGAATACAGAAAGTTATAAGTAACTATTAATTAAATATGACTAGACCAAGTAACAAAAAAAGGGGCAAAAAGCAGAAGACTGAAAAATAACAAAGTAAATATGCCTTGCTAACCCGATATCCTTCCCCTCCTTCAGTCGGGTCCATATGCCATTGGGGCCCCTGTAGTCGGGTATCTTGGCGGCCGTGCTGATGCCGGCGCCCGTGTAGACCACTAGGTGTCGCGATTGGGCCACGGCCTGCGCCAAAATCTGACACTTTTCGTTCAACACGTCCTCAGGATCCTCGATCTCCTCGAGCCGCTTCTTGGCGGCCTCCCGTTTCTTCCAGCGCTCGTTCACCTCGCGTACCACGTCCGAGCACCCCTCCAGCGTCTCGTTGTCCTCAGCGGTACGGTCGTTTTCCGGTTTTTGCAGAATCAACGACACCTGCAACAAACGGCGCGGGTTAGGTGACCCCGTTCCAACCGCTACCGACATTCGCATCACCTTCTTGTACAAGACGTTCTTTTCGTCCTTGTCTGCCGACTTTTGGGTCGGTTGGACCGCGAGCCGCGGCAAGCGGATCCTTTTAGTCTTGATCTCGTCGTATTTGTCGCGAACGAACACATTCTCCTCCGACGAATTCTCATTCTCCATTCCTTCCGCGTAATCCGGCCCCGCCTCAGTACAAAACGCTTACAAACAGTGCGTCTGCGATATTGCACTCCATGCTATCGCTTTGGCGAAGTTTCGTGGTACGTTCTATCGATTTGTTTTTTACTTTTCGCTTTCATCCGAGCGGAGGGCCATAGTTAAAACGCGCAGAGATGCAGCAATCCGAAGAAGGCGCGCATTGCAGCCAACCTGTACGATAAAACCAAGTCCTCATTTACCGATCGAGGTAAACGAGGATTGCGAATTGGTGATTACAATTCAAAACTAATTCCGACTTCTATCGTTGATAAGTCGTCCGCGAAACGCAACGCTGTATCATTCCGATTGTAATTTCGGCTCGTAAAATCTCTAAAGAAGTGTGTTGTCCAAATCGGGCGCGCCTCCGTCGCCGGAAACGGAAACGTGCCGGCGGACCGGCTTAAGCCGCGCCACGTGACCGAATCGAACCAATAGACATCGGCCATTTTACCACCCCATTCCTGTGGTAATTTCTCCAAGAAAAGCGTGCAAACTTTCCAGCGTACAATCCGTTTTACCGGCACCGAACGATCGCGGCATGGGTAAAGAAAAGACTCACATCAACATCGTCGTGATCGGCCACGTAGATTCTGGCAAGTCGACTACGACCGGCCATTTGATCTACAAATGCGGCGGCATCGACAAGCGGACGATCGAAAAGTTCGAGAAGGAGGCCCAGGAGATGGGCAAGGGCTCCTTCAAGTACGCGTGGGTCCTCGACAAGCTAAAGGCGGAACGCGAGCGCGGCATCACGATCGACATCGCGCTCTGGAAATTCGAAACGGCCAAGTACTACGTGACGATCATCGATGCTCCGGGGCACCGGGACTTTATCAAAAACATGATCACCGGCACGTCGCAGGCCGACTGCGCGGTCTTGATCGTCGCGGCGGGCACCGGCGAATTCGAGGCGGGCATCTCGAAGAACGGCCAGACTAGGGAACACGCACTGCTAGCGTTCACCCTCGGCGTGAAGCAACTGATCGTAGGCGTCAACAAGATGGACTCTACCGAGCCGCCGTACAGCGAGCCCCGTTTCGAGGAAATCAAGAAGGAGGTGTCGTCGTACATCAAAAAAATCGGCTACAACCCGGCCGCGGTCGCTTTCGTGCCCATCTCCGGCTGGCACGGCGATAACATGCTCGAACCGTCTACAAAAATGCCGTGGTTCAAGGGATGGAACGTCGATCGTAAAGAGGGCAAAGCGGAAGGCAAAACCCTGATCGAGGCGTTGGACGCGATCCTGCCGCCTTCCAGGCCTACCGACAAACCTCTCCGTCTACCTCTACAGGATGTTTACAAAATAGGAGGCATCGGTACCGTGCCCGTGGGCCGCGTGGAGACCGGAGTGCTGAAGCCGGGCATGGTTGTGGTATTCGCGCCGGCCAACATCACCACCGAAGTGAAATCGGTCGAAATGCACCACGAGGCGCTCCAGGAGGCGGTGCCCGGTGACAACGTCGGTTTCAACGTGAAAAACGTCTCAGTGAAAGAGCTGAGACGCGGCTACGTCGCCGGTGACTCGAAAAATAACCCCCCCAAAGCGGCCGCCGATTTCCTCTCCCAGGTGATCGTTCTGAACCACCCGGGGCAGATCTCCAACGGGTATACGCCGGTGCTCGACTGTCACACTGCCCACATCGCGTGTAAATTCGCCGAGATCAAGGAGAAAGTGGACAGACGTTCGGGCAAGACGACCGAGGAGAACCCCAAGGCCATAAAGTCTGGGGACGCCGCCATAGTCACCCTGGTGCCGACGAAACCGATGTGCGTCGAGTCGTTCCAGGAGTTCCCGCCGCTTGGGAGATTCGCCGTGCGCGATATGAGGCAGACGGTCGCCGTCGGCGTCATCAAGAACGTCAACTTCAAGGAGTCCGGCGCGGGCAAAGTGACGAAAGCCGCGGAGAAGGCGGCCAAGAAGAAGTAGTTGTTCGGGCGCCCGCCCGCCGCCCGATTTTATAATGTAACCGCTATTATAATTATTATTATTATTATATTCCCTAGATGCTTAACGAGATTATCCGAGCCGGACGGCTTTTTATTTTCGTTCCGTTTGTTTTCCGTTCCGATGTGCGTCGTGTAATACAAATAGTACGCTGATTAATACGCCGGTCGTTTTATTTGCCCCGTTTGTCATCTCAACGAGCGGTATCGTGAGCCGTCTCGCTGTCGGCGGTAACTCGGTGTCGTCATCACCAGAGACCGTATCCGTTTGGTGGTCTGTGACACCGTGCCACCCTTCGATGAGCAATTTTTTGTTTTCAAATATTGACGTCATAAGCGATTCTTTTCACTGTAAAACGTATTTAGCACGACTTGAATTCTAGGTAATGCTTTACGATAGTAAAAGTATTCATATTAAAAATACATATATTTATACTTTTAATACTCAGCTTTTATGTTTGAGAAAGAAGAGCCAGTAATTTTATCCAAGAAATTTCTTGAAATTTGGTAGGTCTACCGGGCTTCATGTCGTAATAATTTGAATGTACTCTGATCTATGCGTAAATAAATTCGAAACGTGGCTGGACGGAGCTTTAATACGTTTAGAGGATTTATACGGGACAGTACAATTTTTTAATAACGAATAATAGTTAATTGAAACACGGCACCAGGCACATATACCGAGGACAGGGTCGGAAGCTTTACGACCGGTGACGTCATCTCAGAGCATGCGAGGGGCTCGTTTACACAGTTCTTACTTGAAGAATATTTTTAGGTGTTAATCTGTTGTGATACGTTATCAGTGCCATACCATTGAAGCTTCCGAATAAATAGTTGTTTTAATTACGAACCATATAGCTTCCAGAGAGATAGAGGCCTTACCAATACGGATAATACAGGACCTTATGAAGCAATTATGAAAAAAGAAAATTGCTCATATGACCTTACGACATTAATAACCAACATGGCCGCTGACCGATCGTCCATAAGTATGAAATTTGGATGCGGCATTTTTACTAGAGAGTTTTTCTCAAACAATCTCATTAAAATGTTTAGACAAAACGATTTAAGTATGTAGAAATCGTTGTTTAGAAAGAAAATGGCGCAAAGTGCAGGCAGTGGATGAAATATAGAGGCATGCGTGGATAATATCGATGCCGCCTGCGGCACATCAATTTTTATTGCAGAATCTAATAGTTATATGAGTGAAACTGAACAGGCGTTCTGATCGCTAGCGGCAACGCTAGCTACGGTGAAAGTAGCGTGTGTGCGTGTGTGTTTGAGAGGAAGACGTTACGTCACGGTGGAGATCGTTCGGTGGTCTGCGACGCGCGTCGATTCGTGCATACGCCGCGGTGTCGCCACAGTCGAGCCCGTCGAAGAGAGAGAGAAGTGGAAGCCATTTTGTCGTGTGCTGATCAGTCTACGAGAGGAAAACAAAAAGCGCCGAGAACCCGAGACAGGTAAAAAACAGGGTCGCGGGCAGTATTTAGCGTATAGTGCGCGCGCGATGCATGCGGTCGCCCCACTCGCGTTCGAAAACCCGCGACGTTTCCGTCGCCGCAAACGTCACCCATTGATTTTTCCGATTATCTAACACCGGACTAGTAGTACGCGCGGCGTTGTTGCCCCCCACCCGACGGTCTGCCGGCCCGTCTAGGTCGCGAGATATCGCGAAACCATGGCCGAAAAAACGTTTAACTATACCTGCCAGTTCTCTTGTAGGTCGCAGAGCGATGGAGGCCGTGCGGAGCCCGAGCGGCGGCCGCTGGAGCAATCCGCCCCCGCCCGGCACCGAGTTCGATTACTACGACGACGCGTCGGACGCGTCCAGCAAAAGGCGCGAGCCCAAAAGCCCCGCCCACCGCTCCCGGAGCAGGTCTCATGAGCGCAAGAGGCGCAACAAGAGACGCTCCCGGAGCCGTGGTAGCCGAGAGAGGCGCAGGCGGTCGCGCTCGAAGTCGCGCCGCAGAAAGCGGAGACGCTCGGCGTCGCGCTCGAGGAGCCGCAGGAGGCACGAGCACCGTCGCAGGAAAAGACGCACGAGGTCGTACTCGAGGTCGAGGTCCGACTCGCACCCCCGCAGGAGGGACAAAGACAGAAGGTCGCGCGGGCGGGGCGATAGAGCGGACTCGGACGCGCGTCACCTCGCCGACGGCGACATCGTCAAAGAGGAGGACATGAGGTTAGAGGATGAAGAGGAGGAGGAGGACGAGGAGGAAACTAACCCGGTGCCATTCAAGAACGACGGCACCTTCCTCGAAATGTTCAAAAAGATGCAGGAAATGGAAAAGATGAAGGAGGAGCCCGCCGAAGCTAAGGCCGAGGAGGCGAAAAGGCCGATAATGCCACCCACCTTCGGCAAGAGGCGGGGCGGGAAGGTGCTGAAAACGGGCGTCGTGCAAAAGGTCCGCACCAAGGATGACGAGGAGGAGGCGTCCACGTCTAACGACGCGTGGTCCATCTATATGAAGGAGGTGCGCAAGTATAAGGAGGCCTGCTGCGACGACGATTCCAAGACGAGGCCGCTCGTCAAATAAAGAGAGAAAAAGACGTTTGTGTTGGTGTTAGGCAGTGATATGATTTCTTTTTTAGTGTTTTTATTTGTACCCCGTTCCGGCGGACGAGTCCTTTAGTTTGTATCTTTTCTAAGTTTAAGGTTATGTAAATAATAAGGGAGAAAAAACAATGGGTATTTAGTTACTTGTCGCCATTTTGCGCGAGTCGGGGGCAACCGCGCGCGTCTATTCGTTTGTTTTCGTCACGGCCGCCTTGTCGACGTCGTCTCGTTTCAGCCATGTCGAAAGACGAGATCGTGTTGGAAACGGCCCCCTTCGATCCGCGGTTCCCCAACACGAACCAGACTCGCTACTGTTATCAGAGCTACCTCGATTTTTACCGGTGCAGGAAGGTCCGCGGGGAGAACTACGAGCCGTGCAACTACTTCAAGAAGGTGTACAGTTCGATTTGCCCCACGTCATGGACCGAAAAGTGGGACAGTCAGCGCGCCGAGGGCACCTTCCCCGCCACAATCTGAGCCGCCGGGCCGTAGGAGCGCGCGTTATCCATAGCTAGTTCTTGTAGATTTTTGTTTTAATAAATTTACTCTACCGGTAACTTTTGCCGATGATTTTAAGAGGTCTATCACGCAATAGGTGATGTCATCGGCCGTTTTCAACGTAGGGATGCCGCGAGCGCGCGTTCTCAATACACTTGTTGTTTATTAAAATCGTTTTGCGAAAAATACCGACGCCGTGTTTTATTACGCTTGTTTCGTACCAGTGACGCCGCGTCACAGACCACGGAAGCGGCGCGACCCGACCAAAGCCTTTTTCCCGATTCTATTCTACTCGATTTTTGCAAATTTAGCCGTTTTTCAACGCGGAACGGCCTATGGTGGACTAGAAATCGGAAAAGTTGCAGCAAAAAAAGTCGGCTAAGTACGACAGTGACGCGGCAGACCTCGTTTTATCACCCGCGTTTCGTAGCGAGTGACGCCGCGTCACGGACCACGGAAGCGGCGCGAATAGACCAAAGCGTTTTCGGTGGTTCTAACCTACTCGATTTTCGCGATTTGAGCCGTTTTCAACTCGGAAAGGGCCATGGCGGACGAGGAGACGGTCAACGGAAACTCGGACGAGAATTCGGAAAAGTCGCAGCAAAAAAAGTCGGCCAAGTATGACAGCGGCGCGGCGGACCTGGAAAAGGTGACGGACTACGCTGAAGAGAAGGAGATTTCGACGCAGGACGTGGCAAACGCGATCTCCGCGATAGGAGACCGGCGGAACCAGGCGGCGCTCGAGAAACAGGCTAGGGAGAAAGAGCTCCTGAAGGTATCCATCAGGAAAGAGGACGTGGACCTCATCGTCAGGGAAATGGAGATTACGCGCTCGAAGGCGGAGCGCACGCTGCGCGAGAACCACGGGAACGTGGTGAACGCGCTGATCTCGCTAACCAACTGAACCTGTAGCCGGTTTCCTAGATCGCACATAAAATGAAAGAATGACATGTAGTTTTAGTGATCGTATAGTACACCTTTTTTCACTTTATAAACAAGACCAAAAACACTTTATTGAGTAGTAATGTACAACGTCTCGTGCTATTACAAGTATTCTCTATTCATCGGTGTCTTTTTGGCCTTCTTATCCCTGGCCCTCGGGAACCACCGGTGCTTCGTGGTAGCGGTTAAGTTCATCAGTTCCTGTCTCGCTTGTTCGGGGGTCTTTTTGTTGAATATCGACATCAGTTCCGGAGTCAGTTGCGTTTTCAACACAGAAGGATGCTCATCGGTCTTCTCTTCCGGCAGCGGCCTCGTACACTCGTACGGAAAGTCGCGTTTGGGGTGCCACGCGACGAGCGTCGTCCCGTCGAGGGTGCCCACGATTTTGTAAGATCGGATTCCGCTGCGGAACGCCGGCGACACGATGCGTCCTAATATATACCGGCTCATGTTTCCGCAAACTTGACAAGGCGTATTTATAACCTCTAAATACAACAGCGATCGATCCACGACGTTTTGTGACATAACCGACTTTGACCACCCGTAGACAGATGGCGCCGGTGGAAAATAGTTACCCCTTCGATCGTAGATGTCGCGGTAGTCCGCGGCCAACCGTTGACGTGTCGGTTTCGTGGCACGACGATTCGGAAAAATATCGGTAAACGTAAATAGGCGGTCAGGTCGATGCGTCGTGTCGTTCCCCGGCAATCGTAACATACGGTAACGCGTCAGTTTCGAATCCCGCGTCGCCCCAAAAAAAATTAACATGGTGAAACCGGTGCGTAAGTCGTCGAACAAGAATCCGCCGATTTTCAGTCACGAATTCGTGATACAAAATCACGCGGACATCGTTTCTTGCGTGGCGATGGTGTTCGTGGTCGGGCTCATGGTGCAGGCGACGTCCCCGTTGGCGTCGGTCTTCATCACCTTGCACCACAACGTCACGGGGGAATCGGGGGACCTCCCGTTGTACTTGCCCGGCTACAAGGACTGGGCGTGCGTCTTTTTCTACAGTCTAATATGCGTGATTATCCACGCGATCATTCAGGAGTACGTCTTGGACGTGAGGTAGAGTCGGTGGCGTCTTCGCTTGTCCCTAAACCGCGTTTTCTATTGCAGAAGGTGTCGAAAAAACTGCACCTGTCCAAGTCCAAGCTCGCCGTCTTCTCCACCAGCGGCCAGCTGACGGCGTTCTACGCGCTGTCCGCGCTCTGGGGCTTGGACATCGCCTTCAAGGAGCACCTGGTGCCGGACGTCGCTCGCATATGGTCCGACTACCCCGTCCTCATGACGTTCATGTTCAAGCTCTATGTGGTGATCCAGCTCGCATATAGCCTTCACGAGTTGCCCGAACTGTACTTTCAGCGGGCGAAACGCGAGGACTACGTCCCCAGGGCGTCGCACAGCCTCGCGGGCCTCGTCCTCGTCGCCGTTCCTTACTTTTTGGGGTGAGTTTTGCGCGCGCCTCGGAGGAAAAACGTTTCCGTCGCAGTTTCAACAGGTTGCTGGTGAGTTTGCTGGTGCTACACCACGTGGCGGAGCTGTTCCACCACTTGGCCCAGCTCGTCCAGACGGTCGATAAGGAGGAGCGCTTCTCGCGCGCCACCGGCTTGGTGTCGAACGCGCTTCAAATAGTCGCGCGTCTGGGCAGCATCATCTTGGCCGTGCTGACCCTCTGGTACGGCCTCGCGTCCAAAGAGAACCAGGAGTTGGACGTGAAAAAGGGCCGCTTCAACACCCCGCCGATAAGGTTCTCGGTACTCGCAGGCATCATCCTACTGCAGATGTATCTCATCTTCAAGGTCATCAGCAGGGAGCTGACGAGGTCGCGGGAGGCGGGGCCCGCGATAACCGCGCCCAAGGTCAAGGCCCAGAAGAAGGCGAAGACCAAGAGCAAGAAGCCAGACGAGTCTGACCTGCCCGAGGTCGATCAGAACACCAACAAGACGCTCAGGAAGCAGAAGGTCAAGTAGGGGTTAGGTTAGAGTTTTTTTTTTTCGACTGTACGGCCTTTTAAATATTTTGTAATAAAGTTTATATTTTTTATAAGAAAAAATATATTTTCCGCTGCGTGGTTCTCTGTCCATCTGAAACGAATTTCGGTAATAAAATGTATAACGGAAATGTGGCGTGTTTATTTAACGGGAAACAGCGAGGACGTATTGCGTAACGCGGCACGTCACGACGTTTCCGTCCGCTTTCGGTAGTGGTCTGGGCTATATTGTCGATGACAAGCAAGAAGCTCGGGGCCTTTTTTGTAAATAAGGGTTTTAGTTTGCCGCGTGGTTTTCTGTCCATCCGAAATGAGATTCGGTAATAAAATTTAAAACGCTGAAATGAAGCGTTTTTATATAACGAAGATCGCGGTGACGTCACGATTTTCACGTATACTGTGGATGGTTGTCTGTGGTACGAACGTCTAGAATATAAATTTTAAATCGAATACATTAAGACTGAAAACACCACTCGTAAAAATTTGCCAGCCAATGGCCGCATTCAGCGGACGTAGCAAAACGCTCCCGATACGTAGCGGTAGCTACTGGCAACGTGTACGTATGTAGAGGTTATGGTGTCTTATTTTTGTTTGGGTGTTGATGATTTTGAGATTTAGATTTTTTTCGAAGGTATATCTTTTTCTGTGTTTGTGCGTAGTGCTGCTGATTTAACATGTGTTAATAAAGTGGAAACGTCTTTGACCTACTACATCAGAACTTAGTAGAAAGGACGTTATGGACATTTTAATTGAAAACGAAATGAGGATAATTTAGTCAAATGACTTTGGAATTAGCAGAACTAGTTCGAATATTTGAGGATAATGAAGGTGTCCAATACCAAAGAATTGGAAAACTGTAAGGAATTATGGAAGGAATTTATTCTGAATCGGTCGTTCGGACTGTTCGGATTCAGTGATTATTGCCGCTTATGTTGGCAACAAAAATTATTGAAATGAACGATTGACACAACACTAATCGGGAGCGCTTTGTTACTGAATGCGACCAATTGCTAATTTGTCACGGTGTGAAAGAAGAAGAACGCGGAACTAACCCCGGTGATTTATCGATGTCGATTGAAAACGTCGGAAAAACCCGCGGCGTCATCAAAATGTAACCGCAACGTCGGTAAGAATGGACGAGACCATCGAAGTGCACCCTTTGTCGGCTAGCCCGACGGCCGCGTGGAAAGAAATCGGCCAAACGCAAAAGGTACTCAAGCTCAACGTCAAAGTGCCGTCGGCGGCGGTCGGTTTCGACAAAGTACGTTTCGTGTGCATGAGCGACACGCATTCCCTCATCCGATATATGACGTTCGGCGTGCCCGACGGCGACGTTTTCGTACACGCGGGCGATTTCACGCGCTGCGGTCAGAAGGATGAAGTCGTGCAGTTTGACGCCTGGCTCGGCACGCTGCCGCACAAACACAAGATCGTGATCGCCGGCAATCACGAACTCAGCTTCGACAAGAGGTTCGTCGACAAGTTCAAGGCGAAGAGCGGCGCGGACGAGGGCGAAGTGCCCAATTACGGCAAGACGCAGGACAATATACGCGACGCTGTCAACACGGACAACGTTAAACGCTTGCTGACCAACTGCACGTACTTGGAAGACTCGGGCGTCGAAGTGTACGGCCTCAAAGTGTACGGAACTCCTTGGTAAGTGTTTTTGAGGTTATGCACCGCGACTGTTTTACGGTTCCCTCACAGGCAACCCGAGTTTGGCAATTGGGCTTTCAATTTGCCCCGCGGCTCCGCTTGCTTGGAAAAATGGGACCAGATTCCCGCGGGAGTCGACGTGTTGGTGACTCACACTCCTCCGCTCGGTCACGGCGATCTGGTCTGCTCCGGGGTGAGGGCGGGATGCGTCGAGCTCCTCGCCACCGTCCAGAGACGGGTCAAGCCCAAGTACCACGTCTTCGGACACATTCACGAAGGTATGGTGACCGCAGTCGTCGAAACTCCACGTCACCCTACTTGTTATTTATTTCGTTTAGGTTATGGGGTGACGTCCGACGGAAAAATCATTTACGTAAACGCTTCCACGTGCGACATCAATTACTTCCCTCGCAACTTGCCGGTCGTCTTCGACGTGCCGCTGCCTCCGGGATACACGAAAAATTAGCGTTTGAGCTTGTTATTTTTGTATATTTTGTTTTTATTGTTATTTTGTAACCAATAAACTTAAGGCATTTTATTTACATTTCCTCTATATCAGTTCAGCATGACAATAAAAAATAAAAAGTCGAAGGTTTATCACGACGTTGTTGCTAAAAAAAATGTTAAAAAATGACTGTTTAAGCATGAAAACTAAAGCTAAAAAAAGTACTACGTAAATTTTAAACAGCGAGCGCTATCTCTTCGATAGTCGCCCAACTAAAATCGCCGTGGCACAAATTTATTAAGATTAAATTCCTTGGTTTTGTTGCTTAAAACGCTACGTTATTGGGCCAACTAAAGTCGATAAATTTTAAATAACTTCGAACGTCTGTCGACAGATGCCGCTGTGAAGGTGAACTTTTTTAAATTAATGCTAAAAACGTTTTAATAAACATTTTATAAAATTTAACCAGCCAGCGCTACCTGTTCAATCTTCGTGCAACTAAAAGCGCTCTCTGTAGCGAGATGACGCTGTACTGGAGTAAAAAAAGTTGAATTAACACCAGAAACGTATTACTTTTGCATATTTCAGGCTTGTAACGAATAAATACGCGGGTATTTTTGCTTTAGTGCTTTAATAATACAAGCTCTGTATTTTAAATAGCTTTGAATTAATTCGATGATTTTATAACTTTAAGAGTTCGTAACAAATGCGTCGCTCACGAGATGGCGCGGTACCACTTTAAAACTCTCCAAATAACCTTGAAAACGCACGGTATTTGAGTGTACCTGGTTCTGACACTTAACTTAAATAAATTGATGTTAAGACGCGTTAATAATAACTATGTTCATTTACTAGATGAGCGCCATCTCTTCTAAATAACGTTAGAAACGCATTACAAATACACAGTTTTATAACTCAAAACGCGTTGATAATTTCAAACGTTTGTCAAGAGATGGCGCTGTGCTGGTGTGTTAGGCCTTTCAAATAACGTCAGAAGCGCAAGTTTGAGCATCTCCGAACTAGGAACGCAGCATGTTTTGAATTTTTAAAAAAATTACGCGCGAGATCACGTACGGAGCGTAAACAATCGAAGTTTTGTTTGTTTAATTTACACGGCAAACGATCCGTGTTTGTGTAAACAAAATCTCGATTGTTGTGTGCGTCGCGGGCGTCCGTACACGTACGGGCCGATCGTGTGACCTACTTTACGAAACGTCGTAACAATAGGAAGCGACTTTTAAACAGCGCGCACCTTAAAGCGGGCCGATAAATCGCTCCTTATCGTCGTGACGTAAGGTACGCGGCGTTGCGAAATAGGCGCCTTTTCTTTGTCGCCTCCCCGCACCTCTCGCGTGTCGCCCCACTCGGGTACCGCGGGAAAAAAAAAAGTCCACCTCCCGCGCACATGGAACCAACGGTACCTGCACCCAGTCGCGCTCGCGTCCCGCACCGCGACAAACGTGCTTGAACGTAGACGTCCAACACGCAACTTGGTAACGCCGCGAGGGTAAGTTTTTTCTCGCAATTACACCAACTTTTGGCGGGTTCCTGGGCTGTTTTATGCCGGAGGAAGACGCGGAACGTCACTTGTCGGGGTCGGCACGATAAAACGGCATTCCGGCACAGAAACCTTGAACTTGACGCGCTCCGGCGGCAGAAACACTTTCACCGTCGATCGTTACGCGATTAAAATTGCGTTTCCGCGACCGCGAATTGTCCGCGGTGCCGATTTAATTGATGCGGATAACGCGGTCTACGTTTTCGCGGTCGAACTCGCTCAGATTTTACGTTAAATCGCGCTTTCGAAGGGCGCCGGACCACAGTTCACGCGTCAAACTTGCAATTGCGACGGGGTCGGTAATACAGTTTCCGCGTATCATTTCGCACCCTGCCGCCACGGTGGCCGATATTTTGTACGGCAACGCCGCCGTTAGCACGCGACCGTTTTTCGGTTTTGCGAAAGAGTTAAACAATCGCTTTCACGCGCGAACATCCCGAAAATCGTAACACACGCGATTGCGTAATAGTAATTTTTTACGATTGTTTTATGTAACGCGGGTTGCCAAATCGGTGGTGGGGCGGTCCGCGATTCTGCGGCATTTCCGGGCTATTTATACGTAGGGATCGCACGATTAGTTTGCAGTCTGTGGTTCGGGTGTCGGTCCGATTGTCTACATTCGGGGTAATACAGCCTATGCCTTCGAAGGCGATTAATAGATATACTTTTACAATAAAAACTAATAAATAACCGCTAATAAGCGATAATTTTCGCGTGTGTACGGAAAAAAATCTTGAAGCGCGTTTTAAATGTCAGTCGTTTAATAATTAAATTAAATAATTACATTTCTTTTTATTTTAACCGTTCGCGACTTCTAATTCGTTGAAGTTGTGAAACTTAATCAAGTACCATTTAGAAACGGTCCGTTGCCTCACGCGGGTGATTAATTACCCTTCTCAGATTTCGGAAATCTCGCCTAAAGGCGTCCGTACGCGCGCTTTGCACAACATCGGCATTTCAACACGGCGAAACATCTGTATTACTTGTGGTTTCATTACTTAGTGGATTTATGAAGTGAGTTTACTTGCAAGCTTTATTATTCAGCTTAAAGTGAATACATATCTGAGACTTGCGTCTCCTCCTGCTCTTCTTTTTAGAGTCCTGGGCACAAGCCCTAAGCGCGGCATAGAATAAACTACCTCACATTCTTTCTCCTATGAGTGATATTTACAATCAACTTAAATTAATTAGAGTGGGCATTTGCGTGTGGGTCGAAAATTAAAATTCTTGGAATTTTGGTTGTGGCTCTCGATCAATTACTAAAGTTTCCGTGACGATCAGAACCTGATTTTAGAATTTTCATAATTGTACTGCTTGTAGTATATTTAAGTTCTTCGCATTCAATATACTTTGAATAATAATCTACAATTAACGGAGAGTTTTTTTCATGTAATTCGAAAATATCACATGACGCTTTGTTCGAAAGCATGTGACTCCAAAGGTTCTGTAACTTGCGAATTTGCATACGTCGAACACTGATGACACGTCAAGGTTTTATCTTTAACATGTCGAGCCACTCCTGGCCAAAATAAAGATTCTTGAGCCAGCCGAATGCATTTTTTAATACCTAGGTGGCTATCATATGTCGACGACATCATAACTGCAGTTCCAAAAAGAAAAACAGACTTATTGCTAAACTCCTTCAATAATTTCCACAAAAAATTACAATTCACAATTGAAATTGAGAACCAAAATACTATTAACTTTTTAGACTTAACCCTACATCACATACAAAATGAAATAAGAACAACTTGGTATACTAAGAAAACAAATTCATCACGTTATCTAAATTTTAAATCTAATCATTCCCTAGCCCAAAAAAAATCCGTCATAATAGGTCTCGCAGACAGAGCAATAATGTTATCCCATCCAGGATATAGACCAGACGCAATTAAAAAAGCAAAACACATTAGAAAATAATTATCCCATAAACTTAATTAATAATATGTTTAGTAAACGTACCAACAAGTTTTATAATAACGTAAACAAAAAACAACATCAAAATCCTCAAAGAAAATATATATCGCTACCATATATACCTGGATTATCAGAAAAACTCCAAACCATTTTGAAGGACACAAAAGTTATAATTTACAAAAAACATATCTCTTCACCAAACTTAAAGCAAAAATTCCAGTTGAAAAAAGAAGCAATACAGTATATGAAATTCCATGCTCTAATTGCGACAGTGTATATATAGGACAAACAAGCCAATATTTAAATAATAGAATCAACGGACATAAGTATGACAAAAAAAAACAAAACAGCTGTTCATACCCATTGCGAAAACACCAACCACACATTCGATTTTCAAAAAGTTAAAGTCCTACTAACAGAACTTAACACGAAAGAAAGAGAACTTTATGAAAGTATTGAAATAAAAAAAAACAAAAATTCAATTAATTACAAAACCGATTCTAAAAACCTTAACAAAATATATCATTCAATTTTAAACTAACAAAATGAAATTATCCAATATCATAAAAAATAATAAAAAATCCTCATAAAATATTCGCTGACAAATTATTTTTATTTTTAATATATTAACACAACGTCAAATGTCATTAATTGTTATATATGTCACCTATACAAAATAAGAATATTTTGAAAAAGATCGAAATTACGATCGAAACGTTAATAAATACTTAGAAGGATCACATTAATTGTTTTCGAGAGACCGAATACCCAAGAGAAATTGAAGAAATATATATATATATATATATATATATAAATATATATATATATATATATATATAAATATATATATATATATATATATATATATATATATATATATATATATATATATATATATATATATATATATATATATATATATATATATATATATATATATATATATATATATATATATATATATATATATATATATTTATATATATATTGGTATTGAGTGATCGACGTTTAAAGGTCAAGGAAATCTCAGAAATTACTAAGCTTTCTGATGCAAGTGTTCATCGAATCCTGCATGATCATTTAGGTATGCATAAGGTTAGTGCAAGATGGGTTCCTAAAAACCTTACGGCTATCCAAAATCAACGCCATGTCGAGTGTGCGCGGTCATTTTTGGACCTCTGTGGGTCGGAACCGAAGCCTGTGAGTTGTTAATAAAGAGATGTAATAAGTGTATTGAAGTTAAGGTGGATTATATCGAAAAATAATACTACTTTGTTTCTTTGATATTCAGGCAGGGAAATTTTGACGCTGCCCTCGTATTTTGCACTAAACAATCCCCAACTCCAGGTTCAACAATCAACGGAAATAGTAATTGTTTTGTTTGTTTCCAAAAACTGCAACACAGTTTTACAAGCAAAAATTTGTTTTAAATTTTGAATGCTGATGTTGCCCAATAAATTCAACATCATGTTTAAGCCAATCACGCGGAGGTTTAGTTTTATCAGTAAAGTTTTTGGCTAATTTACTTATGTATGTCAACACTCTTAAAGCTCTTTTTGCATCTTGAGAAATTATGCGTCCCATCTTGTAAGACAACTGCGCCAAATTACTTGTTTAATTATTTTTTTAGATGACGACGGGACTGATTATATCGAACCCGCCGTGGCCGAAGCAGGACTACGAACCGCTGCAGGTGCCGCCGAAGCGGCTCCGACAGGTCGCAGAGGACGAGCTCAGGGAGACGGAGTCGGCGCGCGCCGACTGCCTCAGACAGCTCAGGGAGTGGATCGGGAAGAACGACGACGTCCGCGACTGCCTCACCGACGACAATTTCCTGCTGCGCTTCCTGCGGGTGAAGAAGTTCAGCGTGCCGATGGCGCAGCAGGTGCTGCTCAAGTACCTCAACTACAGGAAGCGTTTCAGGCACCTCCTCTACGGTCTGGACCACGCGGAGCCGTCGGTCAGCCGGCTAATCGACTCGGGGTGCGTGCAATGACGGTTTTGCGTTTCGGCAACGCCCACCGTTCAGTGCCACGTCCGTCCGATATCTCTTATACGCTCGATTCCTCGCAGGTACCTCTACGTGAGCCCCACGAGGGATTCGAAGGGACGTAGGGTTGTCGTGTACGACACCACCAAGTTCGACGCGCGCGTTTTCAGCGGCCTCGACATGGGCAGGGCCCACGCCGTCACCTACGAGACCCTGCTCTCCGACGAGGAGAACCAGATCCTGGGGGTCGTCCACGTGGCCGACCTGGCCGGTCTGAACCCCGCCTTTCTCACGCTCTTTTCCGTCACCGAGTTCGGGTACCTGATCAAGTGGGGCGAGCAGTCGTTCCCGATGAGGCACAAGGAGATCCACCTCGTCAACATGCCGCAGGCGCTCAAGTACGTCTACGACTTCGCCAAGTCCAACATGAGCGCCAAACTGAAGGACAGGCTCACGGTGCACGACTCCAAGGCGAGTCTGGTCGAAGCCGTCGGCTTCGACTGCCTGCCGAGGGAGTGGGGCGGGGAAACGTCGGCCGCCTCCATGCTGACGCTGTGGAGGGGGGAGTTGGAGGCGAAGAAGGCAAGGGTGTTGTCGCTCGACCGGATGACCTTGCTTAGCGACAAGGGCATCGTGAGGTCGAGGGCCGCGAAGAGGGAGGACGTCTCCCTCGTAGGTAGTTTCCGAATGCTCCAGGTCGATTAGGTCGCCCGCGCTCGGGTGCTGCTCTTGCCGTTATGTACAGGGCGTGACTCTCGGCATGTATACATGTTTTTTTCCTAAGTTTTCTAGGGGAACGCCCTGTATAGTGATTAGGTTAGGTAATATCGAGTGTTCTACCGTTGTAATGGGTCGATGTTAAGTTGTTATGCTTAGTTCGTAAGGCGTAATGGGATTTTCCAGCGTATACCACTGGCGTCATCACACGAGTAAGTAAGTAATTGTGTAATTAGCTTTACGCGGGTCACGTGAGTTTAAATAAACGTTATATGTCGTTCGTGGAGTTTTATTTCTTTCCGTCCACCACAAAGTAACAAAGAAACAAGAAACGAAGTAAAATGATCTCTTAGATGTATATAGGAATCGATAAATTGGGTTGGGATCGTAGGAAACTGCCACGTAAATTTTTTTAACATTTGGGACTACAGACCACAACTTTTTTTTTGACTGGATGCCCCGTATGCCCCAAATACTAAACCGAGATTGCGCACAGTCTCCTTTATGGGCAACACAGTATCCCCGATTTCAACCCTTTGCACTGTCAATATCTAATTTACGTCCTAATAATAATAAGCAACATTTTTGGGGATTAAGGAGGGAGTGGTTTAAAGACAATCCTTTCAGTGCATTCAGCTCCCTACTCAATATTCCACAGCTCTCCCCGACGCTCCCCCTACTAAACGACAGATACAAAAAATTGCGTTGGACACTTTTTTAGTGCCTTGGGAAGATCCGATGTTTAGACAGCATAGAGCAGCGGGGAAAATTGATCCTTGCGGAACACCTCGAAGGAGGTCACACTGGGATCTACTTAATAAAGAGTTAGAAAAAAAAAATATCGATGTGTTATAATCTAGCAGCCAGCATCGTGAGATTACCCTCGACTGCTGCCCTCAATATATCGTCTCATACATTAGCCAGTGCTGTAGCGACTTTTTCTGAAGCCTGACTGAGTTTCAGGAAGAATGCTGTTATTTACAATATGATCTAATAATTGGATGCTTATGCCAGTATCTTCGACAAGCACGGTCAAACACTAATTGGGCGTAAATCTTTGTAACTTTTGGGGTTGGAAATTTTGGGCAATGGCGATACTAGACCTCTTTTCCAGCATTCCGAAACGACTGAGTTTACTATATAAAAATTAATAATATGGGTGAGGAAAGGTAGCATGAAAGGACAACAAAGCTGTAAAGTCATTATTCCAATACCGTCAGCACTCTCCGCTCTGGACTTCGTTGCTGTAATAATATTGGGTATCTGATTTACGACTTCAGAAGTGTTTTGACTATAGAAGTTCAGAATAATAATAATAAAGGGCCTTCATTCGGTTTCGAAGGAGATATCTTACAAAATATGTAACTGTGGAGGCAGCATCCAACATAATTGCTCTCATGCAACTATCTAAAACGAGCATATGACATTATTTATAAAATAAAATATACTATATAAATTGCATAGACACTCATTCAAAATGGTAGAGTTAAATTGTGAAAAAACATTTTTAATAATTTTAACGCTGCTAGGGTGAATTCAAAAAATACGACGTTAGGGCCCAAAATTTCCCGTCTGACCTAGATGCAGCTCTAGTATCACGATAAAACTTTGTCTTCTCTTAAATATATATCTTAGTAGGCTGCGAAAAAAAATCGTACCTGATGTTTGAGATTTTGGACATTTGTTTTAAATTGAACAGCACGAAACCTAATACAGAACGCGAACAATTTAAAACATTTACATACGTAGGGGAACCCAGTGAAAAACACATAAAAGAGCGTTTAAAAACAATAGTCTAGATTTTAATCATGCTTAAACACAGAAAAACACGTTTTTGACGACAATTTTCATATTTTACATACAGCCACAAAAAATATAAAATTAATTTTATTGGAAGCCGTGTATTGCTTAACGATCAATTAAATTTAAATTTAAATTCCTCTCCATTATTAAACTTAAATTCTCACAACACCATTAATTAAGATTTTAATGTCATTTTCCGGTATATATAGTAGCAGGTAGTTTGTAAATATTACATTTGATAAAGACACGATGTTGTCGAAACAATTATCATGTCATAATATATAATTTCGTGGAAATCCGAACTGCTTCACAGCCACCCAAGATATGAATTATAAATTCTAAGAATATTATTTTATTTCTGAATGTTGCTTTTACTTTTAAAAAGTGCAGAATTTTTAGGGGGTTTTATTAAGCCTATAATATACAGGGTGTTCTACTAAAAAATACATCACTTTTTGGCCGTGGGTGATGTTATATGAGTAAAAATATAACTTGCGAATTAAATTAAAAGGGATTTTGACATGAATCTATTGGAGTTAAAAAAATTAGGGAAATATTAGCGAAACACCCCGTATAACCGGGCTAATGGCTGTTTCATGAAGATGCGCGGCCTTGCGGAAATCGTGCCAGTCACCACCGTGCCGCCCCCCGACATAAACCGTCACGCCAAGTCCCCCTAAACAAGCGATTACGTAAATTACGAGCCTGTACCGGGCGGCCCAAAAAAATCGCCTCGCGACAGTCCTAATTGCCCCCCCGCCCCCGCCCCCTGGCGCATTCGTTAATACGTGATCGATAATGGCCGGCGGCGCGTCGTGACACCGCCCCCCAGGACCGCCCCCGAGGTTTTTGGCAGGCCGATCCTCGCGACGATAATCAGATGTCAATTTGCCTAAATTTATCGTGTATCGTGACCCGTATTAGCGAAATTAAGGGGCGGCGGCGGGGGGGAAGGTACCGAGGTTCATCAATAACCGCCCCCCCGGGCCCCGCGACGGGGTCGTCCCATATAAAACCACGTCTCCGCGGAAAGACCTCGAGATACTTCGAACGGTTCGCGACATCCGAGGTACCGGTGACGACGAGCGGCGGCGACGCCGCCCCCGACCCCCCACCGAGATTAATTAGCCGCCGTCCGGCGCCTACCCGTGCCATGGCGGACGACGAGGAACTTAATAAGGTACGTAATTAACTTAACCGACTTTTAGAAGGGCTACTCGTATTTGAGGATCCACGCAAATTTGAGGATATCGCGGGGATGTCTTTACGCGGACTTAAAGGAGGTCCTTCTCTCTTACAAACCTTTGAAGCGATCTCCTTCGTTCCTTTTCGCGTCTTTCTGATGGTTTTGAAAACGTTCTGCGGGTGTTTAAAGTTCGTAGGACATTTTATGAACCTCAAAAACAATTCCGGAGATCTTTGGTTCTTTTTACTACTTTTCACGACCTTTGAAGTTCTGCAGGTGCTTTTAAAATTTTACGACAAAATTATACGACATTTTATAAACCTCCGAAGGTTTTTCTTTCTTTTTGCGCCCTTTTGTGAACTTTGAGGGGTCCTGGAGGTGTGTTTAAGTTTGTACGCCCTCAAAAACAATTCCATAGGTCTTTTTACTTCTTTTCATGGCCTTTGGAGACGTCCTGCAGGTATCTCCATGATTGTACAACATTTTATAAACCTCTGAAGCGATCCTAGAGTTCTAACACTTCTAAGAGGTTTTGCAGGTGTTTTTAAGTTTGTATGACATTTTATTAACCTCGGAAGAAGCACGCCGAAGTCTTCGTTTCATTTTACTGCTTTTCACGACATTCTTTATGATTGTACGATACTGAAACGAACCTAGAGTTCTAAGACGTCTAAGACATTCTGCTGTTTTTAAGTTTGTACGACATTTTATAAACCTCAGAAACAATTCTGGAAGTCTCCGTTTCTTTTTACTTCTTTTCATGCCTTGAAGAGGTTCTGCAGGTATCTCTATGGTTATAAACCTCTGAGGCGATCCAGGAGTTCATTGTTTTTATACACGGACTTCTGGGAGGTTCTCTAGGCGTTTTTAAGTTTGTACGACATTTTAGAAACCTCAAAAACAATTCCGGCAGTCTTGGATTCTTTTTACTCCAGTTCCATGGGCTTTGAAAAAATTCTGCAGTTATCTTGATGATTGTACAAACTTCCGAAGCGATCCTAGAGGAATTTGTTAGTTTTATGCCCCTTAAAGAGATTTTGTAAGTGTTTTTATGATTGTACATTATTCTATATATCTCTAAAGAGTCCTGGAGCTCTTTGTTTCTCTTCAAAAAGTTCTTCGAAATTTTAAATAGCTCTGAGGCGATCTTCTGAGCTCTAAGCTTTTTGTTTCTATTGACGTCTTTTAGTAAACCTTGAAGAGGTTCTGCAGCTATTTTATAAACGTCTTATTCGATCCCGGAATTCTTTGTTTCTTTTTACAAATTTTTGTGGACTTTCAAGAAGTTTTTCAGATATTGTTATGATTATTCGATATTTTATAAAGCTCTGAGACGATCCTCTGAGCTCTAAGTTTTTGTTTCTAATGACGTCCATTTGTAAACCTGCTATATTTCTATGAATATACTACATTTTATAAACGTCTTAACGACTTAAAAGTTCTGTAAGTATTTTTATGATTGTACATTTTAAAAATCTCAGCTCTAAGCTGTTTGTTCCTAATGACGTCTATTTGTAAACCTGCTGATATTTCTATGAGTAATACGACATTTTATAACTCTCTCTTTGTTTCTGTTTACGCATTTTTCTGGACTTTGAAGAAGTTCTGTAGGGATTTTTATGATTGTACATTTTATAAAGGCTCTGAAGCGATCCTCTGAGTTCTGTAGGTATTTTTATGATTGTGCAACATTTTATAAAGTTCTGAGGCGATCCTGGAGGTCTTTGTTTCTTTTTAAACCTTTGAAGAGGTGTTTTACGGAAAAATTTTTTGGCCCGCTCGGTGTCCGTGAAACGCTAAAACAGCAACGCCGCCCCCGTAACGTCGAGCGTGTTCATTTAAATCAATTTCGCTGAAGACGATGTCACCGATTCGCGTATAAAAGCCCTCGTTTCGATCAAACCCGTCCCCAGTGCGTCGGGCGTCCCGACGACGCGATGGACGACGGACGGCTCCGCAAAACCGGAAATAAACTGGCCCTCCTCCGAGGAGTCGGCCGCCTGGCGATGACCCCCAGGTCCGTCAGTCCCGAGACCGCCAAGGTGAGTACCGCGGGACCTTTTTCTCGCTCTCCCCGTATACATCGCAAAAACGTTCGTGCCAGGCGCCGCCGCCGCCGGCCGCCCCTTATAAAACCGCCAAATGCCGCCCCCTCCCGACACTTAATCCCATGTTCGTGCACGGTATCCAGGTGCGGCGACGCTCGTCCAGCGAGGTCGCCGACACCGACGATACCGACGACGAAGACGGCCTCCTGGTGGTATTCGCGAGATCGTGGCGGCGGGTGACTCGATTTACCCTATTTTTGATTGCAGCGGAGGCGGGAGGAATGCGAGCGCAAAGCCAGACGCGGGGAGATGGACCCCAGGCTGGAATTCACGTTCCAGATCCTCATAGATGCCACCGGATTGCCCCGACACGAAATCATGGACCACGTGTTCGAGGGAAACATGCTGGACGAGATCAATCAGCTGTTCCTGCCGCACATGAAGAGCAAACTGATGTGGTTCTACCAGGACGTCTTGGAAACAGAACCACCTCCGCCTACCGACGTCTCTAAGCCGGGTACCAGCAGACAGCTGCAGGCTAGCACCAGCCGCGCGAACCTGGTGCAAAACTTCGTTCCCGTATACAAGAAGAAACTCTTCCTGACGGACGGCTGGCAGGTGCCTCTGAGCGGCGTCTGCGTCTATATCTTCCGCACCAACAGCGGCAAACAGCTGCCCGAGGAAGGTTTCCAGAAAGATCTGTTCTGCGGCGTGGTGGACGCGAAGAGAATCGGCCTCGTCGCGACGATCGAGCGCGTCATCGAGCACGTCTTCATGGAGGCGCTGGCTCACCCGAGTCTGGACTGCGAGGACGACGCCGCCAGCTGCCCGATGGTGAAGAACCAGCTGCTGCCCAGCCTCAGGTCCTTCTGCAGCGTGTTGAGGGTGTGCGAGGAGGTGGCGAATGAGGGTAATCTCTTCGACGACGGCCAATCGTTGACCCGTAAGCTTCGCATGGAGGAAGTCAAGGAGATGGCAAAGTATCCCGACAAGGTGCAGCTCCTGGAGGAGCGCGTTAGAGGCTGGTGCAAGCGGCTCGACGAAATTTTGAAAGAGAGTGAGCAAATACGCCGCGAGAACGACACGTCCGGCCCTCAGGACGAGCTCGAGTACTGGAAGAAGAGGGGAGCTCAATTTTCGCAGATCGCTAACCAAGTAGGCTCGAGGGAAGTCCAGATGACAGTCATCTGCCTCAAGACCGCCCGCTCGAAGCTGATCAAGCAATGGTCGGACACGGACAAGAAGATCACCTTCTGCTACAACGAGGCCAAGGACAACGCCAAGTTTATCCAAGCCCTGGAGACGAAGTGCCACTCTCTCTACCTGGACGACCCGGTGAGTACGACGAACGCTGGAGTCGTCGCAGAAAGGTAACCCGGTTTCAGGTGAAAATGCGGGAGTGCATCATGGGCCTCCTCCAAACGGTCCGGCTCATACACGGCATCTCGCAGTTCTACAACACTTCGGAGCGCTGCTCCGCGTTGATGGTAAAGATTACAAACCAGATGATCGAGACCTGTAAGGGTTACGTCACGTGCCGCGGCCAGGAAAGCATTTGGACCCAAGATAGATCCCTGATGAAGGACAAACTGACCCAGTGCATCGTGCTGAACAAGGTCTACAGGAGGACGTACCACGTGGTGAAGAATCACGAGTTCTTGCCGGGCAGGCAGCCGTTCGAATTTTCCGAGAACTACATCTTCGGCAAGTTCGACGCGTTCTGCAAACGCCTCGGCAAAATCATCTCCATGTTTGAGATGATCGACGACTACACGACCCTGTTTCAGCGTCGCATGGAGGGTCTGCTCTTGGGAGACGGTTCGTATCTTTGGGGACCTGTTTTAGCCTGTACCGATGTCGCGGTTTCAGCTTTGGAGGAAGCCGTCGAAAACTTCGCCGAGATCAAGGCTTTGGTGATGAACAAACAGTACGACTACCTGGATCAGAGGAACGCCGAGTTCGAGCACGATTTCAAGAACTTCCTCAAGCACACCGACGAGCTCAAGGAGAAGATAGCCGACACGATAGAGAGGAACTTCGAGAGCGTGTGGGAGACGCCCCAGGGAATCAGGTTCCTAACCAGGTTCGAGAAGGTCAGCGAGAAGATCCCCCTCGCCAAGATGGAGGAGAAATACGAACGTATCCTCAAGTACTGTGAGAAGGAGGTGGACCGGATCATAAAGATGTACAGGAAGCAAAAGGACGACCCACCGATTCCACGAATGTTCCCCCCCATAGCCGGGAGGATCAAATGGGCCCGCTGCCTGGTTTCGCATCTGGAGGAGTTGTTGTCCAACGTCACCTCTCACCACGTCATGAAGAATTTGCCGACAACCGTGGAACTGTCGCGACGTCACAAAGCGGCCGAAAACACCCTGAGGATGTACGAAACGGACATGGTCGCTTTGTGGATGAACCAGCACGTTGCGGACGTCGACCACTGTTTGCTGAAGAAACTCGTCGCCGTGTGCCCCGAGCGCCAGAAGCTCAAGGTGAACCTGCACCCGACGATCCCTCTGCTGATACGAGAGTCCGACCTGATGATCAAGATGGACCTGCCTGTGCCGATGGTGGCGCTGACTTTGTACTCCAAACAAGACCACTTTAGCCTGATTCAAGACTCGCTTCAGGTAGGAAAGCGACTTCAAGTGGCGATTTACCAGATACTTCGCGTTTCTAGTTTCTGCTCGACGACTTCCTCGAGGCCGTCCAGAGCGTAAAACTCGAGGTGAGGCCCCTGTTCCTACCCCATCTCATCAAGCTCACCTCCAAAATCGAGCCGGGATTGACGACGCTCACCTGGGTATCATCCGATTGGCAACGCTACGTCGACGAGGCCAACGCATGCGTCAACAACTTCAAAGTGTTGACGACGAGGGTCCACGACATCTACGTCAACCGGGTGCTGGAGGTCCTCGCCGCAATGCAAACGGTCCGCCTCCACGCGCTCCCCGAAGAAGGCGACGAGCCCTGGACCATAAACGACTTCTGCGACAGCGTCGACGACGTCTGCCGCTCGGCTGCCGCGGAGCTCCACAAGAGGAGTCTCATGGTGGAGGAAGCCGTGGAGGAAATACTCACTTTAGTGAAGAAGGCCAGGATCGATTCTGAAGAGTGCCCATTCGAAGATGACGGCGCGAGCGAACCGACCTCCCAGCAGCAGTCCGATTGGTCGTTGGTGTGGGAGTGTTTCGAAAAACCTCACCTGTTGCTCAGCGGCGGTATGGACAAGGCGATGCAGGAGGTGGTCAAAGGAGCAGTAGGGGAAATGCGAAGGTACTACACCAGGAAAGTGATCGACGTGCTGGTGAAGGCGACGCGGCAATCTCTGGACGCTTTGAGGAAGAGGTTCTGCGCCGAAGATTCCGATAAACGCGAGCGCACACCCGTGTTCGTCCTTCACGCCGTGCTGCTGATCCCGAAGGTGGGGGTGAAGCCGGACTTGGAGGAGGTGCAGGACGTGCTCAACCTGGCGGGCAAGAACATCACCTCGGTGTCCAAGGGGGTGGGCCAGTGGGGCAAAGAGGTGTGTATATCGACGCGCGTTATTCAAAAACTGAGTTTCGTTTTTCGTATAAAGAACATGGCGTCCGCCGTCGACGACAGTTGTAACAGTGACGTGAGTAAACTTTTACAACTGCCAACTCTTGCCGCAACCGTCTTAGTAATATAGATTCTTTTTCTTCTTCTTCCTACTACGACCACACTCGACATTATTCTCACACTTGCACTTACACCTTTCACTCTCTCTCGCTCACACGCATGCGCAAAAGGAACCGCCACCAAAGAGGTCCGCTTGGGCGAAGCTAGCGGGTCCGACCGCGAACCTCATGGACGTAGTAAACCGTCATGTCCAACAGAAACCGCCCAAAGGTCCGGTAAGGACCAAGGAGGATGACTTCCGCTCACGCCGCCGCAAACTCTACCGCCTCTCCACCGTCGAGAAGCCGCTGTTCCCGCTGCAGCAGCGCAACTTCTTCGGCCACGTGATGGAAAACAAGGAGGTCATCAAGACACTCTCCCTGCTCGCGTCTTGTTCCCAGGACATGCGGCAGGTGGTGATACCATCTTATTGAAAATTGTGACATCTCCTGGTGCGTCTTTTTCATTCTTCAGGAGATGTCACAATTTCTGGGAAGGTGGCGACCGTACAGCGTGCTCTGGAGGAACGAGAAAACCCAGAGGGAGCTGCTCGGCTGTTGCCTCCCGGAATTTGAGGCGTCTCTCAGGAAACACGAGGAACTGAGCGAGAGGCTGGCGACGGAACCGGACTTGTTCGCCATAGCCGGTTGCCTGGCGGTGTCTAGCGAGAAACTCAAATACGGCCTGATGACGGAAATCAAATCTTGCACCCACAGGATCGGCCAGGCGATGAAGAAGAAATACAAACGCGAGATGGAATACGTTTACGCGGTCATCAACGAAATGGAGAGAAAGCTGGAGCGCACCATCAGAGACCTGGACGACGTGAGGATGATTATGGAGACGCTGAAGAAGATCAGGGAGCAGGAAGTCGACATGGAGTTGAAAATAGACCCAGTAGAAGTAAGTGCGTTCGACGCCGTAACCCTCAGCGACGGTTCGCCTTTTAAGGAAGCGTTCAACGTGCTGAATCGCTTCGACGTGGCTGTCGAGCGTGAGATCCTGGACCAGGTGGACAACCTGCGCGATACGTGGAAGCAACTGCTCCACAACGCACTGGCGGTCCAGGTTAAACTGCTCGACATGCAGCCGCAGTTCCAGAACGACTTGAAGAACAACCTGGAGAAGTTCAGGCAGGACAAGATCGACTACTGCGAAGAGTACCGCACCGCGGGACCCATGCAGACCGGCCTTACCCCCAGGGAAGCGTCGGATCGCTTGATACTGTTTCAGAACCGCTTCGACGGTATGTGGCGCAAGCTGCAGACGTACCAGAGCGGAGAGGACCTGTTCGGGTTGCCCACCACCGACTACCCCGACTTGGCCCAGATCAGGAAAGAGCTCAACCTGCTCCAGAAGCTCTACAAGCTGTACAACGATGTCATAGACCGCGTCAACAGCTATTACGACATCCCGTGGGGGCAGGTCAACATCGAGGAGATCAACAACGAGCTGATGGAGTTCCAGAATCGCTGCAGGAAGTTGCCGAAAGGTCTGAAAGAGTGGCCGGCATTCTATGCCCTGAAGAAAACCATCGACGACTTCAACGACATGTGCCCGTTGCTCGAACTGATGGCCAACAAGGCGATGAAGCCGAGACACTGGCAGAGGATTATGGATTCGTTACGTCACGTGTTCGAGTTCGAGAACGAGGGTTTCTGCCTGAAGAACATCCTCGAAGCGCCGCTGCTCCAGCATAAAGAAGACATCGAGGACATATGCATATCGGCGATGAAAGAGAAGGACATCGAAGCCAAGCTGCGGCAGGTGACCAACGAGTGGTCCATCCACGAGCTCACGTTTATGACGTTCAACAATCGAGGCGAGCTGTTGCTCAGGGGAGACACTACTGCGGAGACTATAGGACAGCTAGAGGACAGCCTCATGGTGCTGGGTTCGTTGCTGTCCAACAGATACAACGCCCCGTTCAAGAAACAGATCCAGCAATGGGTCCACGACCTATCCAACACGAACGAGATCTTGGAACGATGGCTGCTCGTACAGAACATGTGGGTGTACTTGGAGGCAGTGTTCGTAGGCGGCGACATCGCCAAGCAACTGCCCAAGGAAGCGAAGAGGTTTTCGAAAATCGACAAGTCCTGGCAGAAAATCATGCAGAGGGCGCACGAGACGCCGGGCGTCGTATCCTGCTGCGTCGGCGACGACATGCTTAAGCAGCTGCTGCCTCATCTGCAGGAACAGCTCGAGCTGTGTCAGAAATCGCTGAGCGGGTACTTGGAACGGAAGAGGACGATGTTTCCGAGGTTCTTCTTCGTGTCGGATCCCGCGCTGCTGGAGATCCTCGGGCAGGCGTCCGATTCCCATACTATCCAGAACCATCTGCTGAGCATCTTCGACAACACCAGATACGTCAAGTTCCACGACATCGAGTACAACAAGATCACGGAGGTGATCTCGTCGGAGGGGGAAACTATACAGCTGGAGAAGGCCGTCAGAGCCGAGGGCAGCGTGGAAACTTGGTTGACGCAGCTTTTGGTGACGTCGCAGCAGTCGCTGCACTCGATCATCCGTCAAGCGTTCACAATGATCAACGACGCCAACCTGCAGCTCTTGGTGTTCTTGGACAAGATGCCGGCTCAAGTGAGAGTTAACTCTCGAGGTTAGTAGCGCTATCTCACGATTTTTGCGGCTGCAGATCGGGTTGCTGGGACTCCAGATGATCTGGACCCGGGACGCAGAGCTGGCTCTACTTCAAGCTCGTCACGACAAGAAGGTGATGCCGGACACCAACAACAAATTCCTGGAGCTGCTCAACACCCTCATCGACCAAACGACAAGAGACCTGACGAAGATCGAGCGCACCAAGTTCGAAACCCTAATTACCATCCACGTTCACCAAAGGGACATCTTTGATATCCTGTGCCGGCTCAACGTCCGACACGTCAACGACTTCGAGTGGCTGAAGCAATGCCGGTTCTACTTTAAAGAGGAGATGGACAAGACTCTCATCGTCATCACCGACGTCACCTTCTCGTATCAAAACGAATACCTAGGCTGTACCGACAGACTGGTGATCACCCCGCTAACGGACAGGTGCTACATCACATTGGCGCAGGCCCTGGCCATGAGCATGGGCGGGGCGCCTTGCGGGCCGGCTGGTACCGGTAAAACGGAAACCGTCAAAGATATGGGCAAAACCTTAGCCAAGTATGTGGTGGTATTCAACTGCTCCGACCAAATGGATTACAGGGGCCTTGGTCGCATATACAAGGGTAGTTTCGAAGTGTAATGTGGCGAACGACTTACTATCCACCCGTTTCAGGACTCGCGCAGTCCGGATCCTGGGGTTGCTTCGACGAATTCAACAGGATCGAGCTCCCGGTGCTCTCGGTGGCCGCTCAGCAAGTAGCGGTCGTCTTGGCTAGCAAAAGGGAGAAGAAGAAAACGTTCCAGTTCACCGACGGCGACGTCATAGAGATGTGTCCAGAGTTTGGCATCTTCATCACCATGGTGAGCGCGCGGGTCTACGTACCATTACCAGCTGACGTACGATTTCCAGAACCCCGGCTACGCTGGTCGGAAGGAGCTCCCGGAAAACCTCAAGATCCAGTTCAGGATCGTCGCGATGATGGTGCCCGACCGCCAGATCATCATCAGGGTCAAGCTCGCGAGTTGCGGCTTCCTCGAGAACATCACTCTAGCCAGGAAGTTCTACACGCTGTACAAGCTATGCGAGGAACAGCTCACGAAGCAAGTACATTACGACTTTGGGCTCAGAAACATCCTCTCGGTTCTTCGGAGCCTCGGGTCGGCCAAGAGGATCAACAGCAAAGACACCGAGAGCACCATCGTCATGAGGGTGCTCAGGGACATGAACCTGTCGAAGCTCATCGACGAAGACGAACCGCTCTTCATTTCCCTGGTGGCTGACCTCTTTCCCAACCAAGTACTAGAGAAGACCGCCTATCCGGAATTAGAGGAGGCGATCAACGCGCAGGTGGAGGCTGCTGGACTCGTGAACCATCCTTCCTGGTCCTTAAAACTAATTCAGGTGAGGTCGCTAGCAATGACAGAGTACTCTTTCGCGAACCACGCCCTCTCGCAGCTCTACGAAACGCAGAGAGTCAGGCACGGAATCATGACGCTGGGTCCTTCCGGTGCGGGGAAGACCTCTTGCATCCAGACGTTGATGAAGGCTCTAACACAGATGGGAGACGTCCACAGGGAGATGAGGATGAACCCCAAAGCGATCACGGCCGCCCAGATGTTCGGCAGGCTGGACGTCGCCACCAACGATTGGACTGACGGGATATTCTCCGCTCTATGGAGGAAAACGTTGAAAATGAAATCCGGAGAGCACGTGTGGCTCGTCCTGGATGGTCCCGTGGACAGTATTTGGATAGAGAACCTAAACTCGGTACTGGACGACAACAAAACGTTGACCTTGGCGAACGGCGACCGGCTATCGATGTCGCCCACGTGCAAAATCATCTTCGAGCCGGAGAATATCGACAACGCGTCGCCGGCGACGGTGTCCAGGAACGGCATGGTGTACATGAGCTCTTCCGGACTCACCTGGAGGCCGATTTTGAGGGCGTGGATGAAGAAGCGTAGCCAAAAGGAGCAGGACGTTCTGCTGAAGCTGTTCGACGACTCCTTCGGCAGTTTGTTAGCGTGGGGGACGCAGAACTTGACGATGGTGGTCGACGTGCTCGAGTGCAACGTCATACTCCAGATGATCCATCTGCTGGAAGGTTTGATTCCCGCGCAGGTGGAGCCGAAGGAGGAAGTTTCCGGGGCGAAATCAGACCTCGGCGATGAAGACGACCTGAGCGACGAAACGGAGAAGAACGAGGAACGTAAAATCTTAACCAGTGAGCATTTGGCCAAGGTCTACGTGTTCGCGTTGACGTGGGGCATGGGAGCCTACTTGGACGGAGACGATAGGGTCAAGTTCGACGCGTTCGTCAAGGAAAACTTGAGTTTTTTGGATCTGCCCCAAAACAACCCCAAAACCCCCGACGTAAGCAGAGTGTAACCTCTTATAACGCTGGTGAGGCAGCGCTTTTTCTGCAGGCAACCGTATTCGACTACGTGGTAAACCCTGGCGGCAATTGGATGCCGTGGAGCACCATGGTCACCAACTACGTGTACCCGGAGAACTCGACGCCAGAATTCGCCAGCATCCTCATCCCCATCACCGACAACGTGAGGATTAACTACTTGGTGGACACAATCGCCAAGCAGGACAAGGCGGTGATGCTGGTCGGCGAACAAGGCACCGCCAAAACCGTGATGATGAAGTCGTACATGAAGAAAACCAATCCCGAAGTGTACCTCCACAGAGCGTTTAACTTTTCCAGCGCCACCACGCCGTATCAGTTCCAGAAGAACGTCGAAAGCTACGTGGAGAAGAGGATGGGCAATACTTTCGGCGCGCCCAGCGGCAAGAAACTCATCATTTTCATCGACGACATCAACCTGCCCGAGATTAACTGCTGGGGTGACCAGATAACCAACGAAATTGTGCGCCAGACGATGGACATGGGAGGCTTCTACAGCCTGGAGAAACCCGGCGAGTTCACGACGATAGTAGACGTCCAATTCGCAGCGGCTATGGGGCAACCTGGAGGCGGGAGGAACGACATACCTTCAAGGCTGAAGAGGCAATTCAGCATGTTTAATTGCCCGCTGCCGATGGACGCGTCCATCGACAAGATTTTCGGCGTTATCGCCCAAGGTCACTACAACGCCAAACGTGGCTTCACCGTCGAGGTACGCAACCTGGTGAAGAAGCTGATCCCGCTGACGAGAGTCTTGTGGAAGAGCACCAGGGCGAAGCTTCTGCCTACTCCCGCTAAGTTCCACTACGTGTTTTCCCTGCGGGATCTGTCCAGGATATGGCAGGGGATGGTGAGATGATCCAGTCTAGCCTAGGTGAAGGACGTAAATAATTATATCGTCGATAGATTGGGACGTTATCTACGGTGATTGACTCGGAGGGATGCATGATGGTCCTCTGGAAGCACGAGTGTGCCAGGGTATTCTCCGACCGGTTCACCATCGAAGACGACAAGCGGTGGTTCAACGAGGAAGTACTCAACCTAGTGGAAGAGCACTTGCGTAAAGACCTCCGCCACAAAACGGAACCAGACCCGGTCTTCGTAGACTTCATGAGGGACGCACCCGAACCTACGGGAGAAGAAGGCGAGGACGCGGACATGGAGCTGCCCAAGGTGTACGAGCCCGTGACGGATCACAACGAGCTCAGGGAACGTCTGGAGATGTTCCTCGCGCAGTTCAACGAGATGGTGCGGGGGTCCGGGATGGACCTGGTGTTCTTCCCGGACGCCATGTTGCACCTGGTGAAGATCTCTCGGGTGATCAGACACCCCCGAGGAAACGTCATGCTCGTAGGAGTAGGAGGCAGCGGCAAACAATCACTGACGAAGCTGTCGTCGTTCATAGCCGGCTACAAGACGTTCCAGATCACCCTCACCAGATCGTACAACATAGGCAACTTCCTCGAGGACCTCAAAGCGCTCTACAGGTCGTGCGGGTGCCAGAGCAAAGGCACCACGTTCATTTTCACCGACCTGGACATCAAAGAGGAGGGCTTCCTCGAGTATCTCAATAATATACTCTCGTCGGGGGTGATATCGAACCTGTTCACCAAAGACGAGCAGGCGGAGATTATCCAGGAGCTGACGCCGATCATGAAACGCGAGAACCCGAAGAGGATGCTCAACCCGGAAGTGGTGATGGAATATTTCATGAACAGAACGTGCCAGAACCTGCACGTCGTCTTTTGTTTCTCGCCGGTGGGCGAAAAGTTCAGGAACCGCGCATTGAGGTTCCCGGCTTTGATATCGGGCTGCACCGTCGACTGGTTCCAGCCTTGGCCCAAGGACGCCCTCGTCCTCGTCGCCCGACACTTCCTCAATGATTTCGACATCGCCTGCACCGACCAAGTCAAGGAGGAGTTGGTCAATGCCTTGGGATCGATACAGGACGTCGTCGCTGAGACCTCCGCGGAATATTTTCAAAGGTATGGGTCATCTTAGCCAATCTGGAGGCCACGAATCAATTTTGCAGGTTCCGGAGGGCGACCCACGTCACCCCCAAGTCGTACCTCAACTTCATAGCGGGCTACAAGGGCATCTACAACAGCAAACGTAAGGAACTGAGCGACGGCGCTTTGCGTATGGACACCGGCCTCGAGAAGCTGGCCGAGGCATCCTCCTCGGTACTGATCCTCAAAAAAGACCTCGCGGCCATGGAGAAAGAACTGGCGGACGCCTCTCAGAGAGCCGAGCGAGTCCTAACCGAGGTGACAGAGAGGGCAATGCAGGCCGAGATTGTCAAGAATCAGGTGCAAAAGGTGAAGGAGAAGGCGGAGGCGTTGGTGTCCTCGATAGCCGTCGAGAAGGCCAGGGCGGAGGAGAAGCTGGAAGCGGCCAAACCGGCCTTGGAGGAGGCGGAAGCGGCCTTGAATACGATAAAACCGGCTCACATAGCGACCGTGAGGAAACTCGGAAGACCGCCCCATCTGATCATGCGCATCATGGATTGCGTGCTGATTTTGTTCCAGAGGAGGCTGCAGTCGGTGGTGGCGGACACCGCCGCACCATGCCCCAAGCCCTCCTGGGCCGAGTCGCTGAAGGTGAGTATGTTTTGTAGATTTTCGGTGGGGGCAGCAGGTTCGAGATGCTGACTTGAGGGTTTTGAGGCAACGTGGAATATGTTCGAAACAAAGCAAACGAATTTTACTGAGTTTTTATTTGTCAACAATTAATTGATCCCGTGGGAATCTTTCAAACATAACAGGTACTTGCACACGTCCACGCATCCTATCCCCTCGACGTTGTCCCCCAGGTAGTTGGGATTTTCCGTGAGATATTCCACGTTTCGTTGCCGAAAACTTTCCAACATGGGCGCCAGATCCTCGCACTTCCACTTGTTACCATTCACCCCGATCTGCATCAACCTCACTACATTCTTCAAGAGACTTTTGTAGTCGATGTTCTTGAGGTGGTTGCCTTCGAGGTTGAGGACCTCGAGCCTGCGCAGTGGCGCGAACACCTCCTTGGAGAGCTTAGACATGCTGTTACGGGCGAGATCAAGGTTCCTCAGACGGGCCAGATTAGAAAAGACCCCGACCTTGAGGTCCTCGATGCGGTTCCGCGAGAGGTCTAGGCTTTCTAGGTCAGGAAAGTGACGAAATGTGCCCACCACAACGTCGAGCAACTCGTTTAAGCTCATAGACAGCACGCGAAGCCTCGCGAGGCCGAAGAAGGCGTCCACGGATAGCCGGCTCAGCCCGCAGACCTCTAACTTCAACGTGGTCAATTTCCGTAGGCTTCTAAACTTAAAATCGGAGATGTTCTTTAGTGGGTTGTAGCTGAGATCTAGCTGTTCCAAGTTCTTCAAGCCTGACAGGGCGTCCGGATCCAAGTCCGTCAGATTGTTCCGAGTTACGGGCGAGCCGCTAAGGTCCAGATACGTTAGGGAAACGAGGTCTTGGAATGCGCGAGGCTCCAACGCGCTCCAAGACTTAAGGATGACGTCGTCGACGTGCGTGAGGCTCAGGAGACCTACGAGGGCGCGGCTCTCTACGGTGCCCACGTTGGTGTTGATAAATTCCAGTAGCTCCAACTTCCAGAGGTTGCGGAAGGCGCCGTTCGCTATACGACCTATGACGGAGTCATCGAAAACCAAACGCTCTAGGTCGTGAAAGTGGACGAACGCGTTCTTCTCGAGGTTTCCGCTCAGGGTCACTTTTAAAACGGCCGCCGAGACATGCCCGACATTGGTCAACGCTACGGAAGTCAGCGGGTTGAACTTTAAGTTGAGTCTCTTGAGTTTCACGAGGGGCTGAAACAGGCCGGATTCTAGGACAGTCAGGGAGGTGTTCTCCAGGTTCAAGTCTTCGAGGAAGATCAAGCCAAAAAAAGCTAGGGGATGCGCGTAAACGAGCCGGCCGTTTGACAGGTCGAGGTTAGTCAGCGCAGGACAGTTAGAGAACGAGGCGTTCTCCAGCCGCAGCTCGTTGGAGGAGAGGTCTAGGTTGCTCAAGTCCTGGATTCCTCGAAAGCTGGCCGAGGTCACTCGCGTGATTCTCGAGTCGCCGAGCTTCAGGGTATTACATCGGAGTCCCCGGAAAAGGTCGTCTACGGAAGAGAGGTTGGAGTGGGACATGTCCAGGAGATCGATCGAAGCTGATTCGAATCTGGGCAGCTTTAAATGTTCGAGACTGTTGCGACTTAGGTCGACGACTTCCAAGCTGTTGCCTCCGAACACGGTCTCACTAAAGTCGGTTATAGAGCAGTGGCTCAAGTAGATTTTCTGACTGTACACGTCGTTTGAGACGTCGTGCAGGTATCCGAACAGGTTGTTGGAAGCGTTTCGTACTTTTGCACGAAAACCGTGCATCACTTTGACGAAGTCGTTGGTCGTATTAGATAGGTTCACTTCGAGGACTCTCATATCCTCCATTTCCAAGAGCGGGTTGTTTGCCAAATTAAGACTAATGTCACAGCGGGAGCCATTGTAAACCGCCGTTATGTGGTTTGAAGCCGCGTGTACAAAAGGTTCTCTAGCGTGACGGCACATATATCCCAGATCCAAGAAGGTGAGCTCGTTGAAGCTGAGGTCCAAAGTACTCTGCGCGAACACCTCGGGTTGGATCGATTTCAACCTGTTGTGGGCTAGATTGAGCAGTTTCAAACGCCTCCCGAACCGAGTTGCGAATTCGGCACTTTCGAGCCTGTTGTAACTCAAATCCAGCGCCTCCAAAAGATGCAGGTCGTCGAACGCCTTCACGGCGACGCTCTTCACCTTGCACCGGGTTATCTCGAGCGTCCGCTCTCGGCACCACTTTGTGCACCGTATCGTGTCGATAACTTCAAAGTCGGAGTCCCTTATTTGGACGACGCTATAATTCGTCGGTCTTTCGCCCAAGATGACACGGTGGACGTCGTAGAGGTACCTCTCTTGGGTGACGTTCACGCAGTTCACCACGTCACCGAATAGCACGCAGCTGGACGTAACAGGCCGAAACCACAAGAGCGCGAATCCCACGAGAAGCATTTCGACGCGATATTAAACTAACAATGAAATCGATTTCCATTGTATTCCGAATGCGGGGTCAAACATATTTGACCTCGGTGGTTTACGATTCTTATTTAACGCGCAGATGATGGCATCCACCACGTTCCTCCTCCAGCTGCAAAACTACCCCAAGGATGTGATCAACAACGAGATGGTCGACCTGCTGCGGCCCTACTTCAGCATGGACGATTACAACATGGACACGGCGAAGAGGGTGTGCGGCGACGTCGCCGGCCTCCTCTCGTGGACCAAGGCAATGGCGTTCTTCCACAGCGTCAATCGGGAAGTGTTGCCGCTCAAGGCGAACCTCACGCTTCAGGAGGCGCGGCTCAAGATCGCGATGGAGGACCTCGCGGCCGCGGAACAACAGCTCGAGGATCGGGAACAAGCCCTCAAGGAGGTCAAGGACCAGTACGACGGTGCCGTCATGGAGAAACAACGGCTCACGGACGCCGCGAACCTGTGCCTGAGGAAGATGAACACCGCGACCGCCCTCATCAAGGGTCTCGGTGGGGAGAAGGTGCGCTGGACGCAGCAGAGCAAAGAGTTCAAAGAGCAGCTCGGCCGACTGGTGGGCGACGTCCTCCTAGCCACGGGGTTCTTATCCTACTGCGGTCCTTATAACCAAGAGTTCCGCGCGGGTCTCGTCAACACCTGGATGGACATCCTGCAGTCTAGATCTATACCTTACACGATCCGTTTGAACATAACGAGCATGCTGGTGGAGAACGCGACAGTGTCCGAGTGGACGCTGCAGGGGTTGCCCAACGACGACCTGTCGGTCCAGAACGCGCTCATAGTCACCAAATCGAGGTCGTATCCGTTGCTGATCGATCCCCAGAACCAAGGCAAGATGTGGATCAAAAACAAGGAAGCGGACAACAACTTGCAGATCACCTCGCTAAATCATAAGTACTTCCGCACGCACCTCGAGGATTGCTTGTCGCTCGGAAAACCGCTGCTTATCGAAGACATCGACGTGGAATTGGACCCGGTGCTCGACAACGTCTTGGAGAAGAACTTTATCAAGTCCGGCAGTATCGAGAAGGTGATCGTCGGGGACAAGGAGTGTGACGTGCTCAAAGGGTTCATGCTGTACATCACCACCAAGCTGCCGAATCCGCCTTACTCGCCCGAAATAAGCGCCAAAACGTCGATCATTGACTTCACGGTGACGATGCTCGGCCTCGAGGATCAACTCCTCGGCAGGGTCATCCTCATGGAAAAGTCCGACTTGGAGGCGGAACGAGTGGCCCTGTTCGAGTCGGTCATGCAGAACCAGAAACGCATGAAAGAATTGGAGAGCAACCTGCTCGGGAGACTCAATTCCACTGAAGGCTCGCTGGTCGACGACGAGGAGCTGATCAACGTCCTCCAAGTGACCAAGACCACCGCGGAGGAGGTCACCCAGAAGCTGTCCGTATCGGTGAACACGGAGAAGAAGATCAACGTCGCCAGGGAAGAGTTTAGAGCGGTGGCAACCAGAGGATCGATCCTCTACTTTCTCATTGTCGAGATGAGCAACGTGAACGTCATGTACCAGAACTCGCTCAAGCAGTTCCTCATCATCTTCGACAGCTCGATCACCAAATCGGAGAAGAGCAACAACGCCGCGGAGCGGATCGACACCATACTCAAGTACTTGACGCGCGAAGTGTGGACGTTCACCCAGCGCAGCCTCTACGAGCGTCACAAGGCGCTCTTCACTCTGATGATGGCGATGAAGATCGACCTCCAGAAAGGACGGATTACCCACGAGGAGTTCATGGCGTTTATCAAAGGCGGAGCGTCGCTGGACTTGAACGCGGTCCAACCGAAACCATTCAAGTGGATATTGGACATCACCTGGCTCAACCTGGTGGAGATCCACAAGCTGGTCGTTTTCGCCGACATCCTGGGCAAGATCGAAGCGAACGAGAAAGAGTGGAGGTGCTGGTACGAGAGAGAGAAACCCGAGGAAGAGGACATACCCTGCGGATACCAGAAAAGTCTGGACGTGTTTAGAAAGCTGCTGTTGATAAGATCGTGGAGCCCTGACCGCACCCTTTCCCAGGCCAGGAAGTACATCATAGGTAAGTTCGAGATACATTCTAAGCGAACAAATTTGAATCGATTCGATTGCAGATTCTTTAGGCGACGAGTACGGCGAGCCGTGCATCCTCGACCTCGAAGCCACCTGGTCTGAGTCGGAACCACGGACTCCACTGATTTGCATCCTGTCCATCGGGTCGGATCCTTCCCCTCAAATCTCGGCCCTGGCCAAATCGAAAGACGTCCCGTTGAAGTCGGTATCGATGGGTCAAGGTCAAGAAGTAGTGGCCAGGGATATGATAGAGGGCGCCATCGCCAACGGAGGGTGGGTTCTGTTACAGAACATCCATCTATCGCTGCCATTCGCTTCGGAGGTGATGACGATGATCGTCGACGCGGACAAGATCGAAGACAGCTTCAGGATCTGGCTGACCACTGAAGTGCACGAGCAGTTCCCGATAGGACTCCTCCAAATGGCCATCAAGTTTACCAACGAGCCTCCGCAGGGTATACGAGCGAGCCTCAAGAGAACCTACCAGGGAATAACGCAAGACTATCTCGACTACTCCACTCAGTATCAATGGCCGCCGCTGCTTTACGCGGTCGCGTTCCTCCACACCATAGTCCAGGAGAGGAGGAAGTTCGGGCCACTGGGTGAGGTCCTTTTCCAACGCGATCTCAATTTATTATACAGGATGATCGATCTCAGGCTGGAACGTGCCCTACGAATTCAACCAAGCCGACTTCGCCGCCAGCGTGCAATTTATACAGAACCATCTCGACGACATGGATCCCAAGAAGGGGGTGTCGTGGCCCACCGTATGCTACATGCTCGGCGAAGTCCAATATGGCGGCCGCGTCACCGACGACTTCGACAAACGCCTTCTCACCACCTTCACCCAGGTGTGGTTCTGCGACGTCCTCCTCAGACCCGGGTTCGAGTTCTATCGCGGCTACAAAATACCACCCTCCAAGAACCTCCAGGGGTACCTGGACTACATCAACGGACTCCCGTCGACCGATTCTCCCGAGGTATTCGGACTCCATTCGAACGCCGACATCACCTACCAGATCAACACCGCGAAGGGTATCCTGGACACCATCCTCAGCGTGCAACCGAAAGAAGGCGGCAGCCAGGGGGGCGAGACGAGAGAGAGCGTGGTGTACTGCCTCGCGGAAGATATGCTCGCCAAGCTGCCCGAGGTCTACAACTCGTTCGAGGTCAAGGAAGCTTTGGTCAGGATGGGAGCGCTGCTGCCGATGAACATCTTCCTCAGGCAGGAGATCGACCGTATCCAACGCGTGATCAAGGAGGTGAAATCGACCTTGACCGACCTAAAGCTTGCCATAGACGGCACGATAGTGATGAGTCAGAGTCTAAGGACGTCGTTGAACGCGATGTACGACGCTAGGATACCGGAGCGGTGGCAAAAGGTGTCTTGGGAATCGGCGACGCTGGGTTTTTGGTACACCGAACTCCTCGAGAGGGACGCCCAGTTCCGGACCTGGTGCAACAAGGGCAGACCGGCGGTTTTCTGGATGACCGGTTTCTTCAACCCGCAAGGATTTCTCACGGCCATGCGGCAAGACGTGACAAGGGCGCACAAGGGATGGGCCCTCGACTCGGTGGTCCTCCAGAACCTGATAACGAGGTACAACAAAGAAGACATCAGGGACGGGCCCGCGGAAGGGGTGTACGTCCGCGGGTTGTTCCTAGAAGGGGCGGGGCTGGACCGAAGGTCGGGGAAGTTGGTCGAGAGCAAACCGAAGGTTCTGTACGAGCAGATGCCCGTCATTTACATCTACGCGATTAATACGACCGCGGGCAAGGACCCGAAGCTGTACGAGTGTCCGATTTACAGGAAACCGCAGCGCACTGACCAAAAGTACGTCGGCAGTATCGACTTCGAGACGGACCACAACCCCCGCCACTGGACGCTCAGGGGAGTTGCGTTGCTATGCGATATCAAGTGACGTCATCTCGGCTGGATACGTCAGTAAATAAAACTTCGTTCTCCGTTGTTCTCGTTTTTTCTTTTCGTAAAATCTTAAAAGTTAAATTTACCTTCTGAGTATACCACAGTATAACAGTCGCGAACGTTGAACTTAACGCATAGCACCAACCAAGAATCGTAAGCCTAAATACATAAAACTGGCGAACAAAACGATTCACTTGTAAAACTTTGTGTTTTACGGCATTCTACCATTTTAAATATACAAAAATCAACAAATACTTATAAACTAGAAATCCCTATTTTTGGATATATTAAAGAACTGAGCAGACAGCTTTTTTCTGGACTAAGTTTGTCCTCTCTTCTAGATCGAACTATCCACTCGTTCCGAATAGTTCGGTTATACTAGATGTTTCGCTTTGGGAAAGCGATGAAAACTACATTTTCGAGAACTTTTTCATTAAAATAGTTGTTATTGCATCCATACATGGCACATCTCGTTCCAGGCATACCTAACTATTTTTTGATGTAACCTATCCCACTGAAAAAGGTAAAAGAAATGTATTTCTTACCTTTACCTATATTATTATGTGTAATATTACGTCCTAACTAATAACACCGCTAATAAGTAGCACGAACACAAAACTTTTAAGTCTTTGTTTAACGTTAAAAATACTGTTTTTCTCAGTTCTCGCCACTCAAGCACATACAATTTTAAAGTATTTGTTAAAGCTTACAAACACTGTTTTGTCCAAGTTTTTTTTTACAGAAATACAATCAACACAAACATAAGCGTACTACTCACTAGTTTAAATTATTTTAATTGTTCAAAGAGCACAAAATGCAACGGTTTAATACGCCTTCAAATGCATTGACAGAATACACAAAAACCGTTAAAGGACTTCGCTTACGTCACAAGCGACCACGTGCGATCGATAATTTTGGGCAATGCTATTAGGTTTACGATTCTTGAGCACCAACCACAATCACAATTTAAATTCGATCCGAAAACACGAGACACTTGAATGACGGAATACTGGTTTGGTGGTCTGTGACGGGATACCAAGCACTCGGTCAACACTTAAGTGGATTTTCGCCAAAACCGCATTAAACAAAACAAAAAAGTCATAACCCAACTTTATTAAAAAAATATTTACAAATAAATACGAAGGTAAAAACATGCGGGAAAACGGTTCATCTCATTTGTTGCATCCGTTTCTGCCGCCTCTCGAGCTTTTTCTGCTTCTTCTCGTCCACTTGCGGGTTCTCGGGGGCGGCCTGGAAGAAGTACGGAGCTAGTATGTTCTTCCACACGATCCAGCCGACCCTCGCGGGCGCTAAGAGCCACAGCGCCCAGAAATAATTGGATATTAGGGAAGCCAGCAACTGGCAGCCCGCCGTGAGTATGATGACGTCCTTAACGTTCCTAAAAAAACGACTGGGGTGCAAAAACAATGTGCCCAAACCCGGTCACTTACTCGGCAACGCCGCCTTCCATGTTCAAATCAACTCCGCTGTCGAGCAGCTGCCCCGTTTCGGAATAAGTCGCCCTCGCCATGTACGCCATGAACTGGTAAGCCCCGACGTACACGACGCACGAAAACAAGTACAACACCTGCAACAGTGTTGATGAAACTCCGGTCCTAACCTCCTATATTTTGCACTAACTATACTTATGGTGGAATTGTAGATCGCGATGATGATGCACAGCGAGAGCGCGTTCGCTATGAGCGCCATGTTCCTGTAGAACTTCAACGTCGACTGGTTCTCCTCGACTATTTGTTTGGCCCCTTTGGTGCCCTGCTTGCCTTTTTGTACCTGCAACTTCCGCAATTTCAAATATATACCGTTGGGAGCTTCGCCTCTTACTCACGGCCATCTCGGAGGGATTCGCGCTCGTTTTTCGATCCTTTTCAATTCATAAAATCACTGAAAACCGCTCTAACTCGCCTAACCCGACCAGGTCACCTCCACGTAAACATCACAAATCAGCTGTCAAACTGCGTGTCAGAACCACATGTTCGAATGGGCGCGCTCAATTAATTTTTAAAAAATTTCGCAGCCCTTATTTTATTTGAAAATAATTTTTGATTAATATAATGGCCCCCCACAATCGCTTTCAATTTTGATTATAAAAAGATCGGTGTTATATGAGACGAATATATTGCTTTAAACATTCACCCATTCACGGGTAGATGGCGCCTCCATTGTGAAAATAAATTAACCTAATTATTGTATTTCTTTATTACAAAAAAACATTTTTGCACAAACGTCGGGAGAAACTGTTTATCGCGGATTCAATTCGAAACAAGGATACAATAAATACGAACGGGAATACAACAGATCAAGCATGTAACGCGGCTTTCACTTGGGCCTGCTGGAACTGGTGCTGCAACTTCTGCAAGGCTTCGCGGTGGTTGTCTTGTTTCTTCTCGAGCGACGCGATTAGATCGTCTATCTTTTTAATCTCTTTGCCGATGTAGTCCATGCGTTTACTCACGTTTTGCTTGGCTTCGATCAGCTCGGTTTTGATGAGCACCGGCCCGACTGACTTAAACACTTTCCCGTCAGCCGGCAGCAGATCCAACTCGCTTTTAACGATACCGTTTTCGTTCAGCTGCCCGTCGAGCTGCTGCCTGGTGGATATCGCCTTCTGTAGCTCTGCAATTGTTTTTTAGGTTATGCGAAGGTCCGGCAGTATCTCGCGAAGCCGTACCTTTTTGCACATTTTTGAAACTGTCGAGTTCAGACTGAAGTTTCCTTTGCAAATCTTCGGACATCGCGAGGTGATTTTCAGCTAGATATATTCAAACGACCAAATAAAGTAATGCGGGGAGCACAGACTCGCTCGTTAAGTCTTCTTTTCTCGTCAGGGTTTTTGTCACGGCCGGCACCTTTGATCTGTGGTCGACGTTGACGTTCAGTTCCAACCTCGAAATGGTTTCGGTGAAAAATGAACGTTTTATAGCAATGCGAAAACGTCTCTGACGATCAAAAATGCGCAGAATAAAATGGAGAAATCAGATTGCTCAGAGGCGCGGCGCCGCGCGGAGCGGCACGTTTGCTATTTGCTCAAGAGTTACGCAGACCTAGGCCTGTCGACAGAGGAGATGCGTGCGGCGGTCTTGTCGCGCGACCCGCCACGTAAAAACAACAAAACGTGGCTTCTCGTAGCGGCCGTTACCGTGCTGCTTGCTTCCGTTTCGTACCAATACAGTATTCCTTCGCAAATTTTCAACTATGTGGTCGGAGTACGGTGCTTGATCCCGAACAACTATTTCGTGTGGGAGGCGACCAGGCCAGTCTCCGACTGCCACTTTTGCTCAAACGTGACGCGAGCCCTCGTCCTTCCCAACGTCACGCGCGAGGAGTTCGCCCCTTACGCGTACTCGTCAAAGCCCATAGTCATAAGGGGCGCTTTCCTCCATTGGCCCGCATTGAAAACTTTCGACTTGCAGTATTTCAAAGCGTTGTACGCGTCCGTGCCCGATTCCCACAGGAGCGTCGACGAAGAGTGCCAATTTCTACATTTTAAGTCGGATTTTATTTCGCTCAAGGACGTTTTTGACATGAGTCAGAGCAGAGTCGACAATCTGGAAGGCGAAAGAAGCTGGTACGTCGGCTGGTAGGTGCACCTGATTTTAAAAAACGGTTGTGTGATATACAATGTGTGACAAAAAAGAATAATGAAAAATTATGTTTATTATTTCATTTTATGCTGATTTCAAAAAGTATAGTTATTTTTTTGATTAAGGCCAGAATTAGCCAAAAATAAAGTAGTCACTTAGATGGCCTTACATTTAAAATATGCCACATCTGTCATAGTTAAACAAAAGAGGTCCATGATGACGCACAGCCAACTAAGTGACAATTTTATTTTTGGCTAATTATGTCTGTATGTGTTGCGCACAGGGGCAATTGTCATCCCGATATCCTGGAGGAAATGCGGACGCAATACCCCAAGCCCCACTTCCTGCCGCTAGACGCCGAGCTCCCTTATAAAGACTACGTCTTCATGGGCTACGACGATGGGGCGACGATGCACGTAAGTGTGTGAATATGGCCCCTCATTTTTTTTTAATTTCAAACTTATAGCTCGATTATATCAATCGCCTGATGTGGCAAGCCCAGCTCAGGGGCTCGAAACGTTGGAAGCTGCTGCCGCCGCCCGAGTGTCAAAGCGTCTGCGAAGGAGTGGAGTTCACCGTGGTTCCCGGTGACGCAGGTTAGTCGCTTTTAACTGTATCTTTCCATCAACTGACGCGATTTTTGTTAGTTTTGGTGGACACCAGGGTGTGGTACCACTCCACGAAGATAGCGCCGGGCGAATTCAGCCTCTCGGTGCAGTCCGAATACGGTTAGTCAGTGCCAGTATAAAGTTTATCTCCTTATCCCCGTAGCCAAAGTTTTTTGTATCTAATTTTTTATTCTAGTCCTTAAGGTATATTTCCTATACTATATAATTTTATTTACATTTTTACTGTGCGTTAGTGGTTTTTCTTAAGTTACCGTCTAGAATTTAGTGCCATTTTTTCTGCCAACATGCCAAATCGTTTTGTTTTTGTAGTTACCAAATAAACCTGTTTGATACTTTATTCTGCGTTTTTTTTGTTGGAAAACTTCGGACAGTGATGACGTTGCAAGATGGCCGCTTTTTAATTTTCATCTGTGCAGGTGGCTCGACGCAAAAACGACGAAGAGAATTTGACACTGGCGAACGGCCCGTTGCGGAAGAACGCGTACTATTTGATGACGTTTGTTTGTTGTTTGTGATAAAGGTTTTTGATTTTCGCGTCTTTGTTTAAGAAAGGGTGTTGCGTATCGTTTGTTTAGCTCGCCATGAGGTACGTCGAAACGGTGGGGGCGGTGGTGGTGGCGTGTATCGTCAGTCAGTGATTCAGTGCCGTCTCTTTCAGCGGCCCTAGGATGAACGTGGGCCAGATGAACGGGACCAGGAGGCCGAACCTCGCGCGGATGCCGTCCAACGACAGGCCGCAGCACTCGCAACACGACGAGCTCATCAGGTTCATCCACGAGTCGTGGACGAAAGTTGAGATGGACCGGGGCACGAGCGCCGTCATGTATTACCAGGAACAGGAGAGCCAAAGCCTCAAGGACTTCCGGCCGTTCGACTTGGACGCGTACTGGGGCCGGCGGATGCACCAGCACGCCCAGAACCACGCGTAGCGACCTGCGTCACAGACTACCTAGTTACGGTTAGGTCTTTGTTAGATTTTATTTTGCGTATCGTTCCGCGCCCCACACGTCGTTCAGTATTCCTATCTATTATTTTTAGTTTTTTTAACATTCCTCCTAATCTCCCATCCCCGCCGCCTCATCCGACTCCTATACTCGACGTAATTTTATATTCTTTTTTTTATATTGTTACGAATAAAACGACTCTTCACGGATTGCTTGTTCTTTATTTACGTGGTCTTTGGTCGCGTTCGGTATCACGTCCACGGGAGAAAGTTACAAAACAAAAGCGTCCCAGCTATGAAATAGCTGACGAAGTAGGTCCGGAAAAAGAGTTCTGTCGGCGAGTCGGTCCTGCCGGGCACTTTGAGCAGGTTCACGTTGTCCGCGCAGGCCCAATAAAACGCGGGCGTCGCCGAGCACAGCATCCTCGTCGACACCTGGACGTGGACGAAAAGCGCGCAGAACACCGAGAGGAAGAGGGCGTGGAGCGCGAAGACGCCGCCCTCGGCGGCGTACACCCCCTGGCCGGCGCCCTTCGGGTCGAACGCGAGCAGGAACCGCGGGTTCCGGCGGAAATTCACGCACAACAGCTTGACGCAGTACCTGGAAGTGATCGCCAGCGCGGGCAGGGCCAGCAGAAAGTTGGGGACCTGCTTCAGGCGGTAGTACCGCAGGAGGCCCACGTTCCAGTACCGGTCCTGGACGTACGAGTAGGCCAAGGGCATGCTTCGGTGGCACCACGACTGGTTGTGCTTGGCGAATTCCCCGGGCAAGACAAACCCATTGCGTCTGGCGTGTTCGATGATGGCGGGGCCCACGTTTGCGACGAAATCGTCGCAAAACATTCGGTAACAGTAGTACTGGTAAGCGGCGAACGGCAGCACGCAGAACGCGGCCACCACAACGGCTACCGCGAAATGCTTGACGACGCGCAAGACATTGAGGTTAGGAGAGTTGGGTTTCAAGCCCTTTAGGCATGAACACGCGACGATATACACCGGGAACCCGACATTGAGCAACCCGTTGGACCTAGTGGCGGTGCTTAACGCTACGGGTGTCAAATAAAGCAAGTCCTTGATGCTGAAAGCAGCTTTCGGCTTTGCGTATTTGGCGTGCAGAGAGAGACAGTTCGTGAGGGACTGGAACGTGAGGTAGCTGAAGACGCACTCGGTGTAGGGGGCGACGAAAAACACCGACGCCGGGTTGAAACAAAACAGCACCGCACTGCCGTAAGCGAGCCGCTGGTCAAACAGCGCGCCAGTGAGCTTATACAGGGCCAGCGCGGCATGTTTAAACACGACCACGTTCACTATCACGAACACCGCGAGCAAGATCGAGTCCAGTTGGCAAAAAATGAGCGCCGGAGAGACAGTTCGCCCCGCGACAGACACCGCCAGGGGGTAGAACGGGAAAAAGGCGAGAGCGTTTTCGTAAGTGTAGCCGTGGCGTGCGATGTGCATGAAATATTGGGCGTCCCAGCGCAGGAAACCGCCGAGGGCGTAGTCGACGGCCGCGTCGCAGTAGTTCCTGCCGCCCGTCGGGGCCGGATAAGTGAAAACTCCGGCGTCGTGGTCAGGGATAAGGCGGTTCGCGACGAATTGCAGCGCGATTAGAGCCGTCCGGCTCGCGTACGCAATCCTCGCGATTTTATCTTCGTCCTTCATCTCGCGCGAGGGATCTGCAAGCGCGGGGCATTTTCCCGAGCTGCGAAAACAACGAAAAAATCGTTAACGGCCACAGATAAACGGCGATTAGAAGCGTGGTTAGTTTGGCTGGCGCGAAGTCAATTTTTTTTATCTGTCATAAATGGGCGCTTTTATGGGGCAACTTTAATAAGAACATTCGCCCAAGCCCAGAACATCTTATTCGTTCAGTGTTCGTATAATTGCGAATCAAATTCTTAACCTTTATATTAGTTTCGAGTGCTCTCAAGTGCTACGAGCTAGAACTTGGAATCAAGGGGAACAGATTAAAAAATCAAATAATTAAAAAATATAATTGTTTGTGGTTTTTGTGTTTTAGATTATGACATTTACGTGGTTTAATGCACGTAATAATAATTTTTAAACTAAGAAAGTTACTGTAGCCGACTCCATCATTGAAAAAAAATCTAACAGAGTGATGAAATGAATAACATCGATAAGGCATCTAAGGAATGTAAATTAATTCTTCAAGCAAACCTTCTATTTAAAAAACTTCCCATAAGTTTTGTAGACATATTTGTGTATACTCGTCATGAAACCTGCCCCCTGGCGATGTTTCATAAATTCGATTCAAATTCTTATTTGCAATGTAGCATTTTGTTGTCAGTTATTACATACTTTCAATAACAATTAAATCATTATGGATAATATGACGAATTTTATTCTTTCTTAACCTAAAAGATTTTAGTACTTCCAAATATATGTAAACATGGTGGAATATTTAAAGGATTCTTAGATTCCCAGCTGGGCGCAAATAGCATTTTCCCTCTATGGACGATTGTCCCTTAGTATGGCGCCCAAAGCACCGTAAAAAAGGAAAGAAGAGGAACCGTGGTCTGCGAAATCGCGCGAAATATCAATCGCGCTACGAGGCGCGTTCGAAAACAAACAGTTACGGCGAGAGACTTGAAATTTATTAAACTAATCGGCATCGCTGGTGGGTAATTTGTCGCCTATGGCTTCTAGTAGGCGCTTGTGGAGCTGGTAGAGGCTCGAGAAGACGTGATTCTCGTCCAACTCTGGGTACTTTTGCTTCAACGCGCGCACGTCGACGTCCGAGACGAGCGCCGACTGCCAGCCGGACCGCGTCGCTCCGAAGTAATCCATCTTGGCGTTGTTGCCGATGTGCAGACACTCGTCGGCGGCTACGCTCCCGCCCGCCTCCTCCATTGCTTTGCGAAATATCGTCGCGTCGGGCTTCTCGGCGCCGAACTGAAAACTCGATACGTCGTAACGGAACGCGCGCGCAATTACGGAATGCACCTCGTAAGAGCCGAGCACGAAGTCGAAGTAATGGCGCAGCTTGTTGTTGCGCAGTATGGTGTCGAGGCGCGGGTCGAAATTCGACACCACGCCCACTCTCAAACCCCTGTTCCGCAGAAACGACAAGATGGCGGGCACGCCGTCGCAGTGCTGCCAACACGCCGTGGTCTCGTACATTTCCAGCAGGTGACGCGCGACGGCGTCCAACTTGGCGTCGTCGAACTCGATCTTGGACGCGGCGAACGTGTTCTTCACGACGCGGTTCCACCTGAAAGCGATCCGTCGTCCGTGAACGAAATTTCAATGGTCCGTGACGCACCAGTTCTGCCAACCGAGGCCGGTGCGCAGCCCGAAGTTCGGGTGTTCCGCGCTCAGCCGCCTGAACTGTTCCTTGAAGTTGGTGATGAGGGCGTTGTTGTCGGCGACGACGCCGTACATTGCTCCCACCTCGCCGTACTGCTGGCCGGGCGCGGCGCGCAGTTTTAGAAGCGTCCCGGTAACGTCGAACGTCACGAGGCGTAGCCGCGAAAAATTCATGTCGCCTGCTGCGTTTTTTTTGCGCGTACCTGCGGCGAAAACGGCACTGAACACGAGGCACTTCGCGGAGAGGCGTGTTTTCCCTCGAATGCGCGGTCTCACGTGGGCGCAAAGGTCGAGGTACGTTCCGTACTTGCCGTTACTTCGCCCCACTTCCTAAACGTCGTGGTGCGATCGATCCCGCGCGTAAACAGATCGCGATTCGTGGGACGTCGGAACTTTCGCGCGCTTCGTCTACCGAATCACAGATGGCGCGCTTTCGTGTTCTTTCAACCGATCAATAAACTACGCGAAAGCATTATCGAGAACCAACAGTGTTCGGTTTGGGTTCAGGGTGTTGGCGCGTGGTTTGTAACAGCGGGCCCGCCAACAGCTGAGACGTGACGTACGGAGAAAATTATACGTGTTCGAAAAGCAGAATGTTTAGGTTATTAAGTTAGAATTAGCGATTTTTATGGGAATATCAAATTTAAAACTTATTATATATATATTATATACTGACAGATCAGGAAGAAAACCCCTTAACAAATAGTTTTTCACAACTTTATATATTATACACGCAGAAGGTGTAACGGAATGTATTAAAATTGATTTAATATTTTATAGTGCCCCACAAAAAAGGCATTTTGTATGTGTAGTGTAAAAACGTCGCATTATATGACTTTATTTTACATTTCATAGGTTTGTAGGTTAATAAATATATCTGTATTCAAGTTATTGCAAAAAGATATCTCAGATGCACAGAAACAAAATATCACGCATCAGGAATGGTGGAAGAGAATGGTGTATTCGTCTTGAGGAAAGGACTAAAAAATGAATTTTGTTGTCGACGTTCAAAAAATTTCGATAAATTTGATTTGATAGAAGTCAACTTTTACACCGGCCCGTGGCTGTAATAAATAGGGGGCGATATTGATGATAAAATATTCAAAAAGACACTCACGGGTTAATAAAAAATATTCTTTTGAATGCATTAATTCATTATATGCATAGGAATTCATGTGTCCTGTGCGGATTTAGCACCCGATGTACGTCCAGTACCTTTAAAATAAGCAACCTTTTGCTAATTCGTATTCGGATTGTACCTATCTAGTATTGACTGTCTTCCTATTTCGATATAAAAATCAAATCCTTCCCATTTGTCATTTTCTATTTGACATTGACTGTACATCGAGATCAAGAATCGCAAACCTAATAGGATTGCCCAATCCCATAAGATATACGTTCGCCAAAATTATCGATCGCACGTGGTCGCTTGTGACGTAAGCGAAGTCCTCTAACGGTTTTTGTGTATTCTGAAGGCGTATTAAACCGTTGCATTTTGTGTTCTTTGAACAATTAAAATAATTTAAACTAGTGAGTAGTGCGCTTATGTTTGTGTTGATTGTATTTCTGTAAAAAAAAACTTGGACAAAACAGTGTTTTTAAGCTTTAACAAATACTTTAAAATTGTATTAGCTTGAGTAGCGAGAACTGAGAAAGTATTTTTAACCTTAATCAAAGACTTAAAAGTTTTGTGTTCGTGCTGCTTATTAGCGGCGTTATTAGTTAGGAGCTAACCTCAAAATATTACAGATAATAATATAGGTAAAGGTAAGAAATACATTTCTTTTACCTTTTTCAGTGGGATAAGTTAAATCGATTTCCCAAAGGGAAAGATCTAGTATCCCGAACTACTCGGAACGAGTGGATACTTCGATGAGAGGACAAACTTAATCCAGATAAAAGCTATGTCTGCTCAGTTCATTTTACAGAAAATGATTACGAAAGAGACTCACAAAAAATTGTAAAATAAAGATTTAAGAATATGTAATTTTTATGAATTTACGAACACACGGAGGTATTAAATTAAAATAACTTTATTAATAATGAGTACACTGATTAAATTAACAGTCTCTCTTATATTTTCTAGGTTAGGTTGTATTGAACAATGTTTCCTCTTCTCCTTTTTACAGTGGATAAATAACAAAATAATCACAACAGTAGTAATATGTATTTTTTATATTATGTACATACGAGGTTACATATAAATACATATTATTATTTACCTATCACCTATAAATAGTATATATTTTTTGTTTTTTAATATGTTCTTTGATATGTCAAAAAATAGGGATTTCTAGATTATTAAGTATTTGTTGATTTTTGTGTATTTAAAATGCCGTAAAACACAAAGTTTTACAACTAAATCGTTTTGTTCGCTAGTTTTATGTATAACAATATTTAATTAATATATGTATTTCAAGATAATACATATAAGCCAAACTTGATTGCAATAGTATTATTTTTACCCTACCTGAGACGCTACCCTAGGCTACTTCCCAATAATTATTAAATTAGTACTAACACGAATAAATGTTGACATTAAATGAAAATAACGAGTGATTGTCCAAACAAAATGCTATATTAGCTGCTCAAAATACTCAAAGTCCATCAAAACTCGGGTCAGTTTCAGATTATTTACATACAATACAGGACTTCACCTACGTCACAGCCAGCGAGAGTTTTCGCATTGCACTGGCGGACAGAGACTTCCCGAAACTGGAGCGAACGCAGTTCGGGATTTTCGACAATTCGAACATTCGACCATTTGTGGCGTTGCCATAGCGCGAAGGATCGACGGTGCGAAACTAATCAAATACGATTTAGAAGAGGTGGCACGGCTGGGGAACGGACGTTTCCAGCCTGCGCGAGGACGTCGCTCCGTCGCACGCGTAAAATGGCGTCGTCGGGACGTCAGCCGTGTTCCCGATGACCGCGTAAACATGCGTGGGCCGCCTTCTTTCGTTTTGCTCGCGGCCCTCCTGCAGGCGGCGCTCGGCAGGGCAGTCCAGGAAGGCGAGTACGCGTATTTTTTCGTCTCCCGAACTCCCGAACCCCCTTGGTCGGTTTCAGATTTGACGTCCGACTCGTGCTCGCCGCCGCAGCTCTCGCTGAACGGAACCGACGCGGAAAAAAGCGAACAACGGGTGCGGAAGGACTACAGCAAGGTCAGGGAGGTGAAGTTTTCGGGCTCGATCGGCCCGTTGGGGGAGAAGAGGCTGTGCAAGATCAAGTGCATCGGGGGACAGTGGGTGGGACCGCTCTGCGTCGACCAGCAGGACAACGGCAGGTACCAGCCGCTGTTCAAGAACTGCAAGCTCGAGTACGTCAACCCCCACATCGTCGTCACGTTCAAGAATATCAGCATACACGTAAGCGCGTCGCGCGACAGTGGCGGAGGTTTCGAAAACGCGTTTTGTTATGTTAGAAGGCGGGCGTGGTGTTCCCGCACGGGTCCCAGCTGCAGATCCGGTGCAAGGAGCTCGGGCTCTACAAGCTGCTCGGCACGTCGAACCCGAGGTGCCACAACGGCGAGTGGAGCACCAGGTTGCCGTCGTGCGTGCCGACTACGCTTCTGACGAATTTCACTGGTTAGGGGGATCTTGGTTTCGGAATTTTCCGATCGCCTTTTGTTTTTTTTTTTTTTTTTTCAGAGGACTCGCCGCCCACGATCCTCATCAAGATACCGTCTGGCTCGGCGTCGGTCGAGCCCGGCGGCGAACTGGCCGTCTTCCCCGAATCGACGCTGCACTTCGAGTGCCTGTACCCCCGCAGGGTCGGCTCGCCCGACTGGACGTGGACCACGCCCCTCGGCCAATACCTCACGGGTAAAGCCGGACGCCCCTGTTACGCTACGATTTGATGTTAAATTAATTGAAGGTTGGGCGATAGCGTCCGAGGAACGGGACTGGAAATACCGGTTGTCCATTTATTACGCGAAAGCGCAAGACTCTGGCACGTTCACCTGCGCCACGCCCCGCGGCATCACCAACAGCGTCACCGTTCACGTGGTCGGTAAGTCGGAATCTGCAATAAAATCGCAACTTCCGGATTTTGGAACCCCGCATACAATTCCGATCCTTAAAAGCCCGCCTTGTGGGGTCTCAAAACAACGGGCGCATCACGTAGATCAATAATCTGCAATTAAAGTGCCATTTCCGGTTTACACTTCCGGTTTTTCAAAGATCGCCTTGGGGATCTCAAAATAACGGGCGCATCGCGTAGATCGAGAATCTACAATGAATACTCCATTTCCGGTTTACATTTCCGGTATTTCAAATCCCGCCTTGTGGGATCTCAAAATAACGGGCGCATCGCGCAGATCAAGAATCTGCAATAAAAACGCTATTTCCGGTTTACACTTCCGGTTTTTCAAATCCCGCCTTGTGGGATCTCAAAATAACAGGCTTATCACGTAGATCAAGAAACTGCAATAAAAATGCCATTTTCGGCTTACACTTCCGGTTTTACAAAGCCGGACTTGTGGGATCTCAAAATAACGGGCTAATCGCGTAGATCAAGAATTTGCAATAAAAACGCCATTTCCGTTTTACACTTCCGGTTTTTCAAAGATCGCCTTGGGGGTCTCAAAATAACGGGCGCATCGCGCAGATCGAGAATCTACAATGAAAACCCCATTTCCGGTATTTCAAATCCCGCCTTGTGGGATCTCAAAATCACGGGTTTATCACGCAGATCAAGAATCTGCAATAAAAACGCTATTTCCGGTTTACACTTCCGGTTTTTCAAATCCCGCCTTGTGGGACCTCAAAATAACAGGATTATCACGTAGATCAAGAAACTGCAATAAAAATGCCATTTTCGGCTTACACTTCCGGTTTTACAAAGCCCGACTTGTGGGATCTCAAAATAACGGGATAATCGCGTAGATCAAGAATTTGCAATAAAAACGCCATTTCCGTTTTACACTTCCGGTTTTCAAAGCCCGCCTCGTGGGATCTCAAAATAACGGGCTCATCACGAGGATCGAGATTATGCCACTTCCGGTTTACACTTTCAGCGGTCACGTGCGATCCGATTTCCGTGTCCGGCATGCACCTGACAGTTCGCGTAGAAGGCACCCGGCTCGGCCACAAGGCGATCTTCCGATGCCCCGTCGGTTTCGCGGTCAGCGGTTCGCCGAACCTTACGTGTCAGGCGTCGGGCAAGTGGTCCGCCCCCGTACCCAGGTGCGAGCCGGTAAAGTGCCCCCCGCTCGACGCGCCCGGCGGCCTCGACGAGCCCCACCTGAGGCTCGAGGAGCACAACAACAGCTACGGAGGCAGGGCGGTTTTCAGCTGCGCGTGGGGCTACAAGCTGGCCGGTGCCCCCGGCATGGAGTGCGAGATAGACGGCTCGTGGAGCGGCAAACTGCCAAAATGTCTACGTAAGCCTTTTTCTCCACCCTCGAACTCCGCGTTTGAGGCGTAACTTTCAGCGATCCAGTGCCCGCCCCCCGTGCTGCCCGTCAACGGGCACCTGATCCAGTCGGAGGCGGCTCCGGGCATGGACGGCGGCCGCTACGCCGTAGGTTCGTTGGTGCAGTTCGCGTGCTCCGGGGCCCACCAGCTCGAAGGTGAAGCGAGCATCATTTGCACCGAGACCGGGTTCTGGTCGCACCCGCCACCGTTCTGCAAGCCCCGATGCAGGTACCTAGGCGAGCCGGACAACGGATACGCCGCCCCCTCCAAGTTCTCGTACGAGCCCGGGGACGAGCTTCAGATCACGTGCAATCCGGGCTACGAGTCGAGGCTCGACCAACCTCGGCCCAAATGCCTGCCGGACGGACGTTGGTCCGCGCCGTTGCCGAACTGCACCGATTTTACGCAGATCTAGGGCGGCGTTCCGTCCGGTTTTGTGTTCTGTGCCCGTGGACGCGACGACTTTGAGTGGAAAAGGGCGTGGTCGCCGTTTTCAACGCGCACTTGTAACGATCTCATCGAATCGCCACGCGAATTGACGTTTCGACGGAATATTATTGTTAATTACACAGATATATTAATATATTATCTATATATAAACAAAATGGTTTGATTGTTATTGCAAAAACCCTCGTAAGTGCGGCAACGCCGCCCTTCCTCGAGGAACGGCGTTTTGCGCGCAACCGAGGTACAATATACTAGAAACCCATCTAACGAGCTCACCTATTATAATCATATTATGCAATAATCGCTTTTCCTAAACACTACACTTTTTCCGCACGACACAAACTTCGTTTCACTTAAAACAAGGTCAAAATCCGTACTCGGAAAACGTGAAAAATTTAAATCGATCAAACGTCAGCGACGCGCCACAGACCACAGTTAAGGACCCTAAGTTTGTTTTTCACAAATAGAAAATAAAATCGGCGTTTAAGTTTACCTCCGCAAAAAGTAAATCAAAAAGAATGTAAGTAACAAAAGCGACGCGATTTACATTGTCAACAAAGCCGTTGCGAGCAAAACATGGCGGGGTTGCCGCGCGTCGCGCTCTTTTCGTCTCTTCGAAAACGACGATGAGTCGCCGTCTTATTATAAACACAGTAAAATTGCGTTTCGTGTACGGGAGAAACATTCCCTCGGGCGGGGGACAGTCGCAGCACCATTGGTTGATTGGCGCGGCACCCGACGTCGAGCCGGCAACGTCGCGGCCGAAGAACGGCGAGACGTAACACCAGATGTCGTTTCACCGGTCGGCGTAGTACCTGCCCGATAAAACGCGACAAGAGAGCGACGGGGGTCCCGCTGGTCCCCCCTGTTCGTCACGTGTGCCGACTGTGCACTTTTCGACGCCGCCGCCGAAGCGAAAGTCAGTCATGTGCGGCCCCTAGTAGCGATGAGCGGTCGCGACAAACGTCCGACGAAGATCGGCCTACTGTGGTTACCGAAACTCGGCGGACAGAAGCACAAACACAAGAAGAACAAGTATTATGTGTCCAACGTGCACGTCGGGTAGGTATACCGTCGAGGTAATTTAGTTAATTGGCGATCGGATCGGGCCCGGGAGGTGATTCCCACGGTCTCAGTGCCGCCGGGCACGTCGGGATGTGAGGTTAGATCGGCGACGATGGATTATTTGGTCAACGCGTACAAGAGGATCCTGTATCGCAAGTACGACGGGTATGTTCGTAACGGTTCTAGCGATAAGCGAAATTCGATACGGCGCGATAAAAAACGTCGGCCGTCGCGGTACGTGCCCGCGTGTCTAAAGGTAAGAGAAAAAAAACGCATCCTCGGTCGAAAATATCGGGGACGGCCGCGGCCGTGACGTTTCCCTGTCAAAAATCGAAATGTGGCCGGTCGAGCGAAAAAACGACCCGGGATTTTACAACTACTTCGCGTTCAGGAAGTTCGTAGGAGGCGCGGGCCTGGCGGACGCCTTTTGGTTAGTGCTGTGTGTCTCCGGAATGTGGAACGCGCGCGTTTAACCGCGACCTCGTTTAATTAAAGTGTCAATTCGGGCGAACGGTCGACCGGTTGACCTCTGCGCGAACCCGAGTAGGCGACCGCTTTGTTTACGTGAGAAACTTCGCTGATGTCGGGATTTCAGGTTAGAAGCTTCGAGACGCGTCGCGGTGTTAAATTTTGGGTCTTCTTTTTTTCCGCCGTATTTGTATTTGTGTAGGTTATGTTGGTCGGACTACTAGCCGCGCATGCGCTCTAGCGCCTGGCCCGCCGGTGAACTTTGCTCTGTAACGTCGTAATCACCGACGTATGTCTTTAGCGGGCCCGTCAGTTTACTACTCAACCCATATTATCCCAAGCATAAAAAAATACTTTTTTTCTCTGAAATTATTGATTTTGTTTCACTTAAGAGTACATTACATGTGTCAAAAAAAAACTCGAAACATACAAAAAAATGCCGGTGCGTAAACGAACCACTGGGAAAAAACATTAAATAATGTTTTCGGGCACATAAGATGTAACATATAATTTATACATAAATATACAAAAGAAAGTTCAAATTCGACATAAAACAACTAACAGTAGATTGTTTTCCAAATAGAACCTGATTTGATACCAGTGGTGCGTTTTTAACATGTGGTCATTAACATACAATGCAACAAGATTATTACCTAAAGTTTCGGAATTTAAATTCAGGTAAAATTGTAGTCCGTAATTTTATACTTACCTGTGTTTAATATTCTTTGGTATGGTATACTACTTAGTTTAAGTAGATATTTTGTTTTAGATAGATTTTTTGTTATCTTTCATTTTGTCAAATTTCATTAAAATATCTACAGTGGTATTAAAAAATATATGTTTTTGAAAATTTGACCATGAAAAGTTAAGACGTTTAGGACATATGTTCATATGAAGAAAAAACACCCTGTGTAAAGTTTTCACGTCACGTCGTCTTTTAAACAAAGTTACTTATTATTACGCACAGTTTTTTCAAATTATTTTTACAAAAGAACAATTCAAGTGTTGCATATCTTTGGTGTCAACTGTTTGTTTCCACTTTTAACCCAATTTTTTTTTGTTTTATTTAATTTAATTCTTTTTAAAAATGCTTATTAAAAAATAAATGACGGGCCAGCACGTTAGTCGCATGCGCGGTCGGCGGAGCCCGCGAACATAACCTAGCGTTACGTCGTCAAAGGCGATTCGTTTTTCTCGTTCAAATCGAGGGCGGCCGGAAACGCGCGGAAAAAAAAAACAACGCGGCTCGTAAATGACGTCGCGTCTAGTAGGCCGCTACACGCGCATCTGTCGCGTTTTACGGTAAACCCGGCGGCAGGCTTTGCTTTCATCTCGCGAGCCACGGCCAACGTGTTTAGTTTTTGTTGTCGCCCGCGACGGTTCGCTTCGAATGGAGGATTTTAACGACAGGTAAGGCGAGACGCGTCACGTCCCGTCCTAACCTCAAAAGTCGGACAAACGGTGAAACGCAAGAGAATAACGGCAAAATGTTTTGACACGTAAACAAAGTAGTATAAGTGTTTGTTTCTTACGCATTTCCTCTCGCGTTCCGTGGCGGTTTTTGAAACGACTGCCATTATTTGAAAGACGTCTGACCTGTCGGTGAACTTGGCTCCCGAATTTTGCGTAGGAATGTGATATTGGAAACCACAAGGGATGCCTATTAGAAAAAAGTCGAAGCAAACGAATTTGCCAATTGTTCCTATGTGTTGAGCAGCATGTTTTTTATTACGAATACAACGATGTACGACACGATACGGTTTTTATTAAATTTCCAATGTTTTCTCGCCGTTTTTTTAACGTTCTCGTCACGTCTTTTTGCTGTTTTTTTTTTTGCTATACAAAATGGAATCGGTAAACATTGCGACAGTTTTCCGCAAATCGGTGATTTCCGCGGGATTTCGTCGACATAATTTCGCAGGTACTAAGGTCCACAAATTAAAGTGCCCGTCGGGACTAGGAATGAGCAGGAAAAATTAAAACCTTAAGCGTAAAATATTTATTCCGCTATAAAAAAACATTTAAAGTTTGCCATTTTTAAAAAGTTGTATTTTTAAGTGGTTGGACTTTTTCCACAAGAACAAACTTTCAATCAAAGGAGAAAGAGAGATGGAGAGATAGGTAGATCGAAGGAGAATAGATAGATAGAAGAAAAGATAGTTGGAAAAATAGGAGAGATAGATAGATAGAATGAATAAAAAAAGATTGAAGGAGAGATAGATAGATAGGAAAATTTGATAGATAGGATTGAAGGAGACATAAATAGGTAGGAGAAATAGAATCAGAGAGATAGAGATAAGGTGAGATAGATAGATAGATATGATAGATAGATAGATAGATACATGGACAGATAGATAAATAGGAGAGATAGGTACATAGACAGAAGGAGATATAGATAGATGGAAAGATAAGAGAGATATAAAGATGGATACAAGGAGAGATACATAGATATAAGGTAAGATAGATAGATAGATAGGATTGAAGGAGAGATAGATAGGAAGAATAAGAGAGATAGATAGAAGCAGAGATAAATAGGCACATGGAGAGATAGATAGATAGAAGAAGAGATAGATGGAAAGATAGGATAGATAAGATACATGGAGAGATAGATAGGAAAGTTAGATAAATAGGGTAGAAGGAGAGGTAGATAGATAGATAGATATATATATGAAGCGATAAATAGTTAGAATGAGAGATAGATAGATCGAAGAAGAGATAGATGGAAAGATAGGAGAGATAGATGGATAGAAGGAGATATATAGATAGATACAAGGAGAGATAGACAGATGTAGAAAGAGAATATTTGTTTTTTTTGGTATATCTTCGAAAGTGATGAAATTTTTTTTGTTTTCTCAACTGCACGTTATTATCCTTTAAATTTTGCAACTTTTTCTAATTCGACCATCTTCGTTGTGATTCCCAATATCCCCACGATGGACATCCTCGTCTTGTACGTGCCGCTTTAAAATGTATTTTCTCCTTTTCGTTAGTTTTGTTTAGCCGGCGTTGGTTTTTATTTATACTTGTCGTTAACGAAAGAAAAGTGACCTGGAGGGTGGGGATCGTTTTCAAGGTCGATGATGTCGTCGGGTGATTCGCCGGGCGCGCGCGCCCACGAGGTGTTCGATTTCAAGGAGGCGGGACAGTCGGGAGGCCGCGCCTCTCCCCTGCCCACCACGTCGAAGGAGGTGGGCGTACAGAGCGGGGGCGGTGTGGTCCAGGCGTCGGTATTGGTCGAGCCGCCGGGCGATGGCGGGGGCGGCGGCGAGGAGCAGCTCGCCGCGTCCCCCACCCTCCACGGGAGCGAGGACGGCGGCAAGCGGGACGAGGCGGAGCAGACGCTCGCCATCGATGACCTGGGGGACGGGAAAGGCGACGGCGGCGGCGGCGACGAGAAGGCGAGTCGCAAAAAGGGCGATCGCGACAAGTTGGACGGAGTGTGGGTGCCGGAGGCGAAGAAGCCGCCCGCCGAGGACGACGCCGACGACAACTGCGTCGTCAAGTGCCTGTACGTCGCGATGACGTGCTGCGAGTGCTCGATAATGTGATACCCGGCCCCAGGGGGTGGGGCCGCCCCTCTACGTATTCCGTGTACACAGACGTAAATATTTAAATAGATTTGTTTATCCTATACTGCCGTGTTTAATAGAATTTAATAGATTTCCGAGTTTCGTTTCTTCCCTACCCGTCGGGAAATTCCAAAACTCGCGGCAACGTCGCCGATATACCTACCCTTAGGGAAATTTCGCATTAAACTAAAACCGGCAACGTTGCGGCGTCTCCAGTAGAAGTTTTCAAATTTGAAGAACTTTTGACGACCCGACAACAACGTAAAATCGGTAATCAAGTGCGGACGATTTGCCAACATCAAATGATCGCACAATTGATTAATCCAGCAAAACCCCTCGGGAAAATTTTTGAAGTCACGACAACGTCGCAAAAACGCTAATTAAAAAAACCTATAATTCGGGTAAACCTTCAACGACTTGACAACGTTGCAAAATTTAGGAGTGCAACAAAATGGGTTCCGTCAATCGAATCGCCAGTATTTAGTTTAATTTCGGACGATTTGGCAACGTGGCAAATTTATTAATAAAGCAAAATCATTCTGCGAAGTTTTTTAAATTCGCGATCGGACATTGTTATCGATAATTTCGTCAATAGATACGCGGATATTTGGGGAACTTCTGGAAGGTTTGGCAACGTCGAATTAGGGGAACCTTTGACAACTACTTGAAATTTATTAACCCAACAAAACATTTCGGGGAAATTTTTGAAGTCGCGACAAGGTCGCAAAATCACAAATTCAGAAATACTAGAATTCGGGGTAATTTCCGACGATGTGGCAAATAATTTTGGTTAGTAGTCGAAGTTGCGTCGCAAAATCAAAAATAAAAAGTCGAATTCGTCAAAACTGTCGATTATGGAAATAATTTTAGACTTTCGGCAACGTCACGATTGTGCGACCAACCAAAACTATTTCGTCAACGAAAAATGAGGAAAAGCTCGACAATTTGGCAACGTCCGAAAAATTGATAAACTCGACGTCGCGCAAAACTACCGAACCCGTGGCAACAATGCGGAAAAGGCGCCGACGAGGTCAATTGGAAATTTTCGACGATTCGGCAACATTGCGATCGGAAAATCTCGACGATTTGGCGACGTCGTTAAATTGATGGAAGTCGCGAAATAGGGATCGACAACGTCAATGGAAATATCGCATTTATGGAAAATTTCGGCAACGTCGCGATCGGACGATTAACCAAAACGATCCCTCAAAAAAAAAAACATTTTTGGAAAAAAATCGAACAACACAAGCGGCGCAAAACTACCTGAATCCGCGGCAACGTCGCGATTGGAAAATATCGACGACCTGGTCGCAAAATAGGCGCCGACGACTCCAATAAAAAATTTGCCATTTCTGGAAATTTTCGACCATCCGGCAACGTTGCGATCGGACGACTAACCAAAACCACCTCGCTTGTTTTTTAGGAAAATATTCGACAATTTGGCAACGTCGTAAAATCGATAAGATCCACCCGTTTAGGGAAATTTTTCGTAGAACCGGCGACTCCGCCAAACCTAAAATTTGTCCCGCTACGATTCAAACATGTTTGTATGTATTTTAATTTTTTATTAATCGAAACTACAGCTAATGAAAAAAAAAAAAAAGAATCTCCCAGAAAACGTCCGCCCCACCCTAAACCACTCCGCGGCCCCTCAATATGAGGGAGCGAGCTCCCTACCCTCCTCAAACCCCAAAAACAGAATAAAAAGGAGAAACAAAAACGGGTGACTGACTAGACGATAAATTTCACTAGAAAAACAGGGGCCCGCGACGCGCGCGTCCCGGCCGGAATCACGCGCGGTTCCGGCCGATCGGCAACGGGTGGGCCTCCGTGTTGAGGACGAACTTGTCGAGGTCGAGCAGCTTCGGGTCGTCGCTGAACAACAGGTAGAGGTACTTGAGGGTCTCGCTGAGGAAAAACGATTCCATCATGTCCTTCGGACGGACGTTGGCCGGATTGCGGACGTTCCCGATGGACGTGTAGCCGTTCAGGACGCGCGTGTAGTTCTCGAAGCCCTGGAATATCTGCCAGCCCCAGTCTTGGTAGGTCGCGTTGCCGGTCAACTGGTACATCACCCACAGGCTCTCGATGAATTCCGGCCGGAGCAGGTTGTGCGCGTCGTTGGCCTTCACGTACATGTCGTTCGACGTCTCACCCTGTACAAAGTTTAGTTTATACAGAGAAAAATTAGAAAATTTTCTCATGTCCGGAAATAGTTTTCACAATCCAGGGTGTCAAACTTTTAAAAAATCTTGCTTCCTTTACCAGAAAAAAAAAACAATTAGTTGTTTTATTTATAATTATTATAATCATTATTGTTATTGTCATACTATAGACAAAAAATTGAAAAGATGAAAAAGTGGCATTTTGAGTTTCTTAATTTGAAAAAAAAAAAAAGGTTAAAAGACAACGGCGCACATCTCTGTTGCCGAAAATATTCGCTAGGACGCCACTGCACTTCATAATATTAATTTAATTAATCCTAAACGACGCTCTCGTCGCAACAAACAACACTACCAAATTTTTGCCAAAATCGGTGAAGGGATTTTTAAGATATTTATTAAAAACATTTTTTTAAAGTTTGACACCCTGTATCTTAAAAAAAAAAAATGTTTCCGGACAGCCTGTATATCAAAATGGGCAAGTTTCAGAAGAAAGCCGGCCACTTCGCAAAAAAACCAAATCCAAATAACTTAACGCATAAATCAACTATAAAGGCTGCCGAAAAAAAGCAAAATTTCCAAAATCATCCTGCTACAGTCCGCATGGTATGTGGAAACATTTTTGATTTATTAGTTAATTTATTATCATTTTTATTCTATTTTTTGAAATTCCGCGTTTAGGCGGTTTGGTTCCTATTTATCTAAATTTAAGTTAAGTTGGAAACAAATTAAGTCCTTCAGATATAAATACAAGATGTTTATATAAAATATCAGTCCCCCTGTAGGACCTGCGGACCACTATGGAACTTTCTCAAAATCGATGTAATTTTATTGTGCATACACCCTGTGTCTTTCAAGCCTGACGAAACCTGAAACTCTCTCTCTCGACGCAGTTTCAGCAGTCTTTAATTTATCCCCGATAATTAATTTACCAACAAAAACGGAAATTTTTAGGATGTTCTTGATATTTTTGCCTATAAACGATACACCCTGTATATGATCGAAACAATGTTCTGAACAGAGGATATGGCCCTGTATCTCCTTCGTTTGCTGGTATTCGAATTTTTCCAATGGAGTAAGCGGTTTTCAAGAAAATACTTGTTTTCTGAAACCATGCAGCACGGGGTAATAGTAAATGACGTCATCGCGTCTAGATTGCGGGCGAGAATCGTCCATTTTCATATGACTTTTACTTCCTTGTCAAATTTGAAGTCGATGACTACATATTTGAGACACCCATGACGTTTTAGAATATAGCACGGAATATTCCGAACACCCTGTACAATATGTGAAAACCTTAAATACAAAAGTTTTCGCTGACCATAAGTGCTACATAGAAATGTGAAACAAACTGACAACGGAATCACAGCCTTCTAGTTATGGTCAATTATCAATATAAAGGGAGCTCAAATTTCAGTTTTTTGCAAATTACCGACGCACCCTTTACATTTTTAAAAAATCATCAAGAATAAAGGTTTTTGGCTCGGATCTTGCGCATCGTTTGATTAAAGAATTTTTTTGATCGCATCTTGAAGAAATGATTTTTTTCTCGATACCCTGCAAGTGCGGTTTTTAATTTTTTTTAAAATACTTCCCGACCCTCCAACCCTCCAGTTCCAATGGGCTTCGTTACGGAGCTAAGCTCTATATATCTGCTAAATTTCAATTGGATGGCTTCAAATTTCAGACACGTGTTTCATAGCAATGTCCAAAAAATAGTCGAAAATCTAAAAAAAAGATGGACGCCTTGGTTTGATCAGACTCATTTTTTACTAGTTCGTGTAGCTCGTGCACGGCTTAAAAGGAGCCAAATTTGAAGACCATATTGCAAACCGTTCAAAAGATATAGCCAATTAATGCCAGGTCTACAGAGAAACGGAAAACGGATAACAGAGAACAGAAAGAAAGAAGTTTTTTTTTTTTTCGACGCTGATCATTTCTGTACCAATGGCGGTCCGGTAGAACCTACCGTTGCCGAGATATAAGATTCGTTGCCAAGCGCGTATGAAACGAAATTTGAAATGAAATCGAATTTTTCGAAAGTAACAACCTAGCTAACCGCAGCGCCATCTAACGACGAAGTTTAAAAACAAACTAGTTCCAAACATTCCTCCTAATAGCGTCATTGTAATGGACAATGCAAGTTATCACAGTAGACAGTTGACTAAAACCCCTTCCTCGTGTGACACAAAAGCAACAATCCAAAACTACATGTATAATAACGACATGTATTTTCACGAAGATTATACCAAAAAGCAATTAAATGAGGTTCTACAAAGCTTGAACCTACAAAAGGAATACGTCCGTGATAATTATGCAAAAAATCTAGGGCATACAGTTTTAAGGCTTCCACCATACCACTGTATATTAAATAAATAAATAAATATTGTTTAGTATGTTTCCTAACAAAACCCCAAATGATGAAATTCTAAGCAAAGTACGGACCTGTTCGGCCATAGTTCATTCTTACAGCTTGCCAGGGTCTTTCCTTAATTCGTATCAGTTAGTCACTTTCTTATATCTATGAACAGACTTTACCCATCAGATGCACCCCTTAAAAAAAATTTGCAGGAATGGCGGCCAAAGTAAGGTACCATTTGTTCATCTATGGATAAGTTGAACGAAAACATGCCAAACTGAAGATTTTTTTTATTTATTACATCAAAGGAGGGTCTAACTGAAAATTTATCATTTTTATCCAACAGATTATTGCCAGATAAGTGCAAGTTTTGCTTTATCAATTGGAATCTATTGCGGTCACTTTCTTATATCTATGAACAGACTTTACTTTCATAACTATTACCGTCCTGTCTTATACAATAAATTACCCAACAAATTAAGGGATTCAAGTTTGAACGCGTTTATAGCGAACTTAAAAAAAATTCTACGATATACAAGAATATCTCGCGTTCGATTTTGGAAATATGAATTTTGGGTAGATAAGGTAGTGTTTGTGGTCGGGATTGGCATAGTGTTATTTTAAATTTCGTAAACTTCGTTTTTATTAATTTGTTTTGTACATTCTTCCGTTTTATACTTTTGATTAGTTGTATTTGCTTATTTATTAGTATTATAATATGTGATGCATAGACTGTCATATCTTTTGATGTCACACTTTATATATCACGAAATAAATTTGAATTTATGCGGCGCTCACCTGAATGTTAAAGTACGTGATCTCGGGCGCGAGGAAAGTGGGCTGCTGCGCGTAGGTCTGGTAGCAAGTAGTCATAAGGTCGTCTGCGAGGTCGGCGTGGGCCCGCGACAGGCCGTTGTGCGCCCCCAGCGCGAGCGTGCCGGGCAGGTAGCACGTCAGGTGGTCCATCTTGGGCTTGAAGTCTTTGCCGCCGCCGAGGAGCTCGCCGACGAACACGAACCCGTTCGGCACCGTCTTGCGCACCAGGTGCTTCCGGATACCGTCGACCGCCTCGACGTAGTCGTTCACCAGGCTGCGAAAACCAAAAACCATGGGCGTCGGCGTCCACGCGCGGGACGTTTGACCTACTAGTCGAGCGACTTCTCCGTCTGGATCCACTGCTTGAGCAGGTACTCGTAGTAGCTGTCGCCGCGGGCCCCCAACGTCACAGTGGCGTACGACCGGAACTGGCCCGTGTTGGCGTTGATGAAGATCGGTACCAGGCCGTCCTTCTTCTCCAGAGCGTGGATCAGCCGGGACACCTTCAGCACCGCCGTCTGAAAGAGATATTATCCTCTCGCGTGGGCGCGCAAGGCGGACAGAGGAGGGCCGTACCTCGTATTTGGGATCGCCGGTCACCCAGCTGAGGTACCGGAACTCCAGCTGGATCGTCGTCACCTCGGAGGTACTGCTGTCGGGTGACCATTTCGGCGCGTGCGCCTTGTGCGTGAACAGGTTGACGTCGGAGTACGGCACCCCCGAGTCGGACTCGAAGCACGGCATCAGTCGGTCCCCCAGGTCCGTCTGGAACGACGAGGAACACCTCGAGACGATGCAAAATTAAAAAAAAAACAGTCCACCTACCGCCTTTTTTAAGTACAAATCGTCCTTGGTGAAATGGTAGACGCTCAGCAGCCCGCCCAATATCCTGATCGTGACCTCGAAGAGGTTAACGTCGCGGTTCACGTCGAAGGTCAGGTGTTTATCGACCCAATCGCGCGCCTCCGCATACTCTGCAACCGGCCCCCCGTTTAGGTTACGCGCGCTCGACCTCCGCCCCCTCACCTTCTTTGAGCCCCATGATGTACATGGTGTCCAGGGAGTCGACGATGGACAACCCCAGCCCGAACCAGTCGTTGTAGCCCTCGGAAATGGGCTTGAGGTGGTCGTGGCCCCACGCGAACTGCCGGTACCCCTTCCACGCGTGCCTGAACGCCTTTATTACCGCCTTTTGTTTCGCCGTCGATGGGCCTAGCGCGTCACGGTTAACCCTGGCGGAGCCCATTTCGTAAGTACCTACCTGGGAACGCGATGACGTTGTTCGGTGGTTCGACTACCTGGTTACTGTTCCCGTTGTTGTTGCCGTTCACGTCGTTCGGCTCCTCGAGCACTTGGTTCCCGACGTTGTCGGGATCGTCGCCGCCCTTGTCGACGTCGACCGTAATCACGGCCCCGCCGGAGTCGAACGACTTGTAGTAGAAAACCGTCAGGATGGCGATCGTGATTACCGTGTACAGGCAGCTCTTTTGGCACTTGGACAGTCGCTTCCATTGCTGAAACGATTAGGAATCAGACCGGGCGCGGGGCGCCGCGATAACACGAGCACCCTCTTGACGTTGATGCACTTCCGCCTCTCGAGCAGGTTCTCCTGGGACACGTCGACCGCGACATGGTCGTAAAGCCAGACCATCGCGCGTCAGTGGCGGTCCTTATCGGGCACGATCATCGCCACGGGTGCATTTTTTCCGCTATCAATTAATAATCGAACTTCCGCGAAACATCGAAACCGACGGGCCACGGAACACCGACGCACGTCAAACGTCAAAATCTCGCCGAGGGCACGGAACGAACGCGCTTAGAGGCGGCGACATCGCCGCATCCCGACGAAACGATAGGTCAGAACGAATTTAATGTGATTTCGGAAAACTACAATTACAAGCTGAAACAATGGGGAATTCAATTGTCAAACGTCAAATCTGGGCGCCGCCACAGAACACAGTCCTGCCGCATTTTTCCATACAAATTTAATTTATTCTCTTCCATTCACAACCAAATATACAACTTTCGGCGATCGAAATACCTGAAATCAAATGGGGTGTGTAAAAAAAGGAGAAACGCTGATTAAGCAAACGTTAAAATTTTGCCTCCGCCACGGAATGAACGCGTGGGTTTGCTTGTTAGCCATTAAAGGTCGGCCGACCGACGCGTCGCTGACGTCATGGCCTGCCGCGTTACGCCAGCACAACGAAATTCGCCCGTTTGGGCGACAAAAAAACCAGAATTACAAGCTGAAAAAAACGAAATAAAAAACGCAGACTAACCAACCAACCGAACCAAAAGGTAAACGTAAAGGTCTGACGCTGACGTCACCGCCTACAGAGTCGGTTTAATGAAACTGCGGGGTTAAAACGAATTTAATTTATTCTCATCCGCTTAAAACGCAATATACACTCTTCGGCGACGGAAAAACCTGAATTACAAGCTAAAATAAAACGAAATCCAACCGGGTATATATATATAAAAAAAAAAAAAAAAAAACGCTGACTAACCAAATGGACAATAACTGTGACTGTGTGGGAAGGCTCTCGATGCGTTAAATATTTACATCTATTGATTTATACCACGAAAAAGAAAAGAAACGGCGACCGGTAAAGGAAAAGACGACGTTTCGACCCGGTACTAACTGAATAGTTGCTCGGTCGCCCTCTCCAGGTCCCAGTTGTAGGACGAAAGGGCGGCCCGCGCCTGGTGCTCCTCTATTCCCATATCGACTAGCCTCTTAATTTTCTCGTCGCACTCGGGATTCGCGTTGGGGCCTGCAAAAGCGGCGCGGTGAGCGTCGGGGGGCGCGACGTCGCCACCTTACCTTCGGCGTACGCGTTGGTCCAGTGCCGGGCGGTCAGCTGAAACATTTCTAAATTTTCTTTGTATTGCCTGGCGACGACGGCGTCCTGCGGGTCGTCGGGCTCCGCTGCCGACAGCAGCGCCTGCAGCGACAACAGCACCGTGCGCAACGTCATCGCCGCCGCCCTGAAAACACCCACCGGCTACCCGAGAGACGTCAAACCCAACCCCGCATTTACCATTGATCCTTTAGGATGTCTAAGCATATAGCGCCGGTGACCGAAGATATATTCGGATGCCATATTTTCGTTATGAAACGAACCTGAAACGGGGAAAGTTGCGTGCGCGGCGACGTCGAGGTTAAGCTTACCTTCGGCGGGTTGAAGGGGTACGTTTCCGGCACCTTAATCTCCAACACAAACTTGCCGCCCTCGTAGGGGGTGTCCGGGGGCCCCGCGATCTCGCCCTTGAGTTCCGTGTAATTGTTGTCGACCAGTTCGACTTTGATCGCGCATTTCGCCACCTAAAACCGTCGACGCACGACCATAACGTTGCGAAAGAGATGCCCCCGCGCGATAACGTCGTTGTTATTGCGAGGCAGCGCGTCCGACGCGACGTCAGTTTTCCAGCGACTCGGGAAAAACGATGACGACCCAGTCGGACGAGGCCGGTAGGTAAAAATTATTAATAGAAGGAGACGGCGGAGGTGCCAAAACCGCACTTACCTCCTCGCTTTTGATAACCTCTTTGAATTCGCGCTTGATCCGCTGGATCGCTATATTTGCCATGTTATCGCGCGACCCTCTTCCGTCCGGCGTGCCGGCGCCGCGTTACATGTGAATTTCGTCTCGGTTTTGCCCCTCGCGTGTCGTCTCGACCGTTTTTCTCCTTGTACCTATCGTTCGTTCGTTGGCACTTTAATTTTGTCCGAAGAATCGGCCAGTGAAAAAAAAAATCCGAATACGCCGAATGACAGCACGCCGTGTCGGCGGATTGGTCGGTTGCGGTCACCCTTACGTACGCGTTAAAAAAAAAACGTTAAAATCGTGCCCGTGACGTCGCGGCGGCGCGAAACGCGATAAAGTCGCGACGACGGGACGTCCGTGTGACGTCGAAAGCGACGGAAAAAACAACGCAAATTTCGAAACGCCGCGTTAGCGATAACGCGCTGACCTCTGCGCTATTATCTGTGGTGTCGCAACGCGACGCCCTGATTGGCCGGTCGATTTACAGTGATGCCTGGCATATCGGATCCCACTCGTGCGAAAAGTTTACTCCGAACGAATCCCCAAAACGCGCGCCAGCACTCGAAAGCGCTCCTAGCCAGCAGGATGCCCAACATTAAAGTGTTTTCGGGCACGTCGCACCCCGACCTAGCCCAGAGGATAGTCGACCGGCTCGGCATAGACGTGGGCAAAGTGGTGACGAAAAAGTTTAGCAATTTGGAGACGTGGTAAGTGAGGCCCCCTTCGTAATCCGGACGGCCTTGACCGCGATCGCGGTTGCAGCGTCGAGATTGGCGAGTCTGTAAGGGGTGAGGACGTTTACATCGTACAGAGCGGATGCGGCGAGATCAACGACAACCTGATGGAGCTGCTCATCATGATAAACGCGTGCAAGATCGCGTCGGCGAGTCGCGTTACCGCCGTCATTCCGTGCTTCCCTTATGCGAGGCAAGACAAAAAGGACAAGGTAGGCCGTGGGCTTCGCCGCGTCTAACCTCTAAATTTTCTCTCTGCGCTGTGCCCTGTGCATATCGAGGGTGCTTCGCGTCACGCGCGACGTTGCCGAAGCGCCTCGAAATTCCCCGTTTTTTGGTAAAGTCGTTTTGTGGGTTCTAGAACGTGGGCAGCGACAAGGAAAAACACGTGGAAAAGTGGAAGTCGATCGAGTGGAAGTTCAGGGTAAACCCCGTTTTTTTTTTTGTTCCGTGGCGGGGCGACTCATTAAAGCGCTGTTGCATGGGATCGACGTACATTTTAAAAAACAATCGGGACTAAGACGCGTGTAAACACGGGGCATGGCTTGCTTGTTTTTCGGGGCTTGTGACGTAAAAGCGGCGGCTCTCGGAGTTGTTGTTCTTGCGCAAATGTTTTTCATCTTCGTTGGGGGGCGAGGGGGGCACGTCGATAAGCGTAATTAATACGATTTCGCAAGATCGGTTCATTCGGTTATCAGTGTCGACAAACATCTCGCAACGCTTTGACGGGGGTCGATCGCTGGGATTTTTTTTTAAATTTTCGATCTACTTGACGCCTGACACCGAAAAAACTGCGCCTTCTGGGTAGGAAATGACGATTGAACACGGGGTGACTAAACTGAGGTTACCCCGTGTCCCTATGCAGATAACAGCAACTGCGAGAAAAATTTTGATGTTTTTAGGCAGTGACACCTGTAATTGCAAAGTCTTGCTTTCGAGAACCAACATGGCCGCTGACAGATCGTCAGTGTTAACATTCTGTGATAATAGTAATAACTTTGCGCGGCGTTGCCAAAAATGTTCCGATTTCAGAGACTGATATTGAGTTTTTGTAAAAGTAAATCAATTATGCAAAAAAATGACAATGGGAATATCGCTTAATAGAAAGATCGGTTCCAACTATACGAAAATGTCAGCCACCTGCGGCGTATTGATTTTTACCGTACTAGGGCCATTGTACCATCTAATACCTATATGGGTTTCCCTAACTTTGATTCATTTGACGCAGCTTGAAATTTCACACAAAAGAACTGGTTTAACACGCATCCGGGTCAATCGAATGTCGAAATTTTCGTAAAAAAGAAACAAATAGGTGTACATCGTAACATCGTATATTTAATCGGAACCACAATTCGTATCAATTAAAATAGAAACGCATGCACACTAATAATGCCCAGAGATCGTTGTTCTGTGGCGCGGGTGATTTCGTTTTTAATGGCCGAGCGTCGTTTTTTCTTTTTCCGGGGGGCAGAGTCGGGCCCCGATCTCCGCCAAGCTGGTGGCCAACATGCTGTCGGTCGCGGGGGCCGACCACATCATCACGATGGACCTGCACGCGTCGCAGATCCAAGGCTTCTTCGACATACCAGTCGATAACTTGTACGCGGAGCCGGCGGTGCTCAAGTGGATCAAAGAGAACATTCCCGAATGGCGGAACAGTATTATTGTGTCGCCGGACGCGGGCGGGGCGAAACGCGTCACCTCCATCGCGGACAGGCTGAACGTCGAGTTCGCGCTCATCCACAAAGAGAGGTTAGGATCGATAGTTTAGTGTGTGGTCACACTGTTCTTGGAGGTACAAAAAAATTGCTGAAACGCGGATTTTGTTTATGGAAACCACATTAAAATAACGATAACTCCTATCTCCAAAACTGATTGTCGTAAGGGCTTGGCGTGAAAAAATGGATAACTAAATGGCAGGATTATGAAATTTTAATGTAATTTTTTTAAAATTAATCTTTTATTAAGCCCTTATAAGGCTAGAGGGCGTTTTGCTTTGTCATTACCTTTATTGAAACAAAATATTGCCAAATAAGGGTCTAACCTAACCCATATTATTAGTAAAAAAAAATAAAAACAAAATAATGTCGAAATCTTTGGTTATTAAATGCTAATATTGTAGCCAAAGATTGCCAAATAAGAGTCTAATCTAATCTATAATATCAGTAAAACAAGTAAAACAATATAATGTCACCATCTTTGATTATTAAATACTAATATTCGTGATTTAAGCAAAATAGATGTAATTTTACTGTTCAAACGTCAATGTTATGTTAAAAGCGTCCCTTATAATTGCAATACAATAATGAAAAACAATACAACAAATGAAATACCAAGGGCTTTGAATTTTAATGAAACAATAAGGCCGCCGTAAATGTGCTATAAATAGTTGCAACCATAATATGGTCCACAGTCCACCACCATTTTAACTTTTGCTGTTTTGTTTGCCAAAGCACGCTCGTTTTTGAAAAATGTTGAATAGATCTTTTGCATTTTAGCAGTAAATTTATATATATTGCTAAAATGTATGGACTGAAATACCCGACAATATTGCGAGGTCGACAGTTTTTTTTTTTTTGAGAAAATAAAATTTGATATTATTTCAATTTTTATTTTAAATTCAGCTTTTTCATTGAAACCTTTGGAATAAAATTGAGACGAATCCGTCCTTAATTGGTCACGTGGTACTTTTGTGTTCCGTGAGTGGGTCGGGCACCGCAGACGTGATCTAAGGTATTTTTTACAGGAAAAAGGCGAACGAGGTAGCGTCGATGGTCCTAGTAGGCGACGTCAAGGATCGCGTGGCCATCTTGGTCGACGACATGGCCGACACTTGTGGCACGATCTGTCACGCTGCCGAGAAACTGAGCGAGGCGGGGGCCACGAAAGTCTACGCGATACTGACGCACGGCATATTCTCGGGCCCCGCGATATCGCGGATCAACAACGCGTGTTTCGAGGCAGTCGTCGTGACTAACACGATACCCCAGGACGGGCACATGAAGGAGAGCTCCAAGGTGCAGTGCATCGACGTGTCGATGATGTTCGCGGAGGCGGTGCGCCGCACCCACAACGGCGAGTCCGTCTCGTACCTCTTCTCCAACGTGCCCTACTAGGGTGTTTTTTGTTTTTAGGTTAGGTTTCCTTTAGACCTATTTTTTTTATATGTTAGGATATTATATTGTAATCTCTTAGGGATAAACATTACAAAAGACACGTTACACGAAATAAATCACTCCGCGTTTAATTTTTGAGCACTTTGCCCCGTAAAATCTTGACCTCGTCGACGGGCCGGTCATTCTTGTCGGTCTCGACCATGCCGATACGTTTGATGACGTTCATACCGGTGTTGATCCTCCCGAAAATCGCGTGTTTACCGTCGAGCCACTGCGTAGGTGCCAGAGTTACGAAAAACTGGCTGCCGTTGGTGTCGGGGCCCGAGTTCGCCATCGACAGGACGCCCGCCCCCGTGTGCTTCAGATCCGAATGGATCTCGTCTCGGAACGTTTGCCCGTAGATAGACATACCGCCTTTACCCGTGCCGCTAGGGTCGCCGCCCTGTATCATGAACCCCGGTATCACTCGGTGGAAGATCGTGTTGTTGTAGTAGCCGCGTCTGGCGAGCTCCGCGAAGTTGCGGCACGTCTGGGGCGCGTGTTTCCAGTACAGCTCGACCGTGAACTCGCCCATCCTGAGGATGTTAAAAGCGTTAAACGGGAACGCCGGTATCCCGCTAGTCGTAACTTACGTCGTCTCGAACTGGACGAAGGGCGGTTGCCACATCTTGTCGGGGATGCCTGACTGGTTCATCGTGTGCAACATTTTAACGTTACCCAGGAAAAACGGACACCGGCGCCGCTTTTCGAGCGGAATTTTCGATATAACCTCCACTTTCTTTTCTAACGTTTGTTGCCGTTTGATGCGCGCCAACTATCCGACGGTAGCCGAACCCCAAAGTAACCGAACTGTGGTGCGGTCGACTGGAAAATCTAGAAATCTATGAAAAGTAATCTTAGATCTATTTCACAAGAAGATCCTGAAATAACTGCTGTCGAAAATTTAGACTGCAGTGAATTTTAGTCGCAGTGCAGAGCATACGTTTAAATAAGGAATTTAAAAAATAAATGAAAAAAGAATAAGTCAAAATCAATAATTAGAAATGAAAATGAATTATTATTTTATTCGAAGAATTTTATGATATATTTCAAAGCAGATTGCGGTTTAAATAATTTCCTGTTTTTTTCAGTTTTCAATATTTTCCTCTGTATTTTGCGTTTATAATAATTTCTTCTGCATTTTGCGTTTTTAATATTTTCATCCTTATATTAAGTTTTTAATAATTTTTTTAGTAATTAATAGTAATAGTAATTAAACATTTGGCAACGAATAAGCTATTCTATGAGTGGACTATCTTGTAATTTCATTTGCCCAGTTGCAACGAGAAGAAAAGAAGAAGAACCGAGTAGTTCTAGTGTACCGCGGTTAACTTCGCGACGAGCGCGCTGTGTGATTATTCTAGTCGCAGCAAATGATTGTTTCGCGATATTTTCTTTAAAATTCGTCAGCGGAGCGTGTCAGAAATGTACAACATTAAGGGTCCGAGCAAAATCGCCGCGAAGACCGCGAGACGGGGTTCGTAGTTGCAAGTATCGGAACCTTTTTCCCGTCTTATGGGGCCTAATTACCGTTGCAGGCATTGCGCAAAACATCGACAGTTACAGGGACCGCAACAGGAACAAGGTGCGTCACCACGAGAACGCCGATCTGGACGCGTAAGTCGATCCCAGGTTTGACTTTTTTTAGAACCTCACAAGTCGACTTTAAGGGCCCCGAAGCCCGTTTTCCAGAGGAGGTTCCCACCCAGCGGCGCGAGGCAGGAGAGCGCGTCTCCCCCGCAGCACCCCCAGCACGACGAACTGATAAATTTCGTTCACGAATGTAGGTAAAGGCGCGAATTTGAGGTTATGATTAGTGGTTTGGGTTATGTAGCTTGGAGCGCGGTCCACGCGGAATTAGAGCGAAGCTGGCGGTCGAATTCGGCCGAACCGCCCCGGACCGTATCCTACTATGAAGACGAGCCCTGCGCGATCCTGCAAGAATTTAAGCCGTTCGACCTCGAATCGTGGTGGGGCAAACGCCTGTACGCGCACATCACAAGCTCCGGCCTCGAGTCGCAATAGTTTTTCCCCTCACACCCTTAAAGTAAAACGTTGTTATCCTTTAATTCATCGTCGTTTTCGTTTGTGAATTTTTAAACAATTGTGATATGATTGTGCGGCTGTCCGACGTTGTTTTTTTTTCGCCTGGAATAGATTTATACCAAGTTGAACCGCGTTTTATTGTTGCGTGTTTTGTCTTTAATAAAACATTACTTTAATAATGATGTTACGAAAGATTTTAAGGCACACATTAACAAGAGACATGACGTGGCGATAAACATGTGCAACTGCTTTATCGGCTTTTGAACAGTGAAAACAGTATAAAACCAAAACCAACAACTCTGAGTACTTTATTCTTGATTTCTTGCATGGGATCCCTCGCTAAAAAAAACACGCTAACAGCTACAGAACATCTAAAACTATTCCTCGCCTTCAGAGTCTTAACTTAACGTCATCTCGCGTCAACACTGTTTTCTCCATTTTTCTTTACAGTAATACAATTAACACAAACATAAGCGCACTACTCACTAGTTTAGATTATTTTAATTGGTCAAAGAACACAAAATGCAACGGTTTGATACGCCTTCAAATGCATTGACAGAATACACAAAAACCGTTAGAGGACTTCGCTTACGTCACAAGCGACCACGTGCGATCGATAATTTTGGCCAAGGTATGTCTTATGTGATTGGGCAATATTAGGTTTACGTTTCTTGGGCGTTCCCACTAATGTCCGAATTTCACAGACTGATACCGCGTTTAAAAAAAAAACAATTTTATTAATTAATCACGACAATGTCGCAACTCAGTTGATTTATCATATCATTTTTTCAAAGTGTTCAAAACGAATGGTTTATTTATTTTTTTACATAACTTTATTTGAGGTTATGACAGTAAAAACGGCGAACATACGTTTTTGGCGATCGTTTGGGTATAGTGAGGCACATAAGTTATTTTTGGTTGGTTATTGTAGCGCCTATTACACCACAGACTAGATACGTAACACCGAACTTAAGATGTAGCGACATTATAGACAACAAAAACTAATGGATTTAATGTAAAGTTCACGCTTTATGCTAATATCCATTTAGAATAACATTGCAACCAACATTACGTCATTGCAAATGGTTATTATTTCGACTATATCTCTAACATTCACTTCGCCGTTACTGTCGGGGTGACGTTTCCCGCGATTAATGACCTCGCTTCTCCCGGTACCCCAAAATTGCGCCCAAAAACCTCAAAGTCGAAAACCTTCTGATGTGATATGCGAGAGGATCCTCAGGTGAGCCCGTCGTTTCGCGCGGAGCGCCTTCAGGAGCCCCCCTTTCGTAGAGGTGTCGAGATAACCGACCTGTAAAGCGCGCCGTGCTCCAATTATCCAACACCGTCCACCTGCTCGAGCTCAGCCTCGCGGAGTCCCAGAAAAACGACGGCCTTTTACTGCTCGCGCTGAAAATGAACGCAATCTGCAACGAGTCCCTCGGAGATCGACTGAAAGAGAGCGAGGCGGAAAATGGCCGACTCCAGGGTCAGTATCCCCGTACCATATAGCTATTAGATAATAAAGTGGTGACGTGAATTCAGATCTGATAATAGTTGTCACTATTTATTATATTTCCAATTCCGACGCGTATCTTCTTTATGAGGGTTCACTTGCCGAATAACAAGTGATTATCATAGTTCAAAAATCGTGGTCGCGCCTATGACACCACAGACCAGATATGTAACACCAAACTTAAGACGCAGTAACGTTATACGCGACCATGTTTACTTCACTTTCCGGGGGCATTCTCAAAAAGTAATGTGTCAAGATAGGCGCCGACTTTTCAAATATTGTTAATTGGCTCGAATAAAAAATTAGGTAATCAATTTACGTGAATTAGAACATCATTACGAGCTGAATGATTTTCAACATATAGGCAGTCTCTTGGGAAGCATCATATTCAACATGGAGGAAATACTAACGCCCAATTGCTGCATTTGAACTTATTGACGATCTGTCGGCAGCCATGTTGGTTGTCGAAGGCCGCAAGGTTTAAAACGAGACTCTAATGCTCGTACACACCTATAAACACCATAATTATCTGTCAAAAAACATAAACGTTTACTGATTGTTTACTTAATTGACGTATCCGCCATTTTAACAAAAAGTTTTATGACGGATGGTTGTAACCTGAGACCCTACAATACACGACCTCCCAATAATTATTAAATAAGCACTGGTTTACGAGTTCAATTCCGTTGGTGGTTAATAACATAATATAACCTTGTTAAGATAACCACTGATTATTGTAGCGTACTTTTCTAAAGATTGTTCTATGGTATTCTATTTTAAGGCTAGGACCATAGAGATGAAATGAAAATGAAGTAAAGTTTTATTTCCAAGTATCTAGTGTAATTATTTAAAAGTACACAGACAGGTTCTCTATCTATCCCATTTCGTTCGCAGACGTCGTCCGGCTCAAATCGCAAGACTTGCTACGCAACGCGAGCTCGCCCACCGTCAGCCTCGTCCACCTCCAGTACAAGTATGAAGAACTCGTTGCGAGCCACGCGGGCCTGCTCAACGTGCTCGAACGGCGGAACGACGAGCTCAAAACATACGCCACGCAAAACTCGGAGCTCCGGCGCAAAATGCTCGAGCTCGAGTCGCGCGTCGAAGATCACCGGGTGCGGATGGCGGAACTTGAACGCGAGATTCGCGAGACGCGCGGCCGCAAAAACGACAAAGTAGGCGGCGCTCGTCGTTCTTTCTGCGGTCCGTGCCCGTCACGCTCTTCTTCTTTAGATCCGCAGGCTCAAGGCGCAGGGCCGCACGCTCGCGCTCGTCCACGACAGGCTGGTCGCGATGCTGCACGGCCAATGCATCGCGCGCGACGACGTCATCGGGCTGCAGCTAACGCGGACCGCTGAATCGGACCGCGGGCTGCTGCTGCAGGAAATCCGGCGCAACAACGTGCTGACGTACGAGAATTTCCGTCAGCGGCAAGAGATCGAGTGCCTGCGTGCGATGTTGTTGAAATAAATCGACGAACGCCAACATCGATAACATTTATTTGCGATGAACGGTGATTGGACGGGTACAAAAATAACTATATCACAGGGGCGCTTGTAAATTGTAGCGTCGTCACTGGGCGTCGATCCGGGACGTGCCCGGCTCCGGGAAGCGCTTCGCTGCGCGCGTCCCCAACTCCCCGGGCCAGAGGGGCGGGCCGTTGCCGGCCCTCCTGCCGTACATCGCGCTGCCTCTGGCCGCGCCCGCGAACTCCGCCCCCAAGAGGCCGGGCCCCGACGGCCTGCCCGCCACGTACCTCGACACGCTGAGGTACTGGCTCCTCGCGGTACCCGCGCTCGCCTTCGCCAACGGCTCCAGGATGTCCTCCAGGTTGTACTGGCTCAAGTTCAGCTTCTCCTTGCTCGGCGCCTGCAACTTGCTAAAGGGTCGCGTCAGCGACTAGTCCGCGCCCCCCCGGGGGCGGGCTTACCCTAAAATGTCCGCGAAATCGTCCTCCGCGTAGTCGCCGAGGCCCCAGCTGATTTTTTTCCCGGCGCGCGCGCGGGCCCCGCCCCCCATCGCCGACGGCAGGTAGTTCGATTGGCCGAACGAGTAGACGAGGGGCGGGGCCGGCTCGTCGCGAGGTTTAATCAGCGACTGGATATTTATCTGCACCGCGGGCTGCACCGGACGGTACGGGGCGGCGTCCCGACCCTCGACGGTCGGGGGCGGCGCGGCTTGGCGCGTCGCCGTACCGTACTGCTGGCCCACCTGGAAATACTGATGCCGGAGCGCGGACTGAGCGGTCGGTCGGTGGGCGGGGTTCCATTCGAGGAAGTCGGCCATCAGGCCGAGGGCGGAGGCGCCCGCGTGCGGCACCACGTCCCCCAATGACGTCTTGGCGAAGTAGGGGAACTTGAAACCGACCGCCCCCGCCAGTCGATAGCCCTCGGGCCACGTTTTCTGCGGGGGGAAAAACGCGCGTATATCGACGGACCGCCACCCGAGGGTTGGGGGGTAGTACCTTGTCGGGGGTGCCCAAGACGGCGCATACTTTATACAGCTGGTCGGTTTCGGTGGTGCCGGGGAACAGGGGGCGGTACGTGTAGATTTCGGCGGCGATGCAGCCTACCGCCCACACGTCTATCGGGCTGCTGTAGACGGTGGCGTGGAGCAACACCTCGGGGGCCCTGCGCGAGTGCTCTTTCCAAAAAACCGACGGGTCGGGAGGGCGGAGGGTGGTCTATACGTACCGGTACCACCTGGTGGACACGTAGTCGGTGTAGGGGGGCCGCGACCTTATTTCCCGCACGAGTCCGAAGTCGGCGATTTTCACCAGGTCCGGTCCCGAACACAGGATGTTCTCGGGCTTGAGGTCGCGGTGGAAGAACCCGTGTCTGTGGATGAACGCCAGCCCCTGCAGGATCTGAAACGGTATTTTAAGGCGGCGAAATCGATCCCGCAAGACCCGAATGGACGTCCCGTTTAATTATTAACGCTCCCTAACGAGTTATCGATACGCGGGCGGAGAGCGAAGACAAGGGCAGGCAACCAACAATGCGCGTCCCGTCACTACCAAAAACTGTGGCGTTTAACGTCTAGATTCAATTTCCATATACGACGTGTGCCAAAAAAGGCACGTTTTTTAAATTGTAAAGCTGGTCTCAAAATTATATAATATATAGCCAAAAACAGTTTGGGGCAGCGCCAAAATTTCCCGACCTGAATATTAAACAAACAAAGTAGAGCAACATTTTTTTATCATTTTTCAATATAATCTCCCTTAACTTCAATACACTTATTACATCTCTTTATAAACAACTCAATCCCTTCAAAAAAAAAATTCTTTTGGTTTATCTGCAAAATGAGCTCTTTTAACTCAACTTCGTCGTTAAACCGCCTTCCACGTAAGTCGTTTTTCAAATTTCCAAACAAATAATAGTCGCTGGAGGCCATATCTGGCCTATAGGGAGGACGGTCTATCTGTTGGAACCCACATTCTAAAATGGCAGCTTGTGCAACACCATCAGTATGGACAGGTGCATTATCGCACGCCTCTGGTCAGTTTTCCTCGACGTTTTCCACGTATGCAGTCTCGCAATTTATGTCATAATGTTGCGTTATATTTACCATTGACAGTTGTATTAGTTTCTTTAAAATCTGTCAAAAGAATTCCTTCACAATCTCAAAAGATCGTGGCCATCACCTTTTTTGTTGACTGGCAGACTCTGAATTTTCTTGGAGGTGCTTCACCCTTGCACTCCATTGATTCTTTTTTCGATAGAAGGTCATAATAGAGAACCATAGTTTCATTTCCCGTCACAATAGTTTCTTCTATCACAGGCTTCGGTTCCGACCCACAGAGGTCCAAAAAAGACCGCGCACACTCGACACGGCGTTGATTTTGGATAGCCGTAAGGTTTTTAGGAACCCATCTTGCACTAACCTTATGCATACCTAAATGATCGTTCTGGATTCGACGAAGTAACACTTGTGTCAGAAAGCTTAGTAATTTCTGAGATTTCCTTGACCTTTAAACGTCGATCACTCAATACCACCTCCACTGGTCGACCAGTTCTTGAATCATCTTCAAGGGACTCCTGCCCCATTCGAAAAGGTTTTGCCCATTCTTTCACTACAGAATACGAAGGAGAACTTTGACCGTACACACCATCCAGCCTTTCCTTAATAATTTTAGGTGCTAACCCTTGTTTTGTCAAAAACTTTATGACTGCTCTATACTCAATTTGCGTTACTTGCGACATTTTTTCGGACACGTCTTGTTCAAAATGCTGTCAATAAAAAACTATTTGACGCAAGGCTTCAATTTTTTTTTCGCAGCCTACTAAGAAGACGAAGTTTTATCGTGATACTGGAGCTGCATCTATGTCAGGCCGGGAAATTTTTGCGCTAACCTCGTATAACAGAACCTAGCTATAGCTTTCACGCCACACATTTTACGCCTAGACGCGCGAGTACGTACATCAAGGAAATAAAATAAAACTAGGTAAAACTTAATACAGTTTAATTATTTAAAGTCCCTAAGTGACTTACAACGAAGCGGTACATGGTGGACGTTTTTTTTTATACTTATAGTTTGTCAAATTCTTTATCGGATCAAAGTTTAAAACGCAGCACTTCGAGATATTAAATTTCAATTGATTTCTGTTAGACCAGCACACAAATATGGTTCACACATTGTAAGATATATACCGGGTGACACAAGGAAGTGGGAAGAGTTAATATGGGCTGAATGTCAAATTTTTTGACAATATGTAGTCAGTAATTGCCCTGCCTATATGCACAATCGATATATCATTCTACATAGTAGGATAATATAGGTTTTCTTATTTATTTTTTTAAATTTTTATTCATGAGGCTGTGACCATCATAAATACTATTTACAGGGTCCCCTGATCATGAGAAAAATTGTAAAAGAAACTGTTCTTTACTTGTCTAATGGCAAATAGCATTTAATGTAATGAACAATTAATTTTTCAATATAAACTAGCACCCTAATGGGAACAAAAACTTTCTAAAACCGGTACTATTTTTTCAAAATTTTGACACCAAAAATTTCAAAATTAATTGTCAAGTTGGTAAGATTAAAAATGCAGAAGAGACTCTCGACGAGCTCATGCAGTGGAAAGAAAAAAGCAGATTAGTATTTTAAAAAAATTAACTTCAAGCTAGAGTTTCTTTTGAAATTCAGCGATTAAAATTTGTTGTTGAAAGTGGTTTATTATGGTAAAAAGTTGATGTGCTTTTGGATACCGTCAAAAACTAACGTAACGTATTCTATGTATACGTACGTACGTTTTCATAAAAATCTATTTACCTATCTGGTTTTGTCCTTCCAGTGAGCTTATTTTTTGACGATTTTTGAAAATTTTGGCGTCAAAATGTTGCAAGTACCGGTTTTAAAAAGTTTTTGTTCCTTCTAGGGTACTAATTTTCAAAAATTAAATAAAAAAAATTATAGAGTGTTCTCACTTTCTTGTGTCACTCGGTATACTGAAAAGAATTTTAGCAGTATCCACTCTACAACGGTGTGAAGTTGGCAGCCAAAATTACGGAAAGAGCCGAACAACCAGTGGCGGCGGAAATTTCTAAACCAGTTTAGGAAGCAACTGATTCAAATTAAACAGATCTCTCGCTATTGTTTCCAAAGAAAATTTGCGTGCAGGCGTTGCTATAGGGTGAAACTAAGAAGTATTATATATATACTGTATATCGTAAAACTCTGTATTACAAACAAAACTAGTACCCTGCTGACGACATTTTTAATGCTGACGAAACTGGTATTTTTTACAAAACGACGCCACAGAAAACTCTTAATTTCAAAGCGAAGAGTGTGTAAGAACATATAACAGTGTTAGTAGCTCCCAATAAGAGGAGGGGGGGGGGTGGAGAAAAAAGAAAGCTAGTCGTGATTGGAAAAACAACTAACCCACGGTTTTTAAGCCTTTGCAGGTCACTCACAAGGCAAACAAGTTTGCATGGATGACAACGCAAATTTTTGAAGGGTAGACACGGAAATGCGATGCAGAATTAAAGGGGAGGAAAATCTTACTTCTCTTAGATAACTGCCCTGCACATCCCCATATTCCAAATCTACGGAATATTGTATTGCCAAAACAACAAGTGTATTACACCCGATGGACCAGAAGCAAACAAGTTTGAAATATTTTTTTTCTTAATGACAATGTGTCCACAAAGGTTAGCTTTCATTTCAAGGAAAAATATTTTTTGTTTCGCCCTATAGCGACTACGGTACGTGAGTGCAACAGAATATTTTTACTGGAAACGAAAGCTAACCTATGTGGACATATTTTCATCGCAGTAATGAAAGCGTAAATTTCGATTAAATTAGAAAAAATATATATTAAAAACTTTTTAGTTTCACCCCTGTACGAGGCTGCAACCGAATATATTCCCCCGAAACGAATGCGAGGGATCTTTTTAATTTAAATCGGTTTCTCTCTAAACTGGTTTAGAAATCTGCGCCGCCACTGGTTGTTCCGCTCATTTCGTAATTTTGGCTGCCAACTTCACACCGGTCTACTCTACTCTACGAAATATTTTGATATACTGTGCTCTTGTGCTAAAACGTGAAACAAAAAAGTTACACCCCGGTACCTGGTAGAGCATGTTGCGAACAGTGGCCTCCGGATACGGCACCCTCCTGTCCTTGATCAGCTGGTACAGGTTCTCCTGCATGTACTCGAAGACGAAATAGAGGACGTCGTCCTCGCGGATCACCTCCTTCAGCTTGACGACGTTCGTGTGGTGGAGCTTCTTCAGCGACTTGACCTCCCGCAAGTTCATCGCCTCGTCCCACGAGTAATACTTGCGTTTCATTTTCTTGATGGCCACCTTCTCGCCGGTGTCTTTCCGCTGGCCGAGGACGACAGAACCGTAGGTGCCGTCGCCCAGCTGGTGCAGGATAGCGTACCTGTTCATCACGGTACCGGCGTCGCTCGGCGTCCGACTGAACCCATTTTTTCTTGGTGCTTCGCGAATGACAGCGCAAACGATATGACACCGATTCTCGTCGTATTGATTATTTTCCGACGATGCGGGTTTAGTGTTACGCCGGATGCTCGGCAAGGTGGAAACGATCGCTCCCCTGCCATTCGAACGTCTGCTCTAGTCGCCATCTTCCGGCCCATGTGCCTTCGAACTTCACTCAAGCGATTAACGGTCCTTCATTACTCGTAATGTCAATCGGCATCGACAAGCCCGAGCGTACCAGTTGGACTACCAGCCGGTAGATGGCGGCGCCGGTCCTGCTCGCGAATTCAGTGCCCCAGACCACAAGAACGCGCCCGCAGCTGTCGCGTTTGCGAAACTTCGCAATTTCTTAATAAAGAGCCCTCCCGGGGGACGCGTTATTGGTTTTCCCGCAAAAGTTGCCGTTCGGACAATGCGTCCGTGACGCGAAAGTTGGAACGACTTTTTCGCACGCCGCCGTCCGCGGGCAGATGGTCCGCGAAACTTTCGCCGTAATCGCCTCGAAGTTTCCTAATCGCGGTCGTTAGGGTACAGATGGCGCCACGATCGCCGCCGCGACGTCGAATTGGATTTTATTCGACGATAGTAGCGCAATAACTCGGGTTCTTTGCGGAAATTGTCGCGCCTCGACAACGTAAATTAATAAATCCGCGGAATTATAGTTATTTATGGCGCGAGCGCGTCCGGCAAATTTTAATCCCCCGAAGGCCGTTATTAATTTGGCATGGTCGGCTCGCGCCCCTTTGTCCCCCGCCGCCACGGGGTAAAGTTCGCGTTAAATCGACACTAATGGCGATCGTTTTATTTTATTTATTAGTTGGTCTGTCTCTCGTGGTTTGTCAGGTCCGTGGCTTAAAGGAGCTGCGAAAAAAGAAGACGAAATCTAGTGGCCGCCCCGGTATAGCTCGTCATACATTTTTAACTGCAATTGGTTAAATGGGATCGCGAAAACGTTTAAAAAACATTTAATACAGATGAATGGCAAAATATCCGATGTTTGCGTGTGACTTTACGAATGTTGTGGAATTGTTAGTTTAACTGTGTGTTTTTTTTATTTATTTATTCATTTATCAACGGCCAACCGTGCAATATAAAATAAGATTCACATAAACAAAATAGTAAAAATCGAAATAAAATAAAATAAAATAAAACAACAATAAAACCCTAGTGTGACAAACATTGGTTCTCAAAAATATTAATATAGGAGTCGACGCGACAGCAAGAACACGTATAACAGTAGCGAGGTATCAACATCTCAACTGACCAGAACACGTCGTATATTCGTCGATAATTGGTAATTATTCGTCATCGACGTCGAAGACTTATTATCGACGTCGCCAAGACGTGGAATATTATACGTTCTCTAGGCGTCATGAGTATATCATTAATGAGTTTTTTACCAACTTTGCTGCTGATGTTCTGGTCTCTTTAACTGTCAACCCTGTAAGTACAGAGTGAGCGCCTGAATAATATCCCAAATGTAACTTCATCATTCTTCTTGCAGTGGATGGCAGAAGACGATGTTTTAGTAACACCCCTCACATTTTTATTTAACAAATGTGAAGGCGAGAATGTGAGGCCCTTGGGAGTAACGCTTGATGATACTTTAAATTGGGCCCCTCATTATAAGATCTTGTGTAAACAACTGGCTTCTAATATTTTGATAATCCGTTAACTTAAAGGACTGGTTACCGCGGGCACACTGCGAGTTACCTATTTTCCTTTTTTTCAGTCTCGTCTAACTTACGGCATAGTGGGGTAATTTTGCCACAGCAGACCAGGCATTTAAACTCCAAAAGAAAGTTGTTCGTTTGATTGCGGGTGCAGGTTATCTGGAGCACTGTCGACCAATTTTTAAGAAGTTGGAAATTATGCCACTTCCTTGTCTGTATCAATTATTATCAATTATCAGAAATACAGAACTCTTCTTACCATGACTATTTAACTAGAAATAACAAGCTACTTCGTGCTTCAAGATTCAAATATACAAAAAGTCAAGAAAATTCACTAAACTTAAACTTGGACAATAAACTACCGGCTAACGTGAAGGTTCTAAGTAATAGAAAATTAAAAAAAAACATCTTAACCTTTCTTAAAAGGCACTGCTTTTACTCGGTCGGGGAACACATGGTCTGTTCATAGACATGAGAAAATGACTAATTGCTTTTGAATGGGATTATCCAAAGGTGGTGATTAACATACAATGCAACAAGATTATTACCTAAAGTTTCGGAATTTCAATTCAGGTTAAATTGTGGTCCGTAATAGAAAAGAACTTTATACCTATCTGTGTTTAATATTCTTTGGTATACTACTTCGTTTAAGTTTATTAGTAATCATTCTTATTTCGTGTGTAATACAGCGTGTGTTGAATCGTGTTTATTTGACTCTCATTGAACGTGGTGCCAGCAAGCAAGCATCTTTAGAAGAAACGGCCACATTGACGAAAATTCCAACATAGTGAGGAAAAAAAGAAGCGATGCTGACATTTTCTCGAGTGTAGATGAAAGTGATCAAGATATAATACGGCGTAGTCGGTAGACGTCCCTAGCGATGACGTCCCGGCACAATTCTTGATCGAATGCAGCAAGAATTGCGTTTGGACAATCAGGGCCCGAGACTGATGCCGCCGCCATCCCTGGAAAACCCCCCATCCCGCCCCGAAAACTTAGTATTCCGGCGTTCGCTCCGGCAAAGTTTTTCCGTTAAAGTTCCGGCCCGAAGGGGCAGGGGGGGCCGCGACAAATTTTTATCAACTGCAAAACGCGGGGCGGGGATCGATACCGCCGCCCCCGGCCGCCCCTAACCCCGGATCGCCCCGGAATCGTCATAAACACCGCCATTATTACGTGTTTACGGGACGATCCGTCTTTGTGTCCCTCCGTAATGAATGCGAACGCTGTCGCCGCCCATCCCTTAATTGCCCCTAAATGATGCACGTCTAACCGCCTAAATGATAAACGCTCGCGGAGGCCTTCTCGGGGGCGGTTATGATCCTGCGGGACGCCGCATGGTTTCCCGTTCATCGTCGAACCCGACCTTTAAGTTTTAAACAAAATGAGTGTCGTAGACTGATGAGTTGTGTGTATTTGTGTGTGTTTTACTATAGACTCCAACGACATGAGAATAAGTAGCAATTTATATTATCACCAAAGAGCTGTTTTTAGAGAGGTCGATGAAATGGTAAACGAGGTAAAAATTAAAATTGTATCTTGATTGATATCTGAAGAAACAGCAGGAATATGGGTAAATGAACTCTTAGTTAATGTTGTGAGAATTTCAGTTTAATAATGGAGAGGTATTTAAATCTAATCGATCGTTAAGCAATACATTTGAATGTCTCATTTTGTTACTCTCCATGGCTCCCAATAAATTTAATTTCCTTCTTTTTGTGGCTGTATGTAAAATATCAAAATTGTAGTAAAAAATGTGTTGGTCTGTGTTTAAGTGTGTAGCATAATTAGAATCAAGACTATTGTTTTTAAACGCTCTTTTATGTTCGTTGTGCGTTTCTGTTTGTCCAATATAAATTTTAGGACATAATCCACATTTCAACCTGTAGACACCTGATATTTGAGATTTTGGACACTTCGTTTTATTGTTTTTTTAAAAATGTTCCTATTGTGTTGTTAATTCTGAAAGCTATTTTAAAACCACATTTTGACAATTGTTTTGCAACTTTTTCACTGGATTCTCCTACGAATGTAATTGTTTTAAATTGTTCGTGTTCTGTATTAGGTTTCGGATAAATAGAGTTTACTTTTGTCTGGATTTGTTTTTTATTTATAATTTTATCGATAATGGACGGATTGTAGCTGTTGTTCAGTGCAATTGGTTTAATGATATTAAGTTCTTTGTAATTTTCTGTTGAGAGTGGCGTATTAAGAAGTCTGTGCATAAAAGAGTGAAATGCTTCACACACAGTCATTCGTATCACCCTTATACACCCAAAAGCCATTTTGGGTGTATAAGGGTGATTTGAGCTGTTACGAATGACTGTGTGTGAAGGTTTATGGTAAATTGGAAAATCTAATTTGTTTTGCGTTTTCGTAACAGTTAAGTCCAAAAAAATTAATGGAGTTATCCTGTCGAATCTCGATAGTGAATTTGATATAATATACCACCATTGAAAATTTACTTAAAGGATGTTCTAGTATGAGATTTTCCAAATCATCCATAGAAACCTCGGCTAACAAAGGATTAAGTGAGTTTCTCATAGTCAAACCTTCCTTGGAGATGTAAATCTATCCATTAAATTCAAAATTATTTTGGTCTAAAGATACTATTAAGCAATCTAATAAATCTTGTTTCACCAATGGGTTAACCTGTTTCCGGGTGAGGGTGAAATCTGCTAAATCTATCACATCCATAGGTAGAATACTTCAAAAGAATTTTTTATTGCAAATTTTGGTTTAAAGTCTGTGTGGAACTTTAAAATATTTACTAATTTTGTTGAGAGTTTAACTGCTCGAGCTGTTACATAAGACACGACTGGTCTAATGGACATATATTGTTTATGTAATTTAACTAAAGAGTATAATTTCGGCGGTTGTGGATTCATAATTGTTATTAAATACTTGTCTTTGTCACTAAATAGTGTGGAGTTAGTAATTACTTCTTTGACTTGTCTTTGATAGAACTCGGTAGGATCATGTTTGATAGATTGTAAAAATTCTGGTTCAAGAAAATTGTTGGTTGAAGTTAATTTTGTCATCTTTTTCATATTCTATGGTAAATTTTATTTTTGTGTGATATGAGTTAAAACTATTCAGAATGAGGTCGCCCTTCTCTTTAGGTATTGCTAGAAAACAGTCGTCGACATATCGATAGAAACAGGGTAATTTAATAGTCATTTTGTCAATAACTGTTTTTTCTAGGTCTTCGAGAACAAGTTGCGCAATTACACTCGAAATAGAAGCACCCATGGCACAACCGTCAATCTGCGTGTAATATTTATTATTATATATGAAATAGGTCGAATTTAGAGTTAATTTTATGACTTCCACGAAATCGTCTAGTGGAATGTCTGTGTGAAGTTTGATCATGTCCCATTTTTTATTTATTATGTCTATAGCCAATTCGATAGGAATGTTTGTGTAGAGGGACACTGTTAATTTTCTCTTTAAAATGCCACGAATCTTTAATATAGTATTCATTATCATTCACTATGTTTTTTAAGA